CTGAATTAGATATTGCAGCCATTTAGTTGAAATATTAACACAGCTTTGGCGCCGTGAATAACTTAAGAATATTAAATTATATTAACTGACATAAAGTGCAGTTTGACCTTTTTCCTAAAAACTGAAGAACATTTTCTCTTCGCTGACCGAATCTGCTCTGTTCAGAGAAGAAGTTGTTAATTTGATCTCTTTTGTGCACACTACACGTACCTTTATTAAAGGAGGCGAATTTTCGGAATCCAATTTTCAAAAGATTCAAGACGATCCTAAAATAATATACAATAACTAATAGCATTTGACCAAATAAAAATATTTCTAGCAGCCGAATATTGGCTTTGCCTGTAGAGCCTTCGTAGTTGCTTCAGCCCCATTTCCTTCTAAATATCAAATACATCAGATTTCTCTGTACGTAAAATGTCGCTGGCGTTAGCAGGAACCACGAACACACCTGACACGCGACGGCTTACGGCAGAAATAAATATTATGTTGAACTTTTATTCTCTGAAATACAGGTTAGTTTTAGAATTTAGGTAGCTTTAAAGCAAAAAGGCTTGTTTGATCTTTATATTGCAAAAAGAAGTTAGGTTCAATCTATCGTAATTTCACATATTTTACAATTATTTACTTCTTAACAACAATGCCTGCTTATGTTTTTACACCACGTTGGGCGCCACTTAACTATTACCGTTCCGTCATAAAATTAAAACAATACCACTATATCTATTTTGATTTAGTTAAATGAGTATTTATCAAAGTGTTTCAACTGTATTCTGACTTAAGACTGAAATTAAGTCAGACATAACTTACGTTAAAATTAGGACAAAAATGCATACGATGGCGTACTTCCAAATTTTATATTTTTTATTTAAATAACGCAATATCAGCCAGTATACACAATGTTGCCAGCATAGTTTTAGTGTTGCCAATAACGTCTGCGCAGATGTGCCGGATGTTTAATATTGGTAAACTTTCGATATGAGCAGACAAAAATCTACGATGACACCGGGCTGTTGGAACTTTGCGAGTGCATCCGAGTATGTGCATGTTGTGTTAAGAGTTTGCACGAGATGCACAATGCACATTGCACACGAAGTTTTGTTCTAAAACGATGCAGCAACGACAGTTTCTTGCGTGTTCTTCTTTGCACCGGTCGTATATTGGTTGAGTTTATGATTTTTTTCTTTTTATGATGGTTTGGTTCTTCAAAATACCTACAGCAACGATTTGGAACCTAAAAATTACTAATGATAAAAAACAAACATCTTTTTAGTTAATNAATTAATTTAAAAAAAGTATTTGATGACAAGCCTGCAAGTTATAAAAGTAAGTCTAAGCTGATAATAGACAATTAGTATTAATAAAAAAAGATTTATAGCAGCTAGCAAGACGATTATCGCATTTCTTTTGAGTTTTAAAACTTTCTTAGCAATTTCTTCTTCGAATTAACTTCAGCTCTTGTAATAGCTTTGAAATCCCTCTAATGGTTTTATGTCACTTTACTAAAAATATTTTACACGACGTCGTCTTATCACAAATTGAGCCAGTGAAATAGAGTTTCTTTCCATCAGGCAGCATTAATTTCATAGAGTCTATTACATATTTATATACTTCAAGGACTGGTACACTTTGAAGGAGTTAAGTTAGAGTATAAATTGTTATGGGTGGTTAATAATATTATGAATATGAAAAGAAAATGCATTTTTCTTTTCCAGCCCTAAGCCCAAAGCGTAGCGTCTGGCCTTCAAGCCGCCACGGAGTCTGGCACTGATTAAAGGGTGGGAAAACAGCACAATATTGGTCGAAAATCGTCGGTTTTTTAAATCAATGTAAAAACTAAACAATAAAAAATTTGTTGTAACGTATCATCGTTTTCGTGGATAGAAAATAATAAATACTGGATGATTGACCACATAAATGATAAGACATAGAAAACAAATTGTATACTTAGGGTAACTACCTCCTAATATTACCAACACGCAAGTATTTACACCTTGATCTCTACATGGTAAAACAAAGTCTCTTCGTCTGTCTATACGTTATTTATTCTTTTAAATATGCAACTGATTTTAGTCCCGTTTTCATCAATAGAGTAGTAATAGAGAGAGAGTAGTTGCATCAGTCTATCCGTGCGAAGCCGGGGCGGGTCGCCTAGTATTGTCAATTATCACTTCAATTTTATTTAATAGCCAGTCCAAATGTTATTGATCCGCAGACAAAAGTCGAAGGTTATTTGGGAAGAAGTTGGTAGTTGTACCGTCTGGCATCACTGCCAACTCCCAGTCGTCACGGAGTCTGCCGCTTTTGGCAGGGGCGGGGAAGGTCACGCAGCCGGTCGCCAACCTCTTTCGGAGCCTGATATAAATAGGCTCCATCCAGCAGCACTTAGACAGATTTTTGGGGCAAATAGATCTTTTATATTGCGGGAAACTTGGCAAAAAATATGTACTTTTTTACACCGAAAATTGGAGAGTTATCACATCATGTTTTGGTTCATTTATTTTTTATCTGATCCTATCGCTAGCCTTACAGTCTGCAATTATCAATTAATTAACTTGTAAATGAGACAAAATGTTTGAATACAATGAATTGCCTTGGCTGGCATACAAATTACCTGAAAAGGAAAAAAATATACCTACCCAAATTACTTGTTATTGGGTAGGTACCTACTCTAATTCCATGAAAATTGGCAATAATACAAAGAAATTAATCGAATTATAATAATAAAATTGATATATTTATATTAATTAACCATATTTGATTACAAACTTAAATGCATTATCAGATCAATAATCTCGGTTTCAGTAGATTTTAAACTCAATTTAAAAATTGCTGAGCACTTGCCGATTATAGTACGCAAATGAGATGGTACACGGTTGATTGCAATTAATTATTCACTGAATCTCGCACAGTTGAGTCCGACAATTAAGCAATTATTGCATCAGAACCCGCAATTTAACGGCAATCAAAAAGGGGGATTTCGAGCTAAGTTGCTGAGCCTTCGTCTGGCCGCTGCCGCCCCGGAGTCTCGGAGTCTGGGCCCGGGAGGGGAAGGTCATCGAAATCAGGTCAGCGCTCTTTTTCGGTGCCTTACCCACGAGGTCAAGTGATGCCAGATTCGCGATTTGAATATCTTAAGACAAGACGTTGAAATTACTTTATATGTATAGGATTCTCGACTTTTCTTTGTCTCCTTAGCCTTTTAAATAAGTTGGCATGCTATGTTAGCGTTTTCAAAAGGTTTTTTGATTCAGTTCATTGATTCTGCATTTTTGATGATAATAACTTTGTTCGAATCGCGAGCGAGTAATCTCTACATCCTACAAACAATAAGTCACTTCTTAGGTAGGTATAGACAACGGCAAAATAATCTGAATTCTGGACTGTGGCATTATATGTTGTTTTACGTGCTTTTTTGCGCAAAAATGTATAGTCTACTGTACGCAAGCGACTACCTATAAATAAAGAAAATGTATTTCGTTCATTCAGACTTCAAGTGCCGCCATAAATCAGTGATTATAAACGCCTTTTATTCTTTCCGAGCCATAAATTATTCTAATCCATTGTCAACTTTGCTTCACTAACATTTGCATGGCATTAACGATGTTTTGATCTATTCCGGCTCAAAGCTTCAAATAAAGTATTTTCTTTACAAAGGCTATAATGATACGAACTTCTCCTTATCCCCTCCCTTTGCATTCACCGTAATGGATTCCTACATTTGAAGGGTGGCCTTAATTCTCTGGGAATAATGGAGTATCAAGAATAACCCATATCGGGTCATTGTGGTGGGCGGGAACTGCTGAGATCTTTAGAGATAGAAGAGGTGGGAAAATCTTGGATTAACCTACGATTTCTTAGGGCAAGGCTGCTGAGAAAATTTGTCCATACATTGTTTTAGAATTGTGAACTATCTAATGCGTTTTGGAACTTCGAAAAGGATATCGAGAGTATGAATACAATTTTATCATTGATTTTTATTGTATAGGGCAGTTAGGGCATCATTTTATCTATAATATGCGCCATTAATAGACTCTGCTTTAAAATGTGTTGTCGTTTATGGTTTACAACTTAACTCTGACTACTAAACGACTAAAGAGTCGTGAGTCCATTACGATTTATCATTCATAAAACATACAACAACGTGCCGCGGGTTCATACGTTATGTGGCAGAACATTCTTATAAAACTACGAGAATGATTATTTATTTACGTCAGAAGTTGCAATTTTGGTGCGACTTCCATGACCATCGAAGGGATCAAGTTACTCTCATAACAGTCATAAAAAAATCAGGTTGTCTATTGTAACGGACGGAGGGGCAAATGGGGAATATTATATCAGTTCTTATCGGATGACGGCAATCGATACCCTGAAGCTGAAGGGCAAGCGACGACTCACTCGATTTTAACATAAAATCGATAAAATTCATACACCCATTACAGCGGTGGTTCTCTATTGTATAAAATCTTTTGATGTTAGATTTGATGTGTGAACTTGGGTCTTATGATGATGCAGAAGTACATAAGTATGTATTTGGTAACAAGTTTTACTAGTTTTGGGTTTCTGATATCAATCACCGTGACCAAGCGACTACTTTAATATTTGTTTTGCTTTTGAGTATTCAGGCATACGGCGAAAACTGTAATGTTTTTCAGGACATTGGTTAAATACACATTTATAAAATACACGGAAAATAGTTAAATTGATGAGTGTATATTGGAAGACCCTCAAATAGACCATGGTGTTAATTACAATATTAGTTAAATTATTTTGCCTTGAGTTAAATATAAGAAAGTAATGAAAAAGTGAAATTTGCTTTACGATAAATGCTGAGCTGAGCGGGTGCTTATTGGCACAGTTTTTTTTCACCTTTACCTCTTTGTTTTAATAGCCTGCATATATGTGTTTTTGTTGTTTTTTTTACTGTATTGTGTCTTTTTTTATTGTGTCAATAAACCTATTCTATTCTATTCTTTTACCTTGTATATTGTCATTGTCCTTAGAACATGAGTTACGGCTCGGGCGGCATGTCGGGCGGCGGCGGCGACACGGACACGCTGTCGCGGCGCCTGCGCGACGCCGAGCGCGCGCGAGCCGACGCCGAGCGGGCGCACGCCGACGCGCTCGCGCAGCTCCGCTCGGCGCAGCGCTCGCCGCTCGACGCGCACAACATGGAGCAGCTGCAGTCGCGCGCCAGGGAGCTGGAGAAGAAGGTACGCGCTATTGTAAGGAGCTGGCTTAGTTAGGTATCGCTTAAACTTAGTGGGTAAAGCCTAGCGTTCACACCCCGACTCGCTCGCACAGCTCCGCTCGGCGCAGCGGCTGCAGTCGCGTGCCAGGGAGCTGGAGAAGAAGGTATGTTACTGTTAGGAGTCGATCTGGTTGGGTTTAAGTGGTAGTAATTATCAAACGACACGGTTAGCGTTCGCAAGTCGACGCGCTCGCGCAGCTCCGCTCGGCGCAGCGCTCGCCGCTCGACGCGCACAACGTGGAGCAGCTGCAGTCGCGCGCCAGGGAGCTGGAGAAGAAGGTATGTTGCTGTTAGGAGTCAACGTAGTCTGTTAAGGAGAGGTAACGCCCAGAGTTCACACCCCGATGCGCTCGCGCAGCTCCGCAGAAGGTATGTTGCTGTTAGGAGTCAACGTGGTTTGTAAAGGAGTGGTTACGCCGAGCAGTTCCTACTGTTAGAAGTCTGTTAGAGTCGTAAGTGAAGCCTAGTGACCACACGCCGACGCGCATAATATGAAGCAGCTGCAGTGATGCGCCAGGAAGCTGGAGTAGAAGGTACGCTTCTGCTGGAAAATAGCATAATTTAGTAAAGAGTGGTGACGCCGAGCGAGCACACGCCGACGCGCTCGCGCAGTTCCGCTCGGCGCAGCGCTCGCCGCTCGACGCAGCGCTCGCCGCTCGACGCGCACAACGTGGAGCAGCTGCAGTCGCGCGCCAGGGAGCTGGAGAAGAAGGTACGCGCTATTGTAAGGAGCTGGCTTCGTTAGGTATCGCTTAAACTTAGTGGGTAAAGCCTAGCGTTCACACGCCGACGCGCTCGCGCAGCTCCGCTCGGCGCAGCGGCTGCAGTCGCGTGCCAGGGAGCTGAAGAAGAAGGTACGCTTCTGCTGGAAAATAGCATAATTTAGTAAAGAGTGGTGACGCCGAGCGGGCGCACGCCGACGCGCTCGCGCAGCTCCGCTCGGCGCAGCGCTCGCCGCTCGACGCGCACAACGTGGAGCAGCTGCAGTCGCGCGCCAGGGAGCTGGAGAAGAAGATACGCTTTTGTTCTTGGTTCAATCCTTCCACAAACCTATGGTTCCATCTGCCTCAAGTCAAGGCGTATGAATCGAATCTTGGGAGAGCGCGTAAGTACTGTTCGAAGATCTTCCCTTTGCTTAATATTTGCTGCCTACAAACTTCCTTGGTGGGGTAATTTTGAACGATACAGTGAGTGTTCGCACGCCAATGCGCACAACGTGGAGCAGCTGCAGTCACGCGCCAGGGAGCTGGAGAAGAAGGTATGTCACATACAGCTGGATGCCGAACTGGTTCGTTATGAGCGGGATAGTATAGTAGAGTGACGACGCGACGTCGATTCTTCAGATTTCAGCGGTGCTCTTCCACACCAATGCTTGCTGCTTGATTATTATTCTGTGTCTACGGCACACAATATCGAAAATTCTAATGTATCTAAAGTAGACTGCAGTTTCTATTCGGCACCAAACGTGCGTGAACTCGGACATTGTTCGTTGGTTTCAGCCAAATAAGGTCCACTGCTGGATATAGGCCTCTCCCAAGGATTTCCACGACTTAATATTAATATTATGAGTGCTATTGGAGTTGGACAGTAACAGTACCAAAGGCGTAATTTGACTCTATTTAGCTCTAAACACATTTCATTTCAGAAATAAGGAAGAATCTTCAATAATAATTTTTGTTGATTCCCAGGCTGCTTTGGAAACCGTGCGCTGCGAAGAGCTGCAACTGGAGCTGTCGTCAGCGCTGCGCGCGCGCGGCGGGCACGGCGGGCACGGCGCGCCCGGCGGCGGCGGGTGGGGCGCGCCGCAGTCGCAGCCCGCCTCCGAGATCGAACGCATCATGGCTAAGATTGAGCAGGACAACCGCATCCTGGCGGAATTGGAGCACACTAGGTCTACAACACACGGTAAGATGTTACAGATGCTAATGTTAAAATGATTGATTAGAGATTTTCTCTTCATGAAAACACGAAACACCTCCTTTCTTCTCCAGGCAAAAGGCTGAAATGTATTTCTATTGATTCCTAAATAATAATAATAAAATGTTTATTGCCATTAAATCAATGTAAAGAGTATTCTTAAGACTAGCGGCTTCTGCACTAAGCATAGCTTGTGTCGCAGGAGCCTTTTGGTTTTTACAAGAAGATCTTTACTTTGGGGTCTTAGAACACACAGGCAGGCAATTTATTGCTATAAGAAACTAGCGGCCGCCCGCGACTTCGTACGCGTGGATCCCGTTTTACCCCCTTTTCCCGAATTTTCTTTGCTATAAACCTCACGGAGCCCGAGACCTTTCCAACGAATGCAAAACCGTGGAAATCGGTTCGTGCGTTCTGGAGTTATAGCGTCAGGGAGGAAAACCCGACTTATTTTTATAATAGTAGATTAAGATTAAAACATAATAATAATAGTAACAAAGCTTACATTAATGATAAGTTATAATATAAAATAATTGATACATAGTCCTTTATTATGCTTCGGGGATTTCAAGTGTCCTTTTCTTTAACAGGTATGCAGTCGAGCGGATCGAACCAAGCCCTAGGAGAGTTCCATTCGCCGACGCCATCGCCATTGCCACACTTGTACACGAGCACGTCGGGCCACGCCGCCATCTGCCAGAGCAACACCATGCCCACGCTGTCCACTCTCCACGCNGCGGCCGCCCCGGAGTCTCGGAGTCTGGGCCCGGGAGGGGAAGGTCATCGAAATCAGGTCAGCGCTCTTTTTCGGTGCCTTACCCACGCGGTCAAGTGATGCCAGATTCGCGATTTGAATATCTTAAGACAAGACGTTGAAATTACTTTATATGTATAGGATTCGTCGACTTTTCTTTGTCTCTTAAATAAGTTGGCATGCTATCTTAGCGTTTTCAAAAGGTTTTTTGATTCAGTTCATTGATTCTGCATTTTTGATGATAATAACTTTGTTCGAATCGCGAGCGAGTAATCTCTACATTCTACAAACAATAAGTCACTGCTTAGGTAGGTATAGACAACGGCAAAATAATCTGAATTCTGGACTGTGGCATAATATGTTGTTTTACGTGCTTTTTTGCGCAAAAATTTATAGTCTACTGTACGCAAGCGACTACCTATAAATAAAGAAAATGTATTTCGTTCATTCAAACTTCAAGTGCCGCCATAAATCAGTGATTATAAACGCCTTTTATTCTTTCCGAGCCATAAATTATTCTAATCCATTGTCAACTTTCCTTCACTAACATTTGCATGGCATTAACGATGTTTTGATCTATTCCGGCTCAAAGCTTCAAATAAAGTATTTTCTTTACAAAGGCTATAATGATACGAACTTCTCCTTATCCCCTCCCTTTGCATTCACCGTAATGGATTCCTACATTTGAAGGGTGGCCTTAATTCTCTGGGAATAATGGAGTATCAAGAATAACCCATATCGGATCATTGTGGTGGGCGGGAACTGCTGAGATCTTTAGAGATAGAAGAGGTGGGAAAATCTTGGATTAACCTACGATTTCTTAGGGCAAGGCTGCTGAGAAAATTTGCCTATACATTGTTTTAGAATTGTGAACTATCTAATGCGTTTTGGAACTTCGAAAAGGATATCGAGAGTATGAATACAATTTTATCATTGACTTTTATTGTATAGGGCAGTTAGGGCATCATTTGATCTATAATATGCGCCATTAATAGACTCTGCTTTAAAATGTGTTGTCGTTTATGGTTTACAACTTAACTATTGACTACTAAACGACTAAAGAGTCATGATCGTGAGTCCATTACGATTTATTCATAAAACATACAACAACGTGCCGCGGGTTCATACGTTATGTGGCAGAACATTCTTATAACGACTATAACACTACGAGAATGATTATTTATTTACGTCAGAAGTTGCAATTCTGGTGCGACTTCCATGACCATCGAAGGGATCAAGTTACTCTCATAACAGTCATAAAAAATTCAGGTTGTCTATTGTAACGGACGGAGGGGCAAATGGGGAATATTATATCAGTTCTTATCGTATGACGGAAATCGATACCCTGAAGCTGAAGGGCAAGCGATGACTCACTCGATTTTAACATAAAATCGATAAAATTCATACACCCATTACAGCGGTGGTTCTCTATTGTATAAAATCTTTTGATGTTAGATTTGATGTGTGAACTTGGGTCTTATGATAATACTTTGTTTTATTGGGTTAGGGTTTCTGATATCAATCACCGTGGCCACTTAAGCGACTCTACAATTTAATATTTGTCTTGTTTGAGTATTCAGGCATACAGCGAAAACTGTAATGTTTTTCAGAACATTAGTTAAATACACATTTATAAAATACACGGAAAATTGTTAAATTGATGAGTGTGTGTGCGAAGACCCTAAAATAAACCATGCTGTTCATTAATATTAGTTAAATTATTTTGCCTTGAGTTAAATATAAGAAAGTAATGAAAAAGTGAAATTTGCTTTACGATAAATGCTGAGCTGAGCGGGTGCTTATTGGCACAGTTTTTTCTCACCTTTACCTCTTTGTTTTAATAGCCTGCATATATGTGTTTTTGTTGTTTTTTTTTACTGTATTGTGTCTTTTTTTAATGTGTCAATAAACCTATTCTATTCTATTCTTTTACCTTGTATATTGTCATTGTCCTTAGAACATGAGTTACGGCTCGGGCGGCATGTCGGGCGGCGGCGGCGACACGGACACGCTGTCGCGGCGCCTGCGCGACGCCGAGCGCGCGCGAGCCGACGCCGAGCGCGCGCACGCCGACGCGCTCGCGCAGCTCCGCTCGGCGCAGCGCTCGCCGCTCGACGCGCACAACGTGGAGCAGCTGCAGTCGCGCGCCAGGGAGCTGGAGAAGAAGGTATGCTGCTGTTGGGAATCGATCTGGTTGGGTATAAGTGGTAGTAATATCAAACGACACGGCTAGCGTTCGCACGCCGACGCGCTCGCGCAGCTCCGCTCGGCGCAGCGCTCGCCGCTCGACGCGCACAACGTGGAGCAGCTGCAGTCGCGCGCCAGGGAGCTGGAGAAGAAGGTATGCTACTGTTAAGAGCTGGCTTAGTTATGTATCACTCATCATTATTATTTCAGCCATAGGACGTCCACTGCTAAACATAGGCCTCCCCCAATGACTTCCACATCGCACGGTTGGTAGCGGCCTGCATCCAGAGCCTCCTGCTACCTTTATCAGGTCGTCGGTCCACCTTGTGGGTGGACGTCCACGCTGCGTTTTCCGGTACGGTCCGGTATCACTCATACTTAGTGGGTAAAGCCTAGCGTTCACACGCCGACGCGCTCGCGCAGCTCCGCTCGGCGCAGCGCTCGCCGCTCGACGCGCACAACGTGGAGCAGCTGCAGTCGCGCGCCAGGGAGCTGGAGAAGAAGGTATGTTGATGTTAGGAGTCAACGTAGTTTGTTAAGGAGAGGAGACGCTCAGAGGGGCCAGAGTTACGCCGACGAGCTCGCGCATCCCCGCTCGGCGCAGCGCTCGCCGCTCGAAGCGCACAACGTGGAGCAGCTGCAGTCGCGCGCCAGGGAGCTGGAGAAGAAGGTACGCGCTATTGTAAGGAGCTGGCTTAGTTAGGTATCGCTTAAACTTAGTGGGTAAAGCCTAGCGTTCACACCCCGACTCGCTCGCACAGCTCCGCTCGGCGCAGCGGTTGCAGTCGCGTGCCAGGGAGCTGGAGAAGAAGGTACGCTTCTGCTGGAAAATAGCATAATTTAGTAAAGAGTGGTGACGCCGAGCGGGCGCACGCCGACGCGCTCGCGCAGCTCCGCTCGGCGCAGCGCTCGCTGCTCGACGCGCACAACGTGGAGCAGCTGCAGTCGCGCGCCAGGGAGCTGGAGAAGAAGGTATGCTACTGTTAGGAGTCAACGGGGTTTGTTAAGGAGTGGTAACGACGAGCAGTTCCTATTGTTAGAAGTCTGTTAGGGTCGTGAAGCCTAGTGACCACATGCCGACGCGCATAATATGGAGCAGCTGCAGTGACGCGCCAGGGAGCTGGAGAAGAAGGTACGCTTCTGCTGGAAAATAGCATAATTTAGTAAAGAGTGGTGACGCCGAGCGAGCACACGCCGACGCGCTCGCGCAGCTCCACTCGGCAAAGCGCTCGCCGCTCGTCGCGCACAACGTGGAGCAGCTGAAGTCACGCGCCAGGGAGCTTCTGTTATTGGTTCAATCCCTCCACCAACCTATGGTTCTACCTGCCTCAAGGCGTATGAATTGAATCTTGGGAGAGCGCGTAGGTACTGTTCGAGGATCTTCTGTTTGCGTTATAATTCGCTCCCTACAAATGTCCTTGGTGGAGTAATGTCGAACGATACAGTGAGCGTTCACACCCCAATGCGCTCGCGCAGCTCCGCTCGGCGCAGCGCTCGCCGCTCGACGCGCACAACGTGGAGCAGCTGCAGTCGCGCGCCAGGGAGCTGGAGAAGAAGGTATGCTACTGTTAGGAGCTGGCTTAGTTAGGTATCACTCATCATCATTATTTCAGCCATAGGACGTCCACTGCTAAACATAGGCCTCCCCCAATGACTTCCACATCGCACGGTTGGTAGCGGCCTGCATCCAGCGCCTTCCTGCTACCTTTATCAGGTCGTCGGTCCACCTTGTGGGTGGACGTCCACGCTGCGTTTTCCGGTACGGTCCGGTATTTAGTTGGTAAAGCCTAGCGTTCACACGCCGACGCGCTGGCGCAGCTCCGCTCGGCGCAGCGCTCGCCGCTCGACGCGCACAACGTGGAGCAGCTGCAGTCGCGCGCCAGGGAGCTGGAGAAGAAGGTATGCTGCTATGGAGTCAATATGGTTTGGAAAAGAGTCAGAGAGATATAGCGAAAACACTCTGACGCACTCGCACACCTTCTTTTTGCACAGCGCCCGCCGTGTGGAGCGTGAGGGAGTTGGAAAAGAAGGAATATTGTTGAAAGTCAACCTGATAAGACTTCAGCAACTTCAATCATGTCAGCGGTGTAACTGGTGACTAACGTACTTGCTTAGCTCAATTCTAACGTATCTGAAGAAACGTGCAGGACTACAGAGGCTATTCGGCATCAAGCGTGACGCCAGATGGTCACAGTCACAGGACACGCAGCCATTAGTATTAGACAATAGGTCAAACAGTACTATAAGCGTAATTCTAGTGTACTTATTTGACTCTATTATTTCAGCAGTAACAAAGAATTATACCACATTCTTGTCAATTCCCAGGCTGCTTTAGAAACCGTGCGCTGCGAAGAGCTGCAACTGGAGCTGTCGTCGGCGCTGCGCGCGCGCGGCGGGCACGGCGGCCACGGCGCGCCCGGCGGCGGCGGGTGGGGCGCGCCGCAGTCGCAGCCCGCCTCCGAGATCGAGCGCATCATGGCTAAGATTGAGCAGGACAACCGCATCCTGGCGGAATTGGAGCACACTAGGTCTACAACACACGGTAGGATGTTACAGATGCTATTGTTAAAATGGTTTATAAATATTCATGGTTTTCTTATCCTCCGGGATCATTGTAATAGTATCTTTGTTTCGGACAGGTATGCAGTCAAGCGGATCGAACCAAGCCCTGGGAGAGTTCCATTCGCCGACGCCATCGCCACTGCCACACTTGTACACGAGCACGTCGGGCCACGCCGCCATCTGCCAGAGCAACACTATGCCCACGCTGTCCACGCTCCACGCCACCGGCCAGTTCACGGCGCCCAGCTCCAACTCCGTCGCCTACTCCATGAGCGCGCACAACCCCACCTCATACTCCAACCCTGTCTCAGCCTACTCCACTAACTCCTACCTTCCAAACACCCACCAAGTCACCTTCACCAACCCAGTTACCGCGCCGCTAGTTAATAACATTAGTCAAATATCAAGCACCCTCGCCGGGCTGCAGAGCAATCTTCAGAACATTACAGGGAATGTGTCGGGCATGAATTTGGGAGGTGGTCTCACCGGTTCCGGACTAACTGGAACGCTCCCCGGATCAGGCCTGACCAGTTGCTTGAACAACGTACAAACCAGCTTATCTGGAGGCCTTACGAGTACCCTCAGTGGAATACAGTCAAGCTTAACAGGTGCTCTCAATCCTTTATCTAACATAACCGGTGCTACTCAACTCGGAACTTTGAACACCAGCCTGACGGGCACGAACGCATATGGCACCGGCACTTATACGAACCCCCTACTCTCAAGTGGCTTAGGAACAAATGCAATGAATATAAAACTTAAACCTTTAGACGAAATCGACCTCGGTATAGGTAGATATGGAACTACTACGAGTGGAGTAGGCAGAGTGGCGACTCCCGTGACTCCGCACCAACCCTCATGGAGTTTAGGTTTAGATAGCCAATTTGGACCTGATAGAATGGCTGGCATGGATTCAGGGTTCAGCCACGACCGAAACCAACGAGCTTTGTCTAGAATTATGCCCAATTCTGGATTAGAAATGGATGGTTAGTATTATTTATATTTACATCTATAGTAATATTATTGAAATTGGCTTTATGGATATGTAAATCTGTATTATTTTTTTAGTCCGAAACACACATTTCATGAACGGCGCTGTAACCAATGAGCCTCAAGTGGACATGCTGGATATTCCTGGAAAGGGCCGTTGCTGTGTTTACATTGCCCGATTTTCATACGATCCACCGGAGTAAGTTCTATTACATCATTGTTCCTTTGATTGTGTTACTTATTTTTTCCATTCTATAGATTATGAATCTTTGACAGCAATCGTGTTTCCAGGATCGAAAGTGCAGAAGGTGAACTATCGATATGTGCCGGTGATTATTTGCTAGTCTGGGGTCCACCAGATCCTAATGCATCCATGCTAGATGCGGAATTGTTAGATGGCAGAAGAGGCTTAGTACCAGCTAATTTCGTACAAAGATTAGTCGGAGATGATCTTTTAGAATTTCATCAGGTCTGTATACTTTGTCTTATTATATTCACTAGATGGAAATTTTTATCTTTGTCTTCTGACATTTCATACCATTTTGTAGAAATCTCATTTCTGAGCTGCGCAACTGATGCCAAACTTTTCTAATATCATAAAAACTTTAAGTTATTTCTTTGTTATGTAAATGGTAACGACAGACTTGTTCGCAGGCGGTGGTGACCACTCTGAGGGACGTCGATGAGTCTGCCACGACCGCGGTCAGTGACCTCTCCCTCAGCCGTGACGTGGCACGCCTGAGCGAAGTGGCAGACATCAGCGAAGGGCCCGAAGACGACGACAATGGTAAGTATCCTTTGATCAAATCGTAGGGCTCGAATTATAGTAAAATTTTTACCATTGGATATCATAAAAACTTTTGAAAACTAGACTCAACTTAGTGTTGAACAATTAGCAATTAGTAACGTAAAGTCCTAGACTGTTTTACTAAATTAGCAGCTTACTGATATAATTAAAGATTGATTAGATTTTATACAATTTAATATAGTTTACTTTTTAACAATCACACCACCACAACATTTACTCTTTTGAACTCAAACTTCTGCATGCTTACGCAGGCGCATCAATACACCTCTACATGATGCTTGAGAATCACGATTTTAAAATTTGAAGTAAAACTTGAAAATTTTACACGTCACATTTTGACCATGCATTTATCATATGGAAATGTAGCAATAGTTTTATAGCGGAACCTTTCCTTCCTATGTCCCCGTCCCGTTACCGCTGGACTTCGCTGCACGCTTCTTCGCATATCACTCGCACTTCGCCTGCCTGGCTGCACTCCTATGCGATCTACCCTCGGACCTGAACAGCCGAGCTGTTTTTCTCGTCGCTAGTGCCTGCGCCGCGGCAGCTGACCCTGGAGCGGCAGTTGAACAAGTCCGTGCTCATCGGCTGGACGGCGCCCGAGGGCGTCCAGCAGGCTAACATCGAGAGCTACCACGTCTACGTCGACGGAGTCCTCAAAACGACCGTCAAGGCTACCGAGCGCACCCGCGCTCTGGTCGAAGGAGTCGACTCCAACAGAGTGAGTTCCTTTTAGTGTTATTTTTAATGTTAGTTCCTCATATGTCTGTGTCGCCTTAGTTATCATTTACCTATCATTCTCGAAGAGCACTGATTATTTTAGTTCGATATCACAGTTCGCTTTTAGTTGTATTACTTCTGTACCATTGTATATTGATTGATATACAACATTGTTACGTGAGTGAGAAGCAGTGTTAGCTAACTTTAGATGTTATTTTTGAAGCCACACCGCATCAGCGTGCGCTCAGTGACCGCTTCCCGCCGTACGTCTCGCGACGCCGCTTGCACCATGGTCATTGGCCGAGACACCGCGAACATGGGGCCTACGTGCGTGAGGGCCAGTGGAGTCACTTGTTCTCAAGCTGTCATTTCTTGGTTGCCCGCCAACTCGAACCATCAGCATGTCGTCTGTGTCAACAACGTTGAAGTAAGCAATATTCTATATAGGCATGCAAAGCTACTAGTTACTGATTTGGTGATTCATGATATTTACTTATTATGACACATTTTAGGTTCGTACTGTGAAGCCAGGTGTGTACCGCCATACTATCACGGGGCTGTCACCTAGCACGCAGTACAGAGTAACAGTCCGAGCAAAACATTTGAGAGCCGGCCCGCCTTCTGGAATAACTATAGAAGAAGCTCCAGGCGCTTACACGGACTTTAGAACCCTGCCCAAAGGCCTTCCCGATCCACCGAACGAAATCATGGTACGTCTCACGGGAAGCCGTCTCAAAAATAGCATGATGGAACAACGCATGCTTATCAATCCAAACTTTAACATTACACTTACATTTCCCCGCCCACTGATATCCAATAACTATACTTGACAGTAATCACAATGTAAAACTGGATACCCTTACAAGTTTTAGGAACTGCTTTATCAAGAATTTTATGTGGTGTCAGCATATTAGCACACGCACTTGACGATAGCTTTCTAACGCTTTACCAAGTGTGTGACTATCAACCCGTACATACCTATACTTAATACTCACTACTGATACACCCGTTCCTTTAAATGATATCACAACCTCGACGCACACAGCACCTCCGACAATTTCGAGGAAGTCGCGTCAATCATAACCATAAATCCAGCTCCAGGATAAAAATTCTGTTGACCAATCCCAGCTCTTACCTTGGTTAGTTTAGCGAACCCTGTGTCGTGTGACGTCAGTTCCTCCCTGTGGCTTTTAGTATACTGAAGCTGGTTACGAAATTGAAAATGTTTTCAAATACCCAATTGGCTAGCGTGTTGAACGTTCGGCTGGATTATTGGTGGTGATTGGTGCGGTGTCGCAGGTGGAAGCGGGGCCCCAGGACGGCACTCTGCTCGTCACCTGGCAACCGGTGCTCCGCCCGCCGGCCTCTGGACCCGTCACTGGATACGCAGTGTACGCGGACGGCAAGAAGGTGACCGACGTCGACTCCCCCACCGGGGACCACGCGCTCATCGATATCGGGAAACTGATCGGCCTCAATCCTAAATGTGTCACAGTAAGTATGGCTGTATGGAGCTTCATTTGGCTGTAGAATGCTACGTTTGCGATACACAATCAACTTTTGCCCGACTCTTGTTTACAACATCTTAATTTATTGCCAGTAAAAAGGGGCGAGGACACAAACAGTACTTGTTCTGTTGATGTAACACAAAATTGTTTCCAGGTTCGTACAAAATCCCGGGACAGTCAGTCCAGTGACAGTGCTCCGACGCCTATCCCTCCTGCGGTGCTCCGAGGGGTAGCTTCGAGGATGCCCCGCGGCCCTGGGCCTGGGCCCAATCAAGTTGGACCAGGTGTTTTCCGTGGCCCGCAGCAAAGGCCCCAACCGTACCAACAGCATCAGCAAGTGATAGAACACGATGAAAATTTATCCGATAAGGAGATTTTCCCTACTGCTAATCGTCACGACCAACACGCTGCTCAGGTGACCGCTCTTTCCATTTTATCTTTCATTTTTTATGTTCAATTTGTGTAATTGTGTGATGTTGATTGATATTAATTCTAAATTCATCTTAAGATTTTGCCATGAGAGTTAATATCAATCAAATTAACCAAATAGTTTGATGTCAGTCATCTAATCTCATAATTTTATGAACATGAGTATTATCCATAATTAAATTCCCATTTTAATTATCAACTATTTGCTGACTGAATTGGTTTAATAAATAATTTTAAAATGAAATAATTTTCAATGTTGGTCGGCACAGCACTTTGTCTATACCTACATATATTTGGTTTGCAAATCAATGTTGTATATTTCGTGTGTTACTTCAAATTTCATTTCGCCAGTATATATTTCTTTGAATCGTTGATTAAGTATTTTATTATGAGCTTCATATTTTATTTTTATCTCTGATGATTCTTCGTCTGTGTCTTCTTAGCTACTATCATTAACGTTCAATGTCATAATGCTCTTTTCTAGCGAGACAAACAGTTTGGTATTTCTTAACTCATCTATTTATCTTCATTGTTTTCTTTTACCGTTACTTAGTATTGTTAATAATTAATTTGATTTGAATGTAACCCAGCCCGTTTGTCTCGTGTTATCGGTGTTGCAAACTGCACTCTTTATACTATCTTCTGTGGTTCTGTCGCTGGCATCTTCTAATGTCCAGTAGTTCTCTGCCGAGCGGTTCACGACACGACCACCCGCGCCATCGACTATAGCTATGCACTCGGCTCGATCGTTCAAAATTAAATGCATACTGCTTGCAACTAGATGTAGTCTCTAGTGCTATTGGCCGATACCCAAAACAACGCACGACACCTTACAGATATACTACCTAGAACAAATAAAGAGCTTGTAATTTGTGACACAGACAATACCTTCATGGAGCTCATGAGTTTATCATCCACTTAGTCTAACCTAACCTCGCTCTCTCACATAACTGTTATACACCTTTCCATAGCCCACGAGCGGATTCGGCACAGGCCTCCTAAAGAGTATATTCGACAAAATAACCCCTTCGGTAAGGAATTTTAACACGTCTTATCAAATAATTTTTATTTCTTTCTGGAGTTCTATATACACACCAGTTTTGTTTAGCGTTTCATGTTTTGTTTTATTTTGAGAGTGTATTTTTGTTTGTGTTATTAGTTATATAATGTTTTTTATAATTTTTATTTATTACTTACACAGTGTGCCCGTATTCTATATAAATACTAATGTAGACGTATAATCAGCATATGAAAACAACTTTACTTTGAGTATGCTTTTATACATATAATTATGAAAGTAGACGAGAACAGTTATTGTAGACAAAGTTATATTTTAGCTGACTCATGCATATTTTTATTTCCACTAAAGAATACTTGGAATATCGATGAACACTATGTTTATTGAAAAATGTAAGCCTTGTATCTACTTATAATCAAATAGAGCCGTATAGCGATAGTCGACTAACGATATATTGATGAGTTACAATTAATCAGACTTTAGAATTGTTAGAAGTCTTCTATCACATAGCATCATCTATGAATTAGCATAGGCTATAGTCAAATAACTCGGACTTAAGACAATTTTCTCATTACTCATACTTACATCAAATGATTTGCATCAACTTGCATACCATCAGAATCAGTTTACACGAAAATCATCATGATAATCCCGAGAAGTCGCAATGCAATGGAGTAAAACAATTCACAAAAAGTATAGCCAAATGCTCCCACGGCAGTGAACTTCAATGTTTCCACTTCTGCTTTCATTCAATACGGCTTTACTTGCTCTGCTTGGTAACAGTCTACGAGGCCACTTCTTGAACCTCTAACTTTGATGACTATTGTGTTACTACACTCTCTACAGCTTACTCGTCTGCTTCCTACAACTATATTGATAATACAACGCTTGTACCCTTGCAATAAAGGTATCATTGAAATCAAGAGGCAAGCTGATCACGTCATCAACAAGCGACGAATTTAGTTCGGCACCATTCTTGACATCTGCATCGACCATTCCGTCTGCACGCCCATACTTTCACCTTGTTTTTGTCTTGTTTGAAAACAATTTGTTGTATGCTAAAATATTGAATGACCGTGTGGTAGCAATCGGGAATACCGGCCATCGAAATCACTAAAGAGGGCGCGACGGAGCTGGGTAGCGAGGACGAGGAGGCGACGCGCCGCCGCCCGCAGGTCTGCGATAACTCCTAGCTGTCATCGATGTGCTCTCCATGTGCTAGCACTATTCACTATGCTCTCTTTCTCTCAACTTTGTGCGGACTCTCTCCCAATCACGAGTTTCCACTTCTCGGTGTTCTGTGTTGTCATCTTCACTTATTGTACCTCCTCGATGTTCGATGCCACACACTCGACACAGGTCACGCGCCCCAGACACGTCCAGGTTATGACACGATTAGCACGAGTTCTCACGTAACCCTTCAGAACCAAAGGTTAGGCAACCCAGAACGGTAGGCCCCTACAAAAGCACTCGAAACAAAATCATATCACTCGAGCATGTTCAGCGCGTGTTTGTATTGTTCCTGCATGCTGTCTTGGCTTCGACGCGACACTCAACACCCCTCACACACCTACTGAACTCAGTGTCTCTATGTTAACGTGTAAGCCTGATACTGAACTAAGATTTTATCGATTAACTGGAGAGGTTCCCAAACAGTTTGATCTATTATTTTGTTTCTATGTAATTGACAAGCACTTTTGGAACCGACTGTTCTGATCTCTGCTATGAATGATGTGGTTTCAAGTTTAAGCGCTGCACGCTAGCTTTCGTTGTGCATGGGGGTTGTCTAGAGCTACAACAGAATGTGTTGTTTTATTACATCAGAGGAGAAGGTAATATTTTTATTGCTTGTCGCAACGCCAATGGAGGAATTGATGGCTATGAGCTTAGAGATTGCTGTTGGCTTTGTTATGGAAAATCTAACCTTATTAATGTGTTGGTTCGTACGGACGTCAGCAGCAACCGTCCCAACCAGCGCAAGCGTCGCAGCAGCCATTGGGTCCGCCGTACCCGAGTACACCAGCTTACCATGGCACGCAGCAACCGCCCTATCCACCGGGCGGCCCGTTCCCAAGTAGCCAGCAGCCGCCGTACCCCGGCCAGCCGCAGCAGTTCCAGAACCCGCCACCACGGAACCACCACGAAAGGGGGCGACCTCCTAACCCTCATCAGGTATCTCTTTTTTCATCTTCAGGTATTTTTCATTCCATTCAAAGACGGGCACCTATAAAATAAATGTAATTTATTATAGCAGCAGGCGCAGCAGAGTAACCTCCAATACGGGCCCCGGGGCGGCCCACCCCCAGGGCCCCGGGGCCCGCAGCCGGGTCAGCGCCACCCGCAGCAAGGCCACCCCCAGTCCAAGAGGAGTCGCTACTTCATTGCGCTCTTTGACTACGACCCAGCCACAATGAGTCCCAATCCCGAGAGCTGTGACGAAGAACTGCCGTTTAGTGAAGGAGACACTATCAAGGTGAGTAAAATATACCTCTAACGGGTAATATTGATGGTTTAGCTTTCATTACATGGGATCAAGGATACAAAGGTGAGTTGTTATATTGTCTCATAATGCCAATTAATAAAGATTTTTTTAGATATTTTCTTCCAAAATACTGTAAATATTATTATAAGTCAGTTACATTATATAAAGCGCAGGACCGTTCATTGTGGAAAACCTTGGGGGAGGCCTTTGTCCAGCAGTGGACGTCATTTGGCTGAAACGAACGAACATTATATAAAACACTAGCGGCCGCCCGCGACTTCGTACGCGTGGATCCCGTTTTCCCCCCTTAGGGGTGGAGTTTCGTAAAATCCTTTCTTAGCGGATGCCTACGTCATAACATCTACCTGCATACCAAATTTCAGCCCGATCCGTCCAGTGGTTCGGGCTGTGCGTTGATAGATCACTATGTCAGTCAGTCAGTCACCTTTGAGTTATATTTGTACGTAGGTACTAAAAGTATCTTCATTTATTTAGGTGTGGGGCGACAAAGACGCGGACGGCTTCTACTGGGGCGAATGCCGCGGGCGGCGCGGCTACGTGCCTCACAACATGGTGGTGGAGGTTTCGGAGCAGGAGATGGCGGGCCAGGCCGCGGCCAAGCCCCGCGACCGCTGGACCGACGCCTACCAGAACCAGCCCGTCCGCAGGATGGTGGCGCTCTACGACTACGACCCACAGGAACTGAGCCCCAACGTGGACGCTGATGTAAGTCCAAATCCTCAATCTATCCACAAATTCTCACACTATTCACTTCCTTTATCTTCCCTTACACCTTGGATTTTAACTTCTCACCATCTTATTAGCTTGATACAAAATTTACTCTCCATGTCTCTTCACAACATTCACTTCTTTTTTCTTTTGATATTTTTAAGAGTTACTGTTCTCGCTTTCAATCGATAGGTCCCACTGGTCTACTCGGCGGAATAACTTCGATATCTCTGACCACCTTCAAGAAGTAGAGCGACGTATATCGAAATTGTTCAGCAAAGTAGAGCCTTGGAGTAGGACGGGACTCTTTACAGACTTTGGGGCGTCCTCCAACGACTTGAGCTGACAATTGTTTAACCCTAAAACAGAGACGGCACGTGTTGCAGGCGGAGCTGAGCTTCCAGACGGGGCAGATCATCCACGTGTATGGAGAGATGGACGACGACGGGTTCTTCATGGCGGAGATTGATGGCGTGAGGGGGCTCGTGCCGAGCAACTTTCTCACTGAGGCGAACGACCAGTACGCGCCGGGGCAGGCTGGCCAAGGTATGAACCACTTTAGCTATTAAATATTTGAAGTATAGATTCTATTACAATTTCTTTATTGTAGGTAGAGGGTGCTTGATTCTCAGGCAAGAATGCTGAATAGGAATCTTGCGTTAAAGAACTTTTTTCATTTTTGTCACTTTAGTTTATATTCTATATATATTCTATATATATAAAAGAAAGTCGTGTTAGTTACTTCGCTTATAACTCAAGAACGGCTGAACCGATTTAGCTGAAAATTGTCAGGGAGGTAGTTTAGAGCCAGGAGAAGGACATAGGATACTTTTTATCCCGTTATTTATTGCCATTAAGGCGGAACAAAGTTCGCCGGGTCAGCTAGTTTGATATAAATAATGTGTAAAAACTTTATGAAAATTCAATGAATATACTGCGACAGCACACCGAACTACAGTTTGAGCTTCATTACCATTGTCAATATTATATTCTGTTGGCTGAAAAATGTTTTTACTTACGCAGGCGCAAGCATGGGAGGGCGGGGCGCGGGCGGTGTAGGGCCCGGCAGCGCAGGGCCGGGCGCAGGGCGCGGGCGCGGCGTGGCCCCGGGGCCCGGCGCGCGCGGGCCCCCGCCGCCGCCGCGGGACAACGTCGCCCCCGCGCCCCGTAACCACCACCGCAAAACAGGTGCGTAACCGCCCAACTTAGAGCCGCAGCTGGCTTTTCGATATTCGCTGTCATAGTTACTTTCCCTGTTAGACGTAAAGAAATAATAATAACGAAATAAAGTCTACTCTCGACACATTGAATTTATTTTCGAAATACCAATTTCTATGTGCACCTTCTTGGTTTGGGCTAGTCCCACACTTGTCTTTACATTTTGCAATATCATGTCCACTTTTCCTTAAATATTTGGGTTTTCTATTGTAAAATTACATCAATTCTCTTAATGCTCCTTATTTCGGTCTAAATTTAACTTTCGAGAGTAGACTTGGAATGGGCGGCCGGGCCGTCTTCTCAATCGTATCTAAATTGAAGAACGCCTTAAAACTATGCATTTGAGCAAAACAACTTCGCATTATTCATTACCATCACCACGCTACACCATTCGCGATTGGGACATAAGACTAATACACGCAACATAAACTTTGTACATACATGATTAGACAAAATTCATTAAAGAAACGCCCGGTCGCCCATCGTTAGGTAAGTGCGGTGACTCGTTGTGTTGCGTTCACCGAGAGCTTTGAGTGTTTCATGTTTGCACCTTGGACTTGCTATGTGAGTACTGAGAGACGCTAGCTATTTCGCTCTGGTACCCTCTATCATCTTTCCTGTACACGGTCTTGCGATTGCGATTGGACTCGTTCAGCGAGTTCGACGTTTCACGTTCCGTTTTGCTATAACGTCAGTAACTTCAGTATTTGAGAGACTATCCTCTTTTTCTCCTATAGCGTCATCAATGGCTCTGAATTGACTCAACCTTTTGTTGCTATTCCTTGTTGTGAGGCCAGTTCACAAATTCACCTGGAATAAAAGACAATCACTGTGTATAGATTTATAACTCAAGAGTCAAAGGTGAATTCGTGTAACATAGTTTGGGATAAATCCGTTAGAAACTGAGAAAGTAAAACGGAATTGTAAAATGCGAGTCCGGTTGCAATCTACGGAGCACAAAGACTCTTGGTGTACACTTTGCTAATTAACACTATCTTGGATTACACAGTCACAAACATCGTTAACGTCACGTGGTCGAAAAATAAGCCCAAACCGAATTATGATGTTAAGAACAGTCAATTTACACTCAATAACCCAGCATCTTCGTTAAGCCACTTTCGGGACCTATCCAACGCGTTACTTTAAGTCCTTGTTTTATTTTCACATCTATCCAACTCTCTATCCTATTTTATTTTTGGTTCGTCACGTTCACCCTTCACGGAAGTAGTTCCACGACCCACGTCAGTGGGTAGGCTGTCTAAATACACGCAACATAGACTTGCACAGAGCTCACGGTGCGCGTGAGGTGTGATCCAAGATTCAAGTGGTTGTCTGTGGTCACTATATATGTTGTGTGTATTGTCTGTTTGCTAGATGCCTGCCCTCTTCCCCCTTCTCAGTTAGACCACAACACATGCGCCAGTAATCCAGAACAGGCGAATTCTCAGGTAAAAATACCGTTTTTAATCGACCCACAACAATACAGTTTCAAGTATACTATGCAACAATACTAGTCGTTTATTTTTTGTTTGACTTTCACTTCATAACTCTAGATTTTATTATTTCACTGTTTTCTTTTCTTCATTTATTTTATCTATACTTACCTTGCGTTCCATCGGTTTCATTACGCTCAGTGTACAGACGGGGCGTTTATAGTTTTCGCTCTCTGCGTTCACTTGGTCCATTAGATTGTTCGGTGATAACTCATTGAGATCATGGTTACCCTCGTACACATCATTAGCTGCCATGCCATATACTGGACCTGATCATACAGAGACTAGAACATAACCTACACTGGCGTATACTTCACTCACATCAGATACCATAACCCATTCACCATTAAGGATACATGTCTGAGGCCTGTGAATGTGGTCCGTTACTAGACGATTACTGTATCGAGCTCCGAATCAGTTAAAGTTACAGTTAAAGATATAACTCGTTGAGTAATCGAATAGTATTCTTTGAATGCTTTATGTTGTAGTTAAAGCATGATGAATGTACTGAATACTGAAGATGTACAAATTCCTACAACACGATAAATCCTATGGTTTTCCTCGAGATCTTCGCACTAAGACTCTCGTGAGAAAATCTTGATTTCATTTCAGATGAGTACCGGTTCGTGTTTTAAATTTTGTAAAATATTTTTAATTACCTTTCACCTGCTTTGATGTATGGCAATGCATGATTTTATATTGCACATTTTAAAGTATTTTTATGGATTTATTATAAAGTGTTAGAATGTGTAACCGCATGTAAAGATAATAATTGAGATTCTCTCTTTACGATTGTGTATCTACCAGTTAAATGATTAACCAGTTTCCTTAATGTAAGGCCCCTCGTTTAACTTGAACGTATTTCTCTTCCTACCTGATATAATTTAATACAATTTTCAAAATTTTCCTTGTAAAACCTTCCTGAAAAAAATATCTATATATATAAAAATGAAACCCGTTTCGCGTTGTCACGGCATCACGTGTGAACGGCTGAACCGATTTCGATAATTCTTTTTTTTAAATGTTTGTGGAAGTCCAAGGATGGTTCTTACGGAAAAAAATATTAAGAAAATCTCTACGCTAAGGCGGTACGAAGTTCGCCGGGTCAGCTAGTTTTAAATAAATATCATCATCTGCTATTTTACCTCATTTCATAAATGCTTCTCACAACATAGATCTTATTTCAAGTTTAAAATAACCTATAGAAATGATTGCTCATTTTTATGCATCTATTTATCATTATTATGATTCTTACTGCCCTCATGAAACAATTATTGAAACATGAGACATGATTATGGTTTTACAGACGGCTATAAAAAACAGAAAGAGTGTTAATCGTGTTCAAAAGAACAAACTGCTTATAAGCTCTGTTCAGGTTTCAGAATCTTTCAGGAAGATTAGTTCATATTTGTAACATCTTAGGCAGCTATTTGTATTAATTGCAAGATCATCTCTCGTTTGACGATTGTTTCAAGAGGGCAGTATTAGTGAGGCAGGTGATAAAACGAGTTGATCGACAGGCGAGGGCGAGAGGCGTGGCGAGCGCGCAGCCGGCGAGCACGATCGCGCGCACGAGCGCTGGTAACGCGGGCACGCCCACGGTGCAGTCGCCGGGCACGGCCGCCGGCACGCCGCTGGCCACCACCGGCGTCACCGCCAGCGTGGCCGGCACCGCCGCCGTCACCGTCTCCCCGGCCCGCCGGCCCGGGCCCGCCGTCGTCCCCGCGCCCACTGCGCAGCCCCTCCAGCCCGCGCAGCCCCCCACTTCCCAGCCCAACCTCATGCAGAAGTTCTCCGAGATGACCGCCCCGGGCGGCGACATCCTCAGCAAAGGCAAGGAGCTCATTTTCATGAAGTTCGGCCTCGGCGGCAAATAATGCCGGCGGGGCGGGCTCCGCGCCCCCTCCGCCGTCCCCTCGCGGGGCTGAACCGAGCGCCCCCGCCCAGTAGGGCTCTGCTGCGACTGACCTGCCCTCGGCGTGAAGTCGGTGGCGATGTTCAAACTTTTCTACTTAGGCCGGCTGATCTACCAGTACCGAAGTACTTACTTTAGGAAATGTTGTAAATAATAATTCAATAAACGCACAGTCTAGTGAAATATTCAAGTATTAGTGCTGTCTCGATAGTACCCACGGTTGGAGTATAAACACATGAAATTAGTCGTGTATCTAATGTTTTCTATCTTCGGACTTTTGCCCATCTGTTAGGTTAGAATACGAGTGAATTGTTTAACACATAATTGCATTGGAACTGCATTATTCAGTATGTATAGGTATGAAAATATATAAAGTTATAATCTAGTTACTATTTCACAATCCTTGTGGTATAGAGTTGTTGTGATTTACTACGTTACGTTTTCGATCGCTAGCTGTGAGTTACCTTTAAATATTTAATACAAAACCTTGAAGTATCAAATTTTACTAACCTTGTTTTATGGAATAACTTTTACAATACAAATTTACAGTATAATAATGTTATAAAATTATAATAATATCCTCTTCCAAATATTAATTATCATTTTTTCAGTTCAATTATTGCCGACACTTTGTCCCATTTTAACCGTCCTACTGAGTGACCAAATTTTCAATAATATCGTTTTTCTCAGTGACCATGACGAAGCCCTGTGCAATATAATGACAATGATGTGAATAATGAAACGTAAAATGTACAATAATGTAATCATGCAGTATAAACTTTGGCAATAATAATGTCATCCATATAGCTAAATAAAAACGGGAGTTAATGTTAAAAGTTGATCCTACCTTAATATCTTATATAATCTTCAAAGCCATATAAATCTTATATTTAAGTTGGGTTATATCTTATAATTCACATTTGAATACTGGTAATAAATATCTTGAAATTAATAAAAGTAGGTGCCTATAGTGATTTGGCAGTATCCGGAGACTAAGGCAAACCCAAAAACAAAAATCCGATTCTTCGTTAATAACTTAAGAACATAAAATAAGTGCATTCAATTTATTCGCCTGATCCCTTAATCTCGACATAATAATATTCTGTGATAGTAGACGTGATACCATCTTTATCATTCTAATAATATACATTTCTGCGTCATTTATCACTTAGGAATACATAACATACAATCCCAGATTCAGACATCAACTTAATATAATATCTACCTATTGAAACTTCATCGACGTTCGTTTTGTAATGATTTATATAATTAAAGAGATTTCTTTAAACAAATATTACGGTGTGAAATCTAAATGGATAGGTAGGTACCTTGGACTTCTTACGTAAATTTTTGAATCAATAATTATTGCAGGTGAAGACTTTACCTTCATATGTTTAAACTAATCAAGAATAACAATTATGGTTACGTTGTTTAAAATTAAAAACTATGTTAAGTATATTGAAGTGGTCTCTCATGAAATGTTTTTCATACTTAGAAATGCGTTTCGAGTAATAGCAAATAAATGCATTGTTCGTTGTTTTAAATATTTATGCAGTTAGATACTTATTCATTATGGTATAACGAGTCCATAATATTATAACTATTGTTGACAACCGACAAAAGACTGCTTGCAATCAAGTTTCGTTACATTTAGAAAATATAATCTTAACAAAAATATAAGTATTTATGGAGTGTTAAATTTTTTCATGAGCGCAAACGAAACTTACGTAATGTAGGTACCTACAAGGGAAGTCCTACAAAGCGACGTTGGAATTTAAATAATTTATAAATGTTCTAAAGTTGTTGTTGTACATATTGAACGGTAAGTCGCTTGGATTGTAGGCTATTTCGAGATTGCTCACTTTGTACAAGGGATTCTCTATTAAGTCCTTTATATCGCTTCGTATTTATCCAATACATTCTCGTTCTCGTGTATTTAAACCTTTTCACATATAAAATCCAGATTTAGCTTGCGATTCCTAGATAGCCATCGTGTATAACGTATATAACCCCACTGTTTAGTCCACAATAATGTATAACTATGTATGTATATTTAAATTGGTTGTACATAATCATGCGTGCGCCTGGGGTGAAATATTTTAGCTAAGCACTGTGCTACATATCTACCTATATAACCTGTATTTGAAGTTTTTCTATCATTAATTAATATTCTAGCGTTATTTCTAACACCGTTCGAAGTTGTTCACTTGTTTATACATTGTTATATATCTGTATCCATATCTTTTATCACGACATGTATAACTACGTGTATGGTTATTTATACGAGATAATATAAAATATGTATATTAATCGTGCATTCATGTGTGCATAATTTAATATAAAGAGTTGTATATTACTTATATACTTAATGATGAATTATGGCAACACTATAATGAATAAATCTCTACCAATGTACCAATGAAATATGCTGAGAACAAAATAAATAATACAAATGCCGCTTCTTTATTTATTGTATTTTTATGCACCAATACATTATTTAAGTAAGCCAAACTGTACCCTGAACTTCTGTAAAATATGTGCTTTACAAAGTAATGATCATTTTTGATTACAGAAACTAAATTACATGGTAATTTATTAGAATTCAGCCAGTTCAGTGCTATACCAAAGACCGAACAGAAAAGTTCTTATAAAAATATTCTTATAAAATTTTACTTTGATGTGACTAGGATACCAAATTAATTTAATAAAAAACATTAATAATTAGGGACATCGAACCACTGATATCTCTTTTCGCCTTCAGTGTCATAAGTGTACTGCAAACATTTCTTGTGTAACCATCTGAAAGAAGTAACAATAGCTACGTTATTAAATAACTCTTGCATAATTACAACTATCGCTGCAACCTAAAAGGTATAGCCAGAATCTACACTTTGTCAGGAAGGAAAACCTTGAGAATCTGCGACAAAATTATTCAGGAGGACATACAAAGACTATATCAAAACGAAAAGCAGATGACTTAGCGGTATATTCCACTTTGATCACCTGGATTTGATCACCCAGGTGATCAAAGTGGACTCCAAGCGACACTTTGGTTGGTGTCATTTGATCACCCATGGATAAGAAGTCCACTTTGATGACCTAGGTGATCTTATCCATGGGCAATGAAATCCAGGTGATCAAAATGGAATAGACCGACTTAGCAGGTGTTAAATATTTGTATAAATCATGGGGACCACATGCAAGCTGTAAGGATTAATCACCTGTAGGATTTGTGAATAATCACTGGCACCAGAGAATTAGCAGGTACAGGTAAGTTTATAAGTTTTGACTCTACAGAGGCGTCGACGTGCAAGGAATGCTCTAAAATAAAACGATTATTTCTAAGCATATAAAAAAGGAAACAAGCGAAACTCTACATTTTTGTTTAGGTACTTAGCAGTTTAAGAAATACGCAACGCGTGCTCATGCTCATGCTCTCAAAGTAAACGACTCGATGCCGTCTCGCTGGAAAATAGTCGGAAAAATCGCTATACTGTGAAACGCTACGGCTGAGTCTTTAATCCTCTGGTAAACTGAATTGAAGCAAAAATAAGTGTCGCGTGTATTATGCTTCATTGCATTGCACTATGATTTTATTTTAAGTAGCTCGGTCTGTTTATTGTTACGTCTTCACGCGTAACAATTTATTGATTTGAACGGTTACACTAGTCATTCGGGCATCGCCCGGTGTGAACTTGCGCTCGCGGTCTAAGTATAATACCTACTCGCGTCAGTATGTCAAGTTTCGTACAATGAAATGTAGGATGTGTGTACGGATTCACTGACCTTAAACCGTTAAGGTTAATTTTTGACGAAATTTGTTATTGATTGAACCTGACATCCAGTTCATCAAGCAAGATACGCTGTTTTTTTATAAATAAATCTTGAAGGAGTGGAGGATAAATGTCGGTAATGAAGAAGGAACCCATCATTTCTTATGTAGGCAGTGTCTTCTTAATGAATATAAAAACTCATAATTTAAGTTTACTTTCGCGGGACATCCTATGTCAAGTCAAAATTGACGCGGACGCAGCTACGGGCAGGAGCTAGTAATTAAATATTTACGTATGTAATATTATGATGATAATAAATAATAAGTATCATGATTTTATGGAGTAATTATTCCATTTCAATTGTCACGACTTGATTAACTTACCCTGAATATTATACCAAGTCGTGGCGTGGTAGCTCTTGGTTAATTAGTTATTATTTCACTTACTGAAGTATTTATTTAGAGGTTTAATTAATTATGTATGCACTTAATTCAATTACCGGCGTATTTGTTCTAAAAATACATGGAAAAAGAAGAAAATCAATTGATTTTAGTTTTATCATTGTAGGTCAAAGTCAATTACTTAGGTAATTAGTACCAACAAAGAAAGACATTCAAAAATACATATTAATGACTACGAAATACTAGTAAAGATTACCTACTCGTAGATTAGTTTAACTACCTAGTAGGCACCTATTCGAATCGTTCGTTCATTCGTTTTAGCCGAATACGTCCACTGCTGGACAAAGGCCTCCCCCAAGGGTTTCCACAAAGACCGGTCTTGCGCCACCCGCATCCAGGCACCTCCCGCGACCTTCACCAGATCGTCGGTCCACCTAGTGGGAGGTCTGCCCACATTACTGCCACTTGATTTGATCGATTCTGCGAGCTATGTCAGACACTTTGGTTCTTCTGCGGATCTACTTTTATTAAATCGGATTAATTCCTTTCAGGGCAAATATTGCTTGAGATAAGTTTATTCATTTTATACAAGTTACTTTTTACGGTGCCGTCTTAGTTTTAGTTAGCATTTCATTCCATTGGATTCTGTTCATCCATACTTAACGTCATTCTTGAACTCTCTCATCATTGCATCAGTCAGAAAAAATATGTTTTCAGAACGTCTCGACGACTCCAGCATGGCATCATATCCAAAGAGTCAAATCCATCACACCTAAATTCCGTGGACTCTACATGTTCTCCACACGCTTTACATTTGGTTATTATCTAGGTCTCTACATCTGAGGTAAGGTACTCATCCGCCAGTTTTCTCACAGCCAGTAACAGGTTAGTTTTCCTAGCACTGCGTCCCCAGTAAGTCAATCAACAAGTAAACAACGCCAATCTGTGAGACGACGCAGGCGAAATCGCGGGCATAAGCTATTTGCTATAAAGCCTAACTACTTACCTGCTAGTTTTCTCGCAGCCAGTGATGGGGTAGTCTTCCCGGTAGCACTGCGTCCCCAGTAAGTCAAAGTAAATACCGCCGATCTGTGAGGCCACGCGGGCGAAGCCGCGATGCAGTCGCGCTGCTGTAGCGCGTTAGTAGAGCGTTGGTATCACTTCGTAGTGCGTTGCAAATGCGAGTAACGCACGTTAGAAGCGAAAGTCCTGTTTAAATATCTGTTTACTGTTACTTACATGCTAGTTTTCTCACAGCCAGTGATGGGGTAGTCTTCCCGGTAGCACTGCGTGCCCAGTAAGTCAAAATAAACAATGCCGATCTGTAAGGCCACGCTGCTGTTGGCATTGTGCAGGCACTGGCGGAAGGTCTCGTCGCACCCGCAGTTGAGCCTGCAAATAAATAAAACACACAGTGTTCTTAAATATACAATGTTAGCGGTCAAAAATTGTTGAAACAATGACATCAATTACCTGCGACACAGGAGCTGCGACTAAATAACGGAAAACAGATACCTATGTATGCATCTAAACATCTACCCAATAATCTAACAATCTACACATTTCATATACCCAAGAGTAACTATTAGGTAATCTGTGCCGAACTACTTTGAGTATAAGAAGCTTACACGCATATGACTAAAATTTGCCCCCAGAGCGGGATTCAAACCCGCTACCGCAGCTCTGCTGTATAGTATAATATGAATATGCATGCGCCCAGGTCTATTTTTGTCTAATTAACTGTTCGAAAAACTTAACTGATTTAAAATGCTTTCATTAACAATATCCCCGCGCTATTTATACGCCTAATAGGCATAAAAAATATTTAGATGAAATGAAAAAATATTAATGCATCTCCGCAACCATGACGAATGTTCAATAAATTCCATTAATCAGATTGGTGCCGGTGGTTCTGGTAACCGTAAAGGTACTAAAACGCTATACCTATTTTAGATATGTATGTAATGATCTCTACATAACAATCGCAAGCGTCGTTACTATTTATCAGCTGAAATTACTGAACTGATAACTTAATTAGGCTGAAAATTAGCGCGCAGATAGTTTATGGTTAAGACTACTCGTACTTACTGATCAACTAGGATTTTCCATCCCCTAAGACTGAAACAGGGAAAGATGGCAGGAGGTCGTGCGTGGAACTGTGGATCCGCCTTTACAATTGACTTGGACCTCTTAACGTGACCACGACCGTTCCAAGAACGAAAGGACTAACGCCCGTATTCACAAACGATGCTTGCTTAAGTGAAGCAGCAAATCGAACGCACAGCGTTGAATAGAGCTCTGTAATTGGTTCGTGTGTCACCCTGTGCGTCCACGCGTACTGTGAGACCTCATAGTAATATTTGTGAATACGGGAGTAAGAACACGACGAAAACTGAGTTCCTAAGTTTGTATGAAGAAGTCCTTAGACCTTTTAAATATTAGACCTTTTAGCGCAAGCAAAGTTGCAGGCAAAAGCTAGTGATCACCTACCTAGTGTAGAATGCGTCGTTGGTCAGGTTCATCCTGGTCTCCCCAGCGGCCAGGACGTCTGGGCAGTTGTCGTGCTCCCTGCAGCAGCTGTCGGCCTGCCAAGCCGAGCCGAGGTCGTCGTAATTATCTGCCACGTTGCCTGGTCCGCACCACTTCGTACCTGTGAGAGTGTGACAAACTTAATGACTCATAGAGGACACCGTCAGGTTTTAATGGGTATTGAGTAACCCACTAGCTGTCCCCACGGCTGGTATGTAATGTAATTTCATTCATTTTCAAGACGAGAAAAAAAGAACCTGTATTGAACTTCCCTTAATCAATATTTAACTGAGCACTAACTACACAACACCCAAGTTAAGTAAGTAATTAATTTTCCTGATTAATTTACAAAATAAATCAAAAGTGCGCTTCGGCGAACGTTCCGTGGGACATGCGCCCTCCTGTGGGACGGAGGCACCTCTAGCTGTAGACTGGCAGAGATGATAGTGAATGAAGAGTAATTAAGAAGTACCTGGATATATGAAGTTGAACTTCAGCTGTTTCAAGTCGTCATCAGATAACTCGCTTTTAACATTTTTAATTTCATCGGCTAAGGCTGTCCTTAATTTTGCGTAGTCAATATCTGTGAAGACCCAACTGTGAGAGTAGCCCACAAAACAAATGACTAGTAGAGAAATGGCGGAAAAAATTGTCAGGCTCATTATGACGACCGTCGATTGTTTAAGTTTGTTCTAATTTGTACGTCAGTCTAAGTTTGAGCCAGTAATGAATAAACGTTTTAGTTTCTTACCTTATTTATATCCTTTTAGTTTGTTTATCTTAAGCCGTGGTTGGACTCGTGGCGTTTCGGTTGATAAAGAATTAGCTTATTTTAGATTAAGTACTTATTATTGAAGAGAATTCTGAAGGTAAAGTGCATTCATCAGTACCTTCTTATTTCACGTTATATCAATCCACTACGAAATATCAGGGGTTAAATTAGTAAAATGTTTCCTAATAAGGTTGAAGGACATGAATGCCTGACTGAACGTTAGCAAATTATTTTTCAGCTGTAGTCTGCGACATCGTATTATTTATATGGTAGGCAGGTAGGTAATTAGTGACATAGTTGATAAAAAATTGATATTACATTTTCCAAGTAACTAAGTATGCACATTTTTGCGTCAATCACCTTTCGAACTTTTTTGCTTAACATTTACACAAGTAAATTATAATTGTTATTAAGATGCAATTATTCACTGGGAGTCATTAAGTTCCCAACTTATTTTTGAATATTTTTAGGTTTGTAGTTTTGGGTTTTAGGTTTGGTAGTTAATGTTTATAAAATCAAGTGTTCATTAATTCGTTCATTTCATTTAATTAATTAATTAAAAAGTTGTAATATCTAATAGTTAAAAAGGTTCTCAGTAAAGCCACAGCCGTACCGCAATTGACTGAAGGTCTTTTCAGATGCGAATATGTAACAAAATCGTCGATCGTCTGTACCTTTCCTTAATTTCCTCGATAACGTACTTAATCAAGCAAAAAAGGTTGTTTCTACTATTCAAATGCAACTTTATCAAGAGACCGCAGTTTAAATATAAAAAAAAAACCTTTCCATACAAATTATTATCATCAGTAATCGGTCATCTACTTAAGTATAGGGTTTTAGTTTTTTTTTATTTGGTAAAAGTAGTTTCATTTGAGGGGTAGAGTAGAGTCAACGCTTTTTGTTTGACGACGTATAAAGAACACCCTGTTTAAGGGTAAGTATGTTATGTTATCATACATCTTAGAATGACATCCGCCAACGTACAATTTTCTCCTGATTACCCCATGAAGCGCTCAGCAGGACGGTATCAGTTCAAGTAAGGAGGTCATATCGTTTACTTAAGCAGCTACCTAGGCAAGTAAAGAAAATTTAACTTAACGTGAAATGATTACGAGTATTTAAAGGTGCGCTGACGAGTATTTAAAGGTGCGCTGACAATAGTAAGGAAAAAATTACGATTCAGTAGCTAAAACATTTGAATCCTGAAAATGCCCTAGTTTTAGCATTCATTCAGTCTACAGCAATTGTATACCTACTATACAATTTTACTTTAAAATAGATCTTCCTGCAACTATTAAAATAAATCAGTGTTTCAGTGTGCCGTTATTGCGCCTGACTCGGGAATCGAATCTACGATAACCGAGTTCAACACTATACCACGTGAATAGGCATTTAGTTAATGGTAAGTATTTATAGTTAAAATGTTATCAGTAAAAATGGGGAAGTGTTCAGTTTAAAAATAACTCGTCTGCTCCTCCGATGGCCCGCATGGCGAAAACCAAATTTCAACAACAGATTGGGAGACCTTAATAAATTTCGTTATTAATTGCCTTTGTAACATGGTTTAATCTTCCTTTTTTAATTAAAGACCACTTGGGAGGTCACAACATCGCATCACACAACTTCGTGTAGGTGGTGTACGTAGGTAAGTAGTGTGTACCTACTGTGTGGCGTTAAGCCTTATCAAACGGTCTTAAACCATTTAGACTTAACTGACTGGGAATTCTGCCTTATTCTAAAACTAATAAAGCCACCTGGTACTACTCGTAAGTACCTACGATAACTTTTTGTTCTATTATTTAGGAAATGGTTCGTAGTTTCAGGATGTCATGTCATCGTGTGTGGTGGAAGAAGGAAAAGACAACCAAACTATTCTGGAAGGTTATTGCAAGTTAGTTTCACCTACTGTCGTCGTGTGTTTGTCGGCCGTTTGGTGTACTGGTTCGGAAACGGACTACCTACTATGCCGAGAGGTCCTGGGTTCGATTCCCGGCCGGGCAGAATTGAAATTATGAATTTTAATTTCTGTGACGGGTCTGGGTGTTACTATGTATATTATGTATGTATTTACAAAAAAAAAGTATTTAAGTATGTTTATATCCGTTGTCACTAGACATTGGGTTTGGGTTGAGTACTAACCCATAGTAAGCTTTGCTTAGTTTGGGACTAGAAACATAGTGTAAAATGTCCAAGGATATTTATTTATTTATTTATTTACTGCTGAAATTAAAATAACATGACGAGTTAATAAAATTACAATTTAAAATTGGTAATCTAACGCATTCATTATCGTAATTGTTATTTTAAATGATACAAGTTTTCCTCTTATAGGACGTAGTAACCTACCTACGTATGTACCTACTTAGGTAGTTCTAGAAGCATGTGTATTCTTATCAAGTTGTAAAGTACCTTTTTAACTTTATTATGTCCATGTTAGTTAATTAGTAAGTAGGTAATTATTGTCAAGCGCGGTCTTAGGATTCAAATTGTTTATGTATATTTATAAAATTATCCTGATTTTAGTTTCCGCACCGGTTAAAGAAGAAGTAAGTAGATAACTAAATAGTTAATGTACTTCTATCATTGGTCATGGTCATGGTGTTAGTTTTCAAGGTGGATCAACACAGCGCGGAAGTTGGTTTATTTTTAATCAACTGCAAGTACTGCATGCAACTCACTCGGAAATCTTTAAAGAAGCATTTATTTGTCACGGTCTTTATCAACAAAAATACCTACTTAATTAAGTGTAGTTTAATGGTTGCTATCTCTCTCTACCTTCTTGTACAGAGAGCTGTTAATTTATAGTCACCGGAGTGCCGGAAGCCGCAGGCAACTAACATTAGACAGCTTTTGAAATAAATGTAAAAAAACACATGAATGAGACGCGCGTGAAACGAAACGGATAAAAAAAACAAACGTCAACAAACAATGTCAGTGCGAGTTTGTTTACGTTACGATTTCTTCGATTAATTAATTTCCGTGTTTAATTACATAAAGTACCTCCTTGACACAGAAATAATAAGATAAAAGAAAATCTTAGTTTATTGGATATTAAATATTTACCATGGAAGACCTTAGAAACATATGGAAACCAGAGTGTAGGTGTTTAATGTAATGTATTAGGTTCATTGATCTTCCCCTACGTGTTTCTCTGATGAAATAATATTTATCTTGCAGTGTATCGTATACAAATGGAAGCCCCTTTACCAAAACGCATAAGTTGTGAGAACTGTCCCGACAGACCAGAGTTCTATGGCAAGGAATACCACGGTATAATGGGTCACAAGGAAGCCACTCTGCTGTTAGAAAACGAGCCTAATGGTGCATTTTTAATTAGAAAAGGGAATCAGTATAACGATTTTTACACTCTAACTTGGAGGTAAGTAATAACTGTTCTCATTTTCTGCTATAATAGAAGCTTTANCATCTGTTTTAAAAATTACTTATGACCCTGCCTGCCACGAGTCTTTGCGTCGAGTTTAGCAACTTAATCCTATTGTAAATCCATGATGGGTTCTAGTCCTAGTGCTGGTCTCCCAAAATACCATGCGATAAAATATTATCCTAATTCGCTTGCAGGGTATCGCAACAAGCCGAAGTGAACAAGATGAGCGCTCACAACCTAAGCACGGTATTCGCGCCAACTCTCGTGGCGACTCCGCCGGCCATCACCGATTTGGCCTTTGAGATCCGCGCGTTGCAAGCGCTCATAGAGTACTGTCCACAGATATACTATGGCAACAAGTAGTGTTAACACTAAGTAGGTATAAAGCATNACCTCTGAAGCTTACCTCTTACCACTTGAAGACAGTGGCAGTTGTTACATTTTACTATTACCCTTGAAATACCTACTACAGTGAGAAGAAGAAGGAGGGATATTTGGTTTATGTTCATCAAAACTTACTTAAAATAACAATGTGTTCCGGAATTTGGAGGTAGGAAGCCATAGTTCCTTTGTAGTTGAAGTTCCCTTCCACCTTCAGCATAATCATCAGTTTCCACCAAGTGTGATGAAGGGCAAGAACTTCCTCGTTGAGAATAAACACATGTTCTGTCCAGTTACTGCTCTAAATCTGTTCTACGTAATGTAAACTTAGAGGATTCCCAATATTAATTCACTCTAAGAAAGTCAAAAACATGTAACGGAATCTCCGACTTACCACTTTAGTGGACCGATTACAGGAAATAGTGGCCTATTAAGTACATGTTTTTTTGTATTATTATGAATGTTCAGGAAACGGCGAAGTTTTTAAAATAGTTTTGGACCTATGGAAGTTTTTTTTTACTTAAACTTTTAAGTTGAAAGTTTGATAGTGTTCTGATAAAAGCATAATTTTAATGTTTCTAGCAAAACTTTTGTATCTTGAATCAAAGATAGGAAGGTGATTATTTTTTTCAAACATCTGCAATTCATAACAAATCTGTCGAAAAAAAGAAATCTGAAAAAAGTCAACCCAGAAAAAAGATAAAAATGTTTAAAGCCTACTAGGTCATACAATTTTAAAATATCACAAAATTAACTCTATCTCCTAAACTAAGCACAATCGTATAATATACATGGGGGTGATTTAGGTACACCTTGATGTAAGGAATCTAAATTTTTCTTTTAGACCTCACTGTTTTGGCCACCCTGTATTTTGATTTGACTAAGTCAGACAAGGTCTAATTAGATATTCAAGCAATTTTTGTTTTTGTATTTTCTGAGACTTTTATTTTATTTATATTATTTTTAAGGTTTGATGATAAAATACATCATTACAAGCTCTACTACGATGGAACTCATTACATAAAAGATGAGAGATACGACACAATTTATGACTTGGTGGCCGATGGACTGGTCACATGCCATATGGAGCTCAAGGCTCACCAGATTCTGGAAATGATAAACTCCAAAGCGAACTACAAGTATACAGAAAGTCCTTACGTTACTTTAAATAGGCGAAAACTAGACACGTTGTCTTGGATACAACAGTAAGTAATAATTGTATTCACACTAACACTGCTACTCAGTCTGTAACCGGATTAATCCTCAAGTGCAATGTTTTGTTATCAGGACAGGTCTACAAAAGCCTGAAAATGCTGTCGAAGTAGAGAGTAAGCCAGCTGCAGACAGCAACACCTCTCAAAAAACAATCTTCGACCTGACTCCTTCGTCAGAGGACAACCCTCTGCTCATCAAGTACTCCAAGTCACACAGCTTTAAGACTCACACATTCAAGGGTCTGAACTGGTGTGAGCTGTGTGCTAACTTCCTTTGGGGATTCACAGCCCAAGGGGTGAAATGTGAAGGCAAGTTTTGTATAATAAGATAATGTGACAGCAAGTCAGACTAATAATGATTATCTTTCGAGTTTTCTTAGTTAAATGATTATTGTTTAAAGGAATAACATATTTTTCCAGATTGTGGGTTCATAGCCCATTCAAAGTGCTCAGAGAGAGTTCCAAACCACTGTTTGCCTGATCTAAAGAAACTCCGGGGTGTTTTTGGGATAGACTTAACTACGCTTCTCAACGCCCACTCAAGCACTCTTCCTTTCGTGGTTAGGAAGTGTGTCAATGAAATTGAGGAAAGAGGCATGGATTCCGAAGGGATTTATAGAGTTTCAGGCTTTGCTGACGAAATTGAGGCTTTAAAAATGGCATTTGACAAAGGTAATTCAATTTTCATCATGAGGCACATTAAAAAACCTTGTATCTGTTTTATAAGCATTTGTTTGATTGCTTTTAGATGGTGAAGCTGCAGATCTCAGTGTGTACAGCAACATTAATGTAATAGCAGGAACTCTTAAGCTTTATTTGAGACTATTGCCCGTTCCTCTCATTACATATGAAGTGCACCCAAAACTTGTTCAAGCTATACGTAAGTATTTTTTAAACATGTAGGTTTTGCAGATTTATTTTACAAATAGAAAAATATAACCATGAGTCAATATTTCCATTTTGTTGCAGAAAACAAAACTGTAGCATCTCAAATTACGATGTTACGCGAGTGTCTTGATATGTTGCCACCTGCACATTTCAACTGCTTGCAATATATGGTGCAGCATTTACATAGGTAAGTGTGGCGCCAAAATTTGCTCCTATACTCGGCGCAGACTCGTGGCAGGCGGTGTAATAATAAAATAGTGAATATCACGGTTCCTCTCGCACGTTAACACTGGTTATTTGTGACGTTACACAGAGGCAGGCGGCATAGCGTTGTTTATAAACGTAACTAGCTTTTGCCCGCGGTTTCACCGCGGTGAAATTTAGTATGTAACAGATTGTCATAAACTATAGCCTATATGTTAATCTGGGTTATAAACAGTAATACTGTAAAGTTTCATGAAAATCCGTACAGTAGTTTTTGCGTGAAAGAGTAACAAACATCCAGACATCCAGACATCATGACATCCAAACTTTCGCATTTATAATATTAGTAGGATTTATAATATTAGTAGGATAATTAACAAAATATTGGCGAGTGTGCATCTGTTTTAACCCTTATTCAAATAAAGGTAGATATATTACCACTTTGTTTACTTTTAAAAAAGGATCCTAATTTTCGATATGGTAATACTTAAAGATTTCTTGGTCACTTATTTATATTTTTAAATATATTTTTTTACTTATCTATGCCATTTTACAACTTTTCAACGTCATTTGTCACTGTCAGGTAATGTCAAAGTCAACCAATCGGTTTTGGTGTGAAAAATTTCAAGTTTTTAGCGCGTGTTTTTGGNCCCTTGCAGGGTATCGCAACAAGCCGAAGTGAACAAGATGAGCGCTCACAACCTAAGCACGGTATTTGCGCCAACTCTCGTGGCGACTCCGCCGGCCATCACCGATTTGGCCTTTGAGATCCGCGCGTTGCAAGCGCTCATAGAGTACTGTCCACAGATATACTATGGCAACAAGTAGTGTTAACACTAAGTAGGTATAAAGCATCTGAAAGGCAGTAGGTGAACTATGAAACTAGTAAGTTTTACTAAACGTCGCAGAATCGTCTCGTCAGAGAGAGAACTGAATATCGAAATTGTATGCAGATGTTATGCTATTATTTAACAATCTTTCAGTAGATTGCTCAAATGTATATTTTTCAGAAACAGTGACAATTTATTGTTCAATTTTTCGATTTTGTATTTTTGTTTTATGTGCCATTATTAAGGCCAGAGACTGTAGTATGTGTTAAAGATATTTTGTAGCCAAATGGTATTAACATCATTAATTTAACTTTTCATTAAAAACAAATTAATCAATGCACTAACAGTTGTTAAACTTGCACTAAGCAAATGAGGCGTAGTTCTTTTTTCTTGTGCTTGTACTTAATACCTACATTTATTTTTAATTTAATTTATGAAAAATGAATTATTTCTTTCAAAAATTACTTATTTTATGATCTATATTTTTATTTTACTATACATACTACTGAACTTTTAAATAAGTGACTGAATACATCGCTCAGTGACCACTGCCTAATAATTTTAAGAAGCTGATATTTTTCCTGTGCATTTATTATACTTATTTTACATATTAAAATTATTATCATAAAATAATATCTCATAAATAAGACTAAGTAATTACTATCTATCTATACTAAGGTTACAAAATCTCACAAATTAAGTTAAGTTAGTATTGTGCAATATTCATTAATGTTATTGTTCTTTATTATTATAAAATTGTGATATTGGAAAAATTGGTCTTTTAGAAAGATTTTCTTTGTTAAACCATTCCAGGTTGTGTTATGAAACTACCTACATATTATTATTTTTGCTGTGTGTTTACTAGACTAGAAAATAGTATCCTTTAGATTAATAGAACTCCTCATGCTGAACTGACTCAGTCATGGGGCTTCTTTTATTATTTAAGACTGCACCATTTTGTATTTTTCTATTTAACCACAAAAATATTTTACACCACAATAAATAAATAAAACATACAGCTTGTTTCATTTTAAAATTTATTTTAATAGGGAAATTTATTTCTTTCGTTTCTTTTTCTGTTTTGGCTCCTCACTGTCATTCTCTTTTTGTTGTAATTTTTTCAAATCAGCACAGAAAAGTACCTAAAATTAGACAACATTAGCTATTTTGTATCTTATTAAATGTTCATGCTCTAGTAATTTTGCTTTGTCTAAAAACTTACAGTGTGAGCCCAGCCTGCCCACTCCCCAAACAAATTTCGGAAATGGTCCCCGATTTCCATGTACATTTTTTCTGTAACATTCTTCTTTCCTCTCAGATGAGGCAGGTAGTTCCGTGCAGCTATCTGATACACATGGGTGTCCACGGGAATCGCTTCCAAGTGGTTCAGGGACATCAGACAAATGCAGTCTGCTACCTAAAATTATTGATTACAATTTTCAGTTTAGATGTTGACCACCATTATTGTTTATCTGAACAAACTTGAAATTAGAATAATACAACATCAATTAATTCAATTAAATAAGTTTTAGTTGAGTATTACTGTTGTAATTTTTAGTTAAGTATAACAGTCAAGCTTACCTTTGGCCCAATTCCATACAACTTCATCAGCTCCTGTCTCGCATCTTTGTACGTCATATCCTGTAGACTGTTGAACCATTCAATACCTCCCCACTCTACGATCTGGGCTGCCGACTTCTGAATGAACTTGGCTCTGTATCCAAACCCAAGCTCTCTTAGCTTTGCTTCCACCTGAAGATGATAGAAGTTTCAATTGTTATACTAAATTTTGTATTTCCAAGAAATCACAAAATTCTCAAATTGTCCCATTTACTAAATAAACAGGCAACAATACTTATTAAAGAAATTCTAAAATGAATGCTTAAAGATAAACCGACTTATTACAACTATAATAGGACAATGACTGACTACAACTAAAGCATTACACACCTATGTAATATAATGTGAAATTGATAAAAATTACTTGCGCTTCTAACCTCAGGTTTCGCTAATTTCTCCACCTCAGGAAATGAGTAGTAGGCGACATCATTTACTATACTTATTTCTTCTCCAAAATGTTCACACAGCTTTTCCACCATACTTGATATCCTGAAGATAAATAAATTATTTCTTCAATTTAAATAATGATTTTTAGGAATTACTTATGTATGTATGTATTTATTAAGTATTTTCTTCTTACCTTGATATGTGGTTGTTTTGACTACATATAAACGAGAATAAATTTTCTACTGGTTCTTGATGAAGCATTCGAATACCATGGAATTGTTGGCAGGCAGTTTTGAAGAGCTCATCTTTTTCTGACCATCTCTTGTAAGAATGCTTCAAGGTAACATTTAAACGGAAGTATTTTTTAAGCATTTTAATACAATCAAATTCACCAAGTTCACCTAGTAGTGATCCCTTGACTTGATACAGCAAATGATGACCATCTTGTTTCAGTTTCCAGATTGTTTTAGAGAATACACCCGTCCATTCATCTTTTTCTTTGTCGTGAGTCCATCTAAAATTAATACACATTCATAGCGTAGTGTAAAACCTATACAAGTATTGAGAATGTCATATGTATAATGAAGATCAGAGGATTTCTTACCTAAAACTCTGTCCCCCATTTAGTGTGCCAACTAATTGAATTGGATCATCATGGTAACATAATACTTTATACCACGACATTTTACACATACATTTATTTGTAGTTGAAAGTGATTTTCGCATGGATTTTAGTGATTTAATTAATTGAAAATAAGTTGTAATGTATTTTTAAAAGAGCGCGAACCGAGCGCTATCGCACGTTGTTGGTTGTTGTTTGTTTACGTACGTAGCTGTCAATGTCAACCAACCAACTGTCAAGAAAATCAAACTAGAAAAAAAAAATTGGCAAAGGAATCGGTTAATAAACATACGATATTATTGTTTATTGCCTCTAATCCATATCTGTGTTTATTGCCAAGTTTTCATAAAATGATTTATTTATTTATTTCTCACACAAAAATACAGGATACAATACATTAAAGAAAACTCATTAATGAGTGTGTGAGACCGGAGCCTGAGCTAGGTAAATGAATACCTGTGTTACTACAGGTCACCGGGCCCCCAGCCCCACCACCACGGATTTGAGCAAGTATAGCTAGCAAAGGCGAGAACATTTTAAAATACTAATAGATTAAACAATTTCTACAAGAGAAATGATAATCTAACCAAAATTCTATATTAAAAATTATATTACTTTAAATTGTATTATCAGATATAAATTAAATTGAATTGAAATATTAAATAAAATTGAACTAATATAAATTAAATTGAGTTGATATAAATAAAATTGAATTGATATAAAATTAAATTGAATAAAAAAAATGGCTTTGAATAGTTCAAAAACACCTTGTGCTATTGAACCTTTGTATTCGAACTTTTGTTTGCTTTCAATCTGGGCGCATTGTGACTGGAATCTAGTTAAAGTAGGTATATGTTTAAGACTTGATTATGGGCTAAAATTATACTACTCTACTTATTAATTATTTTGCTTCAAAAATGCGTTAAAAACCATAGGTATTTTAGTTTCATTTACAAAGTACACACTACGAGTATACAACTCGGTTAAAGTGGGTAGATAGATTTTAGAAAGTAAGTAGGCACACACATAAATAACTCAAGGCACATTGTATAGATATTTATTCTTTAAATTAATTATTTAAATGGCAATTGCATTTTACATTATAAATCTTACATACCGCTATCTAATAACTTTAAAATTTACTCAAAACTCGGTCTAACTAGTGAAAATACATAAGTAGGTAAGAGAAGAAGCAATCATAAGTTTAGATCACAGATCATTCAATAAAAATGCTTTTGAGGTTTAACAAATTTCATTAACAGCCTTCTCTGTCGTCTGCACTTACTAACTCTATAAAGTTTTATGTTTTTATTCGACTAAGTAAGTACCTAATACATGCAGGAGGTCTCGTGTAAGACCTACCTCCTACCTGAAGCATAACATCGGATCTACTCTTTATAATATCCTCGTAAGAGAGAAAGTCTTCAATTAGGCTTCAGATGTAAATAGGAAGTAATACTAGAAAAACATCAAGAATTAGATAATAGTATTTAGTAATTACGCACGTAAGAACTAGGGTAAGGTGGTGTAAGAGTGCGCACTTTAATTTTGAGACCCCATAAAAAATAAAATACCACATTTAGAAAAATCATCATTATTTATTAATAAACTCTATTTATCTGGCAACAAATTATAGAAGAACAAATCACGCTTAGGTTATTAGTTAAGGTAGGAACTGAAGAAATATAAAAAATCAAAATTGCGCACTCTTATACACCCAGGTGTATAAGAGTGCGCGTTGAGCCGTATAAGAGTGCGCGGATTAATTCTTACCAACCAGTACAGTTTTCATGCCACCATTGCCGGCACACTGAGCACTCGATCTGTGATAGGTTCTCGACTTGTGCCTGGTTGAATCCCATAGCTCTAGCAACGCTTGTAGCAGTTGGTTGTCTCAATGATATATCAGGATGTCTCTTCAAAAACACCTCAACCATTCTTTTCCAGCTAATTTAGATTCTGCATTAAACCTGTTTGTTATATCATATACTTGAGCATACTCAAAAGCTAGCCCACGCAATGCCTTTGCTGTTAATCCAAAGTACATGTTTTAACTGGTACCTGAAGCTCTTTTTTAACTTCATTCTTCGTATTTTTTTGTCGCGAAGAAGTTCTCTTTCTCCGAGACATGCTGTAAATACACAAAATAAAATATAAGCATATTATATGACAATTTATTTTACCCACAACACTTCGGTAAAAAAACGTCGTATAAGAGTGCGCGCGCAATCTTATACGCACACACCGTGCGCACTCTTATACGTTTGAACCTTTTCAAACAAATCGAACCACTGCCATCATCTATTGAGTTTTCGGGCAAGTTTTTCGAATGAATCGGTTAGCTAAGTAGGTAAGCTATTTGCATAAAAAAATAATAATTTTGTTAAACTGAAAGTCTACGAACAGAAATCTTTGCCAAACGCAATAAAATTAGATCAAAACGAGTAAAAAAGTTTCGACTTACGTAGCATCTCCTTTACCTTTATCACCAACAGATCAAAACACAACTAAAGCTAGCCGCATACCCCTCCCAGGATCGACGTGACGTGCGATGAGCACTCTTATCGCCCGCGCACTCTTACACCACCTTACCCTACATTTCATCATCAGTCGCCACCATATTGTCAGATTGATAATATCAAACTTCTTGACCTTTATCTGCCCCCCTGAACTCGCAAAAACTAAAACACCGGAGTCGAATTCCTTCAGATTTGGAAAATAACTGTTGGTTAAATAACTCGAAAAAAATGAATTGCCCAAAATGGGAATCGAACCTACGATCTTTCGCTTGTCTGGCATCCTTCTCTCACCATCTAAGCACTTTTTACATTATTGAGATGCGACTCTTAACGCTACATTTTTTAAATAATTAAGTACAAACTGTCCTTTGCTATTTTTCAAGGGGGGCTGGTCCTCTTAAGTTTGTGATAGTAATCAGATCCTATACCTAGCAATATTTTAATGACAGCCTGTCCAGTAACAATACTTAAGAAGTCTTTGAGAGACATTGAGAATTGAGAATTTTAGAACAGACTAGACTGCTGTACAATATTTCTAATCCACTTGTCGTATTTGGCTGCATCCGTGAAGACGATGTAGTTGTTCAGGTTACATGTGTCATCTCCATTCTCTTGGCGGAGAGAGAGCGAGACGATTCCCCTGACGCGCCAGCGGCCATCTTCGATGATGTAGAGGCCACCGCCGGAGTCCCCTAGGCAGGGTCCCACCCCGTTACGGTCACCTGAAATGAAGAATAAAGTGTAAATAAATCTTCTTCTTGTGTCGACAAAAAACCTGCACAGTGTCAGCCCAAAACTCTGCCACAAGAGTAACGTTGTCAGTAGCATTCATTAAAATCTTCCTGCGCGCAGTTGTTTGGGCACGCAGGGCACGACATCATGTGCTTCATCGACTGGGGAACACTACCACAGATTGTCCTTAGTTACGGCTGACCTGCGTACGAAGTCTAAAAAAGACTTCCAAGTAAGCCCGGGGAGCTCGCTAATGTCTATGCGGAGGACTCTCAGACTGATAATAATATAGGGACTAAAGGGCAGGGAATATCAGCTCTCTCATGCCATTATCTGCATCTCTCTTTAGACCGATCGTCATCAAAGACTCGGAGGTGAGCTCGTGGAAATGCTGAGTTTGAGAAGATGTCACCTTTGCTTCCAAGTTGCACAGAGGGTGTTCTCTGGTGTTCTGAAAACCCTGAGTAAGTAATCTTCTCCCCATAATGTTCCCTACCTGCACAGAAGGTGTACTTCGAGGTGAGCTTGTGGAAGTGCTGAGTTTTAAAAGATATCCCTGGGCCTTTTCACCTTGAAAAGGGTTTTCTTTAAGAGCAGACGAGGGTCCTCTAGATCGCGGGCGGGTGGAATTGCTGAGTTTGAAAAGATACACCCCTTTGCTTCCAAGTTGCACAGAGGGTGTTCTCTGTGCCATGTTCTATGTAAAACTCCAAAAACCCTGAGTAAGCCATCAATCCTCTTCCCCTTTGTTCCCTACCTGCACAGAAGGTGTACTTACTTGGAAGTGAGCTTGTAGAAGTGCTGAGTTTGAAAAGATATCCCCTATCCCTTGCACAGAAGGTGATCTCTGGTGCTCTCCAAAAACCCTAAGTAAGTAATCTTTTCCATTCCCTACCTGCACAGAAGGTGTGCTCAGAGGTGAGCTTGTGAAAGTGCTGAGTTTGAAACGATATACCCTATCCCTTGCACAAAAGGTGCTCTCTGGTGCTCTCCGAAAACCCTAAGTAAGTAATCCCTTGTCGGAGGTGAGCCTGTGAAAGTGCTGAGTTTGAAACGATAATACCCTATCCCTTGCACAAAAGGTGCTCTCTGGTGCTCTCTGAAAACCCTAAGTAAGTAATCTTATTCCATTCCCTACCTGCACAGAAGGTGTGCTCGGAGGTGAGCTTGTGGAAGTGCTGAGTTTGAAAAGATATCCCCTATCCCTTGCACAGGAGGTGTTCTCTGGTGCTCTCCGATAACCCTACTTCGCCCCGTTCGCGCTAAGTTTGTCGGTCCGTGGAATGCGCGTCCCCTCCCCCAACCGCGATTAAACGCAATTAGTTAGTGATAAACGCAATTAATGTGTCTTATTTTGTGCAAATACACAATTTTTATCAATAATAATAAATAAAAAATATTTTAAACATAGTTTGTTACAGTTATAGACGCTTTCCCTTCGAGTGACGTCATATCGCCAGCGGCAAACTTAAAGCGAACGGATAAAGCCTGAGCCCCGATTACGGTAATTTTTAACGTCTCCAATCCAGACGCGTTTCTGATTCTGCAATACGATTGGTCAAAACAGCTGACGTACGCCAGCGTAAACAGCGTACGTCAGCTGTTTTGACCAATCGTATCGCAGAATCGATGAAGCGTGTCTGGATTGTAGACGTTAAAAGTTACCGTAATCGGGGCTCTGGTCCGTGAGCACGTAGAATCCCGTCCAATGACCCCAAGCTACCCGTCCTTATCGCTCGCTGTCGCGACTGTGCGACGCGCGCCCGCAGTGAGTGTGCGAGCGCGACAGCAACATAATTACGTGCGAGCGACAAGGATGGGCAGCTTGGGGTCATTGGACGGGATTCTACTTTGTTATTTGTAAGAACTATTTATTAGTCTAAACAAATAAAGAAATTTTGACTTTGACTTTGACTTTACGTGCTCACGGACCAGGCTTTAGTAGAAAGTAATCTTCCCCATTCCCTACCTGCACAGAAGGTGTACTCGGAGGTGAGCTTGTGGAAGTCAGCGTTGCTGGCGCGGCACATGGCGGTGCTGACGATGGGCACGCGTGCCATCCTTGGCAGAGCTTCGCCCGCTAGCCCTAACTCGCTGTTGCCCCAGCCTGCAACCTGCAATGCGTTCATTACTTATAGATCGTGATCAGAAGCCCTTAATGTGCGAGGTGATTTGCCGCAAAAGCCAATCCCAAAGCCGTGGTGGCCATACTGGCCGTGGCCGAAATCGGTCGGATGTATTTATCATATCATCATCATCATCATTAGATTAAGGTGACAATAGCCCAAAGGACTGAAGATCCGAGGAACGCTGATTCAAACCCCGTCGCGGCTGGACCAGTGGCGGATTTACCAATAGGCCAAGTAGGCCAGTGCCTAGGGCGGCAGATTTAGAGGGGCGGCAAATTTAGCAAATTTTTTTGATAGGCGCAGCGACGCCGCTACCGCGCCGTCACTGCGCCTTTACACTGTTTAATTTTATACGCGCCGCGTGAACACCGCTGCCGCGCAGCCGCCGCGCCGCCGCGCGCGAAATTATGCTTTGATGCCGCGGTGGTGGCGCGGTGGCAGCGCGGCGGCGGTTTTACTCGGTGCGTATGATAATGAACACTATGAACAGTGTAGCCACAGTAGATAAATCAAACAGTACGGAAGCTTCATACAAACGCTCGAAATCAGACTCACGCACACAGACGCACGCTTTACACGAGCTCTAAGCGAACCTCGCAGTCCATCCGTCGCGAGTGTCGCGCGCGTTGTGTTTTTAATAATAATTTTATTGCATGCACGATCCGCTGTATTTTTAAGAAACATGCCACGTGTGTATTGCGTAGTATACGGCTGCTTGAACTCGGCATCTTCAAAACCAGAACTTTCATTTTTTAAACTTCGTAATAATTCTGAATTGTAAAAATGATTAAATACCTATTACTTTTTAAATAAACTGCTTACATCTGATTTTGTAATAGTTCTTTTTAAATTACGTAATTACGCTTTTTAACAATTTATGTGTTCTATTTGATAAATAACTAATTAACGTTTTATTTTTTTTGCTAACTAAGTACTTAGTCAATTAATTTATTCCATTAGGTATTTGACAATTAAAAAACCTAAATAAACGTTTTAATAAATAAGTAAGTCAGAACCTTATTAATTTTATAAAGATTAAGAGTGCCAACCCTAACACTCAGTTGAAGTGTAGGTATTTAACTCGCCGAAAGGGCTAAGTTTCCGTACTGCTTTAGCTCATAATAATATATCTACTGTGGTGTAGCGGCGCGGCGGCGCGGTGGCGGCGTCGTGTGCAGGAGCCCTTAGAGTTACCTCAAAATGGATTCAGGATGGATGAATACTGCAGAGTTTTTGGATTATTAGAGTATACTCTGCTCATAAGGTAACCCCACAAAAAGAAGTCTGCTGGAATGAGATTAGCGCTTCTTAGAGGCAGTGATATTTCACCACTGCTTAATTGGTTTGTTGCATTGAAAGGATGATTAATTTTTGAGAGCGCTACACTGGTAGGCTGAAAAGCTTTTTGATTTCAAAGCTGCAGATTCGCAAGGTTATGACCGGAGCACTTGGTTTCATCAAGATGGGGCTACGTGTCACACTTCAACTGAGAGCATTTAGATGGTAAGAGACATGTTCCCACAAAAAAAATATTTCAGGCAGGGGTGACATCTCCTGGCCACCAGAAAGCACTGATCTCACTCCAGAAAATTATTTTTTGTGGTGTTACATTAATACAAAATATACTTTATAGAGATAATAGAGAATACTTTTATAATCCAACAACCATGCAGCAACTGAAGCTGAGCATTCGGCAAAAAAAAATTGAAAATAGGTTTCGAGGTAATTATTCTGACGAACGCATTCCAAGATTTTGATGTATGTTGATCGAATGTTGTAAGCGTCAAGGAAATCTCCTGGGCGATGTAATTTAATAAAGGTAAATTTAAAAATAAATTTAAGTTTTATAAAATTAAATTGTATAAAATTTTCTTTAAATTGCTATAGTTAAAGTTCTATAAAAATGTTGGTACAGTTTTAGTTTCCTTGAATTTTCAAAAGTTAATTTTCTTCTGGGCCACGCTGTATTACCAAGCCTTGGACTTTCTGTTTACCTTTAAGTAGTTCTTAGCTAATTATGTACTTATACTGGATTATAGCACTTCGTATGGCTCTGTGCACACAGACAAATTGTTCAGATGAGAAGCTTTTCTTGCTTAAAACGGGTTAAAAACTATCTTCTACGATATACTTTAAGTCAAGAAAAGCTTAATGCTTTATCTCTTTTGTGCATAGAGTCAGAACTTATAAAAAAGATTTCATACGTCGATATAATTAATGATATTGCAAATTTAAAATCTCGCAATTGAAAATTTAAAATCTCATTGTCACCATTAACTGGATTGTTAACATGTTATACACTCGACAGCAAATAAATCGCACCACCCGCGACAAGCACTTTCAAACGTATGCATCCCCACTTCACACCAATATTGGTACCATTCAAAAGCCTAGTTCTAAACTTCATTTCATTATATGAAAGGTTTTTACCCCAAAAATGTTTCTTTAGAAGGATCCAGAGTCACTTCTTCAAAAAATAGATAGTTACGCTTGAGCCAACTTTTATGGCTGTAAAACTTTAATAGAAATTGTTTGTATTGTTTTTAAACTGTTAAGTCCAATAAAAAATATTTACCAAAACCTATGTTTACTGACCACACATTATTTTGTCTGTGTTCATAATTATAGTGTAGGTATTTTTAAGTCATGCCTTTGCCCACCTTAGGATTAGTACATACTGCTGTTTTTAGGTCAACATTAAACTCTTCAGTACATAGCGGGTTGCAATAATAATCTAGTAACTGATAGAAATATCATTAAGTTCACAATCATCAAAATAATGGGATTAAACTAACGTATTGAATTTCAAAAGTCAGTAGGGGCGGCAAAAATTGAATGGCCTACTAGCGGCAAATTTGTAAATCCGCCACTGGGCTGGACTATTGTGTGGTGACCACACTCGTAACACAAGCATTTTTTTTCTAAACTTTAAGGTTGAGGGCTATCGTTTTAGCGCTCACCAGTTAGCGCCACTGTAGAGTAAGGTCCTGTCACTTGCTAGTAGCGAAGACAGTAGCGCCAACTTGTGAGCACTAAAGTGGTAGGAGGACTATCGTATTTGCACTCATCAGATGGCGCCACTGTAGAGTAAGGTCCTGTCAATTGCCAGGAGTGCCAACTGTTAAGTATAAAAACGATAGCCCTCAGGTGTCGGACGTGGCCGACTCGAGATCCGAGGAGCGAATTGGACCAATCGCGCCTAAACGGTTCGAACCAAGTCGCTGCTGGACTTTGTGTGGTGACCCCACTTGTAACGCAAGCATTTATTTGCACTTTGTTTCATAAGACGAACTTAATACCATTGGGCATTCTCTGCCAGTTAACCTTCTAGCAGTTACCATATTTACCTTACCACGAGAAGTTAATTAGAATCTAACCTAACCTAACCTAACCTTACGACACATCTACGGAAAGAGTGGGGGAGTGGTTTTGGCAGAGAACAGGACCAGTTCTTCTTTTCCCGAACGATTAACGAGCAATGAACTGACTTCATCATCATCATCATCATCATTTCAGCCATAGGACGTCCACTGCTGAACATAGGCCTCCCCCAATGCTTTCCATGTTGATCGATTGGCAGCGGTCTGCGTCCAGCGCTTCCCTGCTACCTTTACGAAATATATACCTTTTAATGAACTGACTTAATCCTGTGTAATTTTTTGAACAGTGTATTTAGTTTATTTGAAAAACTTAAACGAAAGATCAGTTTTGGGCTAGAAAAATAAATAGCAACTGCACGTCTAGAGTCTACTATTGGCCGAAACATTTCCAGATATGTTTTTTTATGCGTAACAAAGCAGGGATTTGACCACAATCGCACCTGGCGTTAAGTGATACATATTATCTGCCCTTAACGGTAGTTAAAAGATAACTTACCACTCCCGCTTCGCCGATGATCCTGTTTTGGTCCGTCTTGCCCGTCCACAGGCAGGCGGCGCGGATGTTGGTGTTGAACTCCACGGACCGGTCCAGAGTGAGCATGAGGATGTCATCTGGAAAAACAAGTGTTATGTAATGTTAAGTTGTAAGTAAATGAAGTAAACTTTTGCAATTTTCGTAGCGTCATTCGCGAACTACCTACCTACTTTAATTCATTTCATCCATAAGTTTTGATGAAAATGGCAAGCTTTTACGCGACATAGGACTGATTTTTCAATCGTCTGATATTTTTTAACTGAAAAATAAATTTGGCACAATAACATTATCTTCCATACCTACTGAAACAATGTGCCAAATCAGACAATTGAAAAATAAGGCCCTAAGTCAAGTAAAGCTTGGCAATACTTGGCATTTTCAGTATCATCATCATCATTACAGCCATAGGACGTCCACTACTGAACAAAGGCTTCCTCCAATGTTTTCCAAGTAGCGGCCTGCGTCTAGCGCTTCCCTGTGCTACCTTTATGATGTCGTCGTCGGAAAACGCAGCGTGAGTGTTACGTCCACCCACAAGGTGGACCGACGACATCAGTATTATTGCTTTATCTCAATTAAAACAATGTAAATCCTAAGACTAAAAAAAATTAAGTGTAGATCTTGAAGATGTTCAAAAAGTACAAAACATAGGAGTAGAGTTATGAGGGAAAAAAGATCACGATGCATGTCGAAGCACCTATCAACTCCTTAAAAAGCTTTTCAAAAGTGAATGGATGTTAGGTAAGACCACAAAATAAAATAACAGTTAGGTAAGTTATTTGATAAGGTACCCTAATTGAGCATAATAAAGGTATTATAGTGTGTCTGTGAGTGTGTCTATAAAGACACCTACTTGCAAGTGTGGACGCGTTGTATCTCTCATGTATGACGGCGGAGACGAGGGTGCGCGTCTGCGAGATATCGTCGCCCCAATCCTTCACGTTGTACGCGCCCACCTTCACCACGATGTCTTGGGTGGCTAGCTTGGTGTTCTTCTGCTGCATGCAGTGAGCCGCTGAAAAGGAAAATAAGTAAGGGTCAAAGGTTAAAAGGGTTGTTAAGATAAAGATAATAATCATCATCATTTCAGCCACAAGACGTCCACTGCTAAAAATAGGCCTCCTACAAGAAAGCATGCGTTTTACTTAACTTGTGACCTAATTATGGAAGTTCGTGTACAAAACACTATGGAATGGAAAAGCCTCAGATTTGGAGGAATCCAAATCTGTGGGATAAACTAATGCCAATAGGTATAACACAGTCACAACGGACAGCCGTTGTGGATCAGGCCTTGGCGTTCGTTGCAACTTACCAGTAACCACGTGCTTTGGTGAGAGAAGCGTCCCCGCGCATATGAACGACAGAGTAGTGGCCCGCTGCTTGAAGAGGGCCACGAGCCACGGCCACTGGCCCCGGTCGTAGGCCTGCCCGTTGTAGATCAGGCCTTGATGTTCGTTCCGACTTACCAGTAACCACGTGCTTTGGTGAGATAAGAGTCCCCGCTAGGGATTNAAATTACCACTCCCGCTTCGCCGATGATCCTGTTTTGGTCCGTCTTGCCCGTCCACAGGCAGGCGGCGCGGATGTTGGTGTTGAACTCCACGGACCGGTCCAGCGTGAGCATGAGGATGTCATCTGGAAACACATGAGGTGTTACGTAATGTTAGGTTGTAAGTTAATGAAGTAATCTTTTGCAATTTTTGTGACGTCAACCGAGAACTAAGTACAGACTTTTATTACATCAGGGGATCTAAGCTAGGACTATACTGTTTAGGGGCCACGGCCAGGGGGACAGTGGATGTTATAGTGACCACTTTATTTTTAAAAACTGTTTTAATGGTAAGCTCTCGCTTGCTCTTAACAATACTAAGTGGGACAGAGTCCCCCCGGAGTCTAAAGTTCATTCAAGTATTATCACAGTACTACTGATTGATTCCTCATACGTAGAGTCAAAATGGTTGACAAAAATCTCGAGCTATGAAAAAGCTTATTGAAAGTTTTCACACTGAGAATAAATGAACTTGTAAGATTTTAACTTTATTGTAAGTACCTAAATAAGACGAGTACAAAAAGACGACTTTACTTATCTACTAACTTAACTTAACGTTTTTGCCTAGCTAAAAAGATACATAATAAAATTGAACTTTTAAGGTTCTTCGAAAGTTACAAAGGCACGTACTTGCAAGTGTGGACGCGTTGTATCTCTCATGAATGACGGCGGAGACGAGGGTGCGCGTCTGCGAGATATCGTCGCCCCAATCCTTCACGTTGTACGCGCCCACCTTCACCACGATGTCTTGGGTGGCTAGCTTGGTGTTCTTCTGCTGCATGCAGTGAGCCGCTGAGAAGCAAAATAAGGGTAATGTTTAAAAGGGTTGTGAAGATAAAGATAATAATCGCCGTCATCATTTCAGTCATAAGACGTCCACTGCTGAAAATAGGCCTCCTACAAGATAAGTATGTTTTAACATTACTGAAAATGTGAGCTACATAAACAAGGAAGTTTTGTAAACAAAAAACTACGGAATGGAAATAATGGTACATTTGGTTTAAAAAGTTCAATGAAAGGTTTTTACTAGTAATAGTTTGGTTGTTACTAGTACATTATTATTCTGTGCTAGTACTAACTACATTCTTCGGTCAGATAAGAGTCCCCGCGCATATAAAAGACAGAGTGGTGGCCACGGCCACTGGCCCCGGTCGTAGGCCTGCCCGTTGTAGATCAGGCCTTGGCGTTCGTTGCAACTTACCAGTAACCACATGTTTCGGTGAGATAANAAAAAAAAAAAAAAAACGAAACTTGGGTTCACAAGTTCTTAGTAGCAGATTATTAGTAGAGTCAGGTCATCAGTACCTAAAATAGTGACGTTACGCAAAATGCTACAGATTGTAAAATACAATATCGATTGAGTAGTGACGTCATGTCTATTAAAGATTCCAATTTCCAGTTAATCAATAAAGTCTAGCGGTCATATAACTGCTTCCGTAATGATTTAATTATAAGATCGATCAAATGAAATCTCACAAACCAATAATAATTCCAAACCTGATCTAATATAATTCGGGACTATTCCCACCTTGAACCGTTCCCACCACTGCAACTCCTGTGTAGCCAGGATCTACAGCTTGACCGCCGATAAAAGGTCAAGTTTGTTCCAGAAAAAAGTTAAACTGTCATTGGACCCGCAACGAAATTAATCAAAAGACATAGCAGGATCTAATATAGTTGTGAAGTTTCAATTCATTCCACTCGGGACTAGACTTCCAGAGCATACTCGTATGCACTCCGTTAATATTAAAGTCTTATTTCTCCCACCGCTCCCTTGGGAAATCTACTGCAGTTACCACGAAATTGTTGCCTAACTCGGCTCGCGGGGAAACTACTTCAGATTCCATTCCATTACAGTGTTTATTATACTAAAATATGGGGCGTGAATGTTGAGTGAAATAGGGCTTAAACTGTGTGATTAGTTAATTTAATTAAACATAATTATGTGTATTAATTATAGCGTCGAACGTAATTAGTCTATACCTACTGTAGGTGGGAGTAATACCTACACATTCATTATAAGGTGAAAGTTTGTGACTATGGATGTTTTGTAAGTATTACCACAGAATAATAATAAGTACTACGTACAGAAGTTTTTACTTCACGCTAAAACTACATGACAAATTATAATTTATTTTTGATATCATCCGTAATTATGACACAGCTAAAACTCAATTTTTACAAGAGTAAATGTTTGGGAAAAACCTAAACATATTTAGGTTAGTATAGGTTTTTGTGAAGTTTTTTTCCCAGAGTTAATACAACATTGTAGAGTTAGTTTGACATTTACTCATAATTTAAACAATGATTCATGAAATTTAAATCATAAATTCTGGTTAAGTTTTTCCCAAGTATTTTCCCAGAGTGAGAGTTAGTACTTATTATTATTTTGTGCTAATACCTATGTAGAGTTAATTTCACATTTATAAGGGTATGGTTTAAATGGGTTCAACGTTATTTTCCCGTGGATGTGCTAAGAGGCGACTGAGGTATAAATGCGTGGATAGGGTTGCCAGGTGTCCGGGTTTAGCCGGACATGTTTGGCTTTTTACGGTCTTGTCCGGCCAAATTACGGCTTTTTATGTGACTGCCGCACCACGAAAGTCGAGTTACAAGCGCACGCATCAGGATATTGGGAAACCGATGATGATAGTACTCACTCGTGAGCTATGACAAATTGCACATTGACAATTTAGGGTAAAATGTCCGGCCAAATGAAGCACAGAGTCCGGCTTTTGTGTTTTTGGACCTGGCAAATCTATGCGTGGAGGGTCTAATCCTCCACTTGCCTCTATAAATTAAAAAGAGGTTGTGTTCTTGCAGTGGAGACCAAATGACCTGATGACGTTAACACAACGTTATACGTAAAAATCGAGTGTTAATGATTCTATCCAAACGAAAAAACCCCGGGTTGAGTATTTACATAATTTTCCGGGATCAATGACGTCGACAAACATAGTTACGGGTCCCGGACAGGGCTCTAAGGGCATCGTTAAGGGCCCCGGATTTCTCCGGATTTGCGGCCAGACCCGGATTTTGGGGCGCTGACTTCTTTATAAGGTTTTTATTGCTCTGATGTTGACCGCGGAGAAATTCTTTGAAGGACTAAGAGAGGTTATCAGTAAATAAACACTTTATTTGTAGCAAATAAGATACATTTGTAAGCTTAAGTGTAATAACACCTTATTTAATCAGTTTTTATTTCACTTTGTTGGCATGATAATATAGTAAAAAGAAAAGTTACTAGGTATACAGGGTGTTTGGCGCATCGTGTGCCAAATTGATTTGGCGGATAGAATGGGTCATTTCCTATATTTTCAGCCCCCATAACACGTTCCATGTCAGGCGGCTACTTTTATATCAAGTTTTTGAGTAATTTCACCAAAATACCCAAAACGCATCATTTAATTTCGATTTAAAAAAAAACTACTAAGCGTAGCCTCAAAGTAAATATTTTGTTTTGACGTGCATTGATATAGGGTTGCATCAAATCTAAATTTACTGGCAAATATCATCTAGTTTTCTTTTAATTCAGCTTTGAACTTTTCCGAAAAGTTAAAAATGGACTGAACATTTAAGTTTACATGGCTATAAAATTTTTTTTAAAAGAGATAGCGATCTTCGGATTTTATCAAAACTTTTCTAGTCTATCCCCATTCAAACGGTATACTAATCTTGTTTAAATAATAACAACAACTTCACAAATTCCCTAAATTAGTGCATTGACTCTATTCGGACTGATTTGCGAAATTTGTGTTTATAGCCCNTCCCTGCGCATATGAACGACAGAGTGGTGGCCCGCTGCTTGAAGAGGGCCACGAGCCACGGCCACTGGCCCCGGTCGTAGACCTGTCCGTTGTAGATCAGGCCTTGGTGCTCGTTCCAACTTACCAGTAACCACGTGCTTCGGTGAGATAAGAGTCCCTGCGCATATGAACGACAGAGTGGTGGCCCGCTGCTTGAAGAGGGCCATGAGCCACGGCCACTGGCCCCGGTCGTAGGCCTGCCCGTTGTAGAACAGGCCTTGGTGCTGGTTCTAACTTACCAGTAACCACGTGCTTCGGTGAGATAAGAGTCCCCGCGCATATGAACGACAGAGTAGTGGCCCGCTGCTTGAAGAGGGCCACGAGCCACGGCCACTGGCCCCGGTCGTAGGCCTGTCCGTTGTAGATCAGGCCTTGATATTCGTTCCAACTTACCAGTAACCACGTGCTTTGGTGAGATAAGAGTCCCTGCGCATATGAACGACAGAGTGGTGGCCCGCTGCTTGAAGAGGGCCACGAGCCACGGCCACTGGCCCCGGTCGTAGGCCTGTCCGTTGTGGATCAGGCCTTGGTCTTAATTCCAACTTACCAGTAACCACGTGTTTCGGTGAGATAAGAGTCCCCGCGCATATGAACGACAGAGTGGTGGCTCTCTGCTAGAAGAGAGCCACGAGCCATGGCCACTGGCCTCGGTCGTAGGCCTGCCCGTTGTAGATCAGGCCTTGATATTCGTTCCAACTTACCAGTAACCACGTGTTTCGGTGAGATAAGAGTCCCCGCGCATATGAACGACAGAGTAGTGGCCCGCTGCTTGAAGAGGGCCACGAGCCACGGCCACTGGCCCCGGTCGTAGGCCTGTCCGTTGTAGATCAGGCCTTGGTGCTCGTTCCCGCCGGCGATCACGCCACACTCGTTGTTGCTATCTGGGATGCTGAAATACAAAATTGTACCTGATCAAATACTATAATAGGAACATTGAAGCATATCTGGTCGGAATATTAATTGATATTTATTGTCCGTGGTGCATAATCTTTTCTTATAGGTTTTAAACCTTTGTTTGTCACCTGTCATCCGCTTTGCAATGGAGGGAAGTCGAACCTTAATTTCGAACTCCTCCTATGTTCTTCTGATTAATTTCGTTGCGGGTGCAATGTTAGGTCCAATGACAGTTTAACTTTCCCCCGAGACAAACTTGACCTTCATTGGTTGGGTTTTTGTGGCGGTCAAGCTGTAGATCCTGGCTACACAAGAGTTGCAGTGGTGGGAACGAGAGGTGGGAATAGTCCCTGGTTGGAATATTGGCTATTTTGTAACAAGAATGGCATAATAATAGAAGCTGAATTTTAAATGTATAATCAAACACTATTAAATTATGCGCTCACGAGAACTCAAAACAATTTGTGTAGTCTGATAAAATCAAATGTGATCGGAATGCAAACATTTATTAGTCTACATTTACAGGAAATTGGTAGACAACAAAACACGTCACACAACTAAGTAGTTTGGCATCATCATTCATCATCAACCTAATTTTTATTCATGTTAGATTGTTGAATTACGAGGTTATTTTGCTCGCAACTGTCATATTTTTGTTTTTAAATTATTTAAAACTGGCTTTTGCCCGCGGTTTCACCCGCGTGAAATTTAGTTTGTCACAGATCATCATGAATTATAGCCTATATGTTTATCTGGGTTTTAAACAATAATACTGTAAAGTTTCATCAAAATCCGTTCAGTAGTTTTTGCGTGAAAGAGTAACAAACATCCAGACATCCAAACTTTCACATTTATAATATTAGTAGGAAGTAGGATAAGATAGTAGGATAGGATATTAGTAGGATAAACCCACTCTCTATAGTTAAAAAAAAAGTAAGCGAATATTTAAACAAATGGCACAAGAAGTAAAAAAATCGGCTTTCAACTTACAGTGAAGGCTTTGCATTTTGCCCGTCGAGCTGGTCAGGTTTAGAAGGGCGGTAGACAGGCCTTTTGGTTGTTTCGTAGGGGTTGTAGTCAGGAGGAGGAGTTAGCGGCGTTTCCTGTTTTGGTGGTGGTGGTGGTGTCGTTTTGATCGGGCGAACTGGTGGTCTTTCAGTCTCGTAAGGGTTAAAGTCTGGAGGTGGTTGGTCGAAGCGAGTTGGATTCTCGGGGAACCCTGGATAGAACTGAGCTGGTGGCGTCTGGGGGTATCTAGACGTTGTAGTAGTTTCCAAAAACACTTGGAAGTTCTGGCCACCACCCGGCTGAGACGAGCCTTGAGTTTTGTTCACGACGAGAGTGTAGTAAGCTGTAATGAATTACATTTTATAACTGCATAGCTACAGTAAGTGACAGAATTTCAATTAGGTATGAGCGTCCTAATGGGGTAGGAATGACATAAGAATTTAAATGGTAAACAGGTCTAATATTGTTACCTTTTGAGTAAATAAGAGAATGACACCTAGGGTGAGTTGCACCATCTTACTTTAACAAACGTCAAAAATTTGTCAAACTGCATACTAAAAGCACCGGTTATCGTTATTGTAACGGTTAAAGTTAGGTGCAGGTACAACTCAGCTCTAGTCTTTGTTCCGAGCTTAGATATTTGGACCACTATCTAGAATCAACATTACAAAGATATTTAAAGTACTAAATATTTAAGATTTTACCTCCATTAGATCCCTGTAACGTAAACTTCTGCGTCGGGGCTCCAGCCGTGTTAGTAGGGACCCCAGTGATGGTGATTGGTCCATTGAAGATGCCAGTTACATCCGGCCTGCCGAATGAAGGCTGTTTGTTAACCGGTTGGTTATAAACCGGTTGTTCGTAAACCGGTTTGCTGTAAACCGGTTGGTTGTATATTGGCTTCTCAGGGATTGTGGGCTCGTAGGGGTACAATACGCTGTTAGGAGACCCTTCGCGGAGGTACAGCATATGTTGGAGACTGATGGTGCTGATGTATTGGCCTGGCTGTGAAAAATCTGAAATTAAAACGAATTTTATGTCTACGGATTTGATGAAGGAAGGTCACTCGTCATGTCCTTTATAAATCACATGGTGAGCTGTCATTCTTGTGAATCATATTATTATCAAGGAAAAGGCCATTTTTTGAGTCATAGTTGTTGCATACCTATAGGTTTGAGAAGAATATTGTTGCATGGGACTCTATTGCGAGTTTTAGACACTTGTTGATATCAAATACTGTTCTTAATATTAAGATTTTTGCATTTACAAATTTAAAAAACTTGAAAATAAATACCAACGAGCGAAAGATTGGGTCTTGGGTTCAATTCGTTGCCTACGCCGCAAAGGGGCGAACATCATACAATAAATGGTCAAAAAGCTCCATTCTTCAGGCACTATGTCGTTTTTTGCTCTCCTGTATAATTTTATGCGATCCACACTGATTATGACCGCAGTCTGTGGAGGAACACTACGAGCCTTGTCACACTGGCGGATCGCAAGCGTTTTCAAAGCGGAGTGGTGACGCAGCGAACGCTTGCAATCCGCCAGTGTGACAAAGGCTCTGTCGTGAGCCTCATGAGGAGGCACCGAGGAAGAAGAAGAAGTAGTATAATTTGTTCGTTTGTTCGTTCGTTTCAGCCGAAAGACGTCCACTGCTGGACAAAGGCCTCCCCCACACTTCCTGGGCGGGGCACATAGCTCGAAGAGCTGATGGCCGCTGGGGCAGGAAAGTTCTTGAGTGGCGACCACGAGCCGAAAGACGTAGCGTGGGCAGGCCTCCCACTAGGTGGACCGACGATCTGGTGAAGGTCGCGGGAGGTGCCTGGATGCGAGCGGTGCAGGACCGGTCTTTGTGGAAGTATGATTATTTTATAAAAAAAAGTTAAAATTTTGGCGCAAAATCAAACAAATTGGTTACCTGGCGGTCCAGAGCACAGCTCCTGGTTGTTGACCACGAGCGACGTGAGCTTGGGCAGCGGGGAGGTGACGGGGAAGTGCACGCGGTACGTCAGCGGCGCCCCCTGGTTGAAGCGCTGGAGCGAGTGCTCTTCGTCCACCGGCTTTATTTGGCCTACGTAGTTCTGAAATATAAGAAAATTCAGTGGAACATAGAACCTCCTCCTTTAAAATGGCTTATTCCACTTATCCCCGTTGACAATCCCCGTTAACGCCAATTGGAGCTTATAATGGGGAATAATGAACTAAAAAGTTCATTAATCCCCGTCATATTAGTATTTTATTTTTAACGTAATGGGGATTAGTGACCTTTTTAGTTCATTATTCCCTATTTTAAGCTCCAATTGGCGTTAACGGGGAATAGTGGAATAAGTCTTTAAAATGTCCATACTTTGATAAAGGGCCATATCTAGTAATACCTAACTGTACCTAACACCCGTATACACAATACGATGCTTGCTTATGAAGCAGCAAATCGAACGCACATCGTTGAATAGAGCTCTGTGATTGGTTCGTGTGTCGCCCTTTGCGTCCACGCGCACTGTAAGACCTCATAGTAATGTTTGTGAATACGGGTATAAGTCTATGAAAATAGGTGTACATTTTTTTTAGCTTTTAAGTGCACATTTCAAGGAATGAAACAATTTTACATTAACTATGTTCTAAGAATATAGACACATCGGCGTCTTATCTCGTTGCAATACAGGCTGTTAGGCAGTATAAATGTGTAGTCTCATGTGCTGTTGACTGTACTAGATTAAAAAGATACTATTTATTACGAATAAACTTATGAATAAAGGACAAAACCTCGCCTGGCGACAATGTCTGGTGGAAATACCATGCCATTTAGGTACCAATTAGGTGGTCAATTTTAAACGAAAAAGGCAATTCATTAAGACCGTCCATGCTTTATTTTGTTTACAGCGTCAAATATATACAGCAATTTTAAAATCTGCGTAACTTTTGAGTTTTTCATACTAAAGACATCAACGCAGTAGCGGAAGCTGAAAGAAAATAAAAATAATGATGAATTTTAAATTTATTTTTGAGACATATATTTTGTTACTCGATAAATACAATAAAGATTGCTGATTGTTTTGTTGTAAGTTGGCGGAACGATATTATCCATTTGATAAAAAGAAGCGATATAGTGCTACATTAACCATACTACGAACAGGTACATTATTTTTTGCAGTGTGGTAAATCCAAGATACCTATTTTTTAAGATATTTATTAATTGCTCAGTATAATTGTAACAATTTGCTAAGATATCAGCTGTTATAATAATTACGTAATCGTAAACAACTTGATTATCTTATGTAATAGGACGTATTATCCATATGAATGTTATTAGTGACTTCAAGACTAAATTAAATTCATCAACAAAAGTGATTATTAAATACCGGACTGTAGTTAATTGCTACATATTTAAACATATGTTAAAGGCTAGGAGAAAATGGGAATCCCAGCGATTAGCAAGATTGACTGTAACCAGTTTTGAGTAGGGTCATTCAACTCGTATACTACGATACATATTTTCCAAAAGATCTAGGTCAGATTTTAGATTAAATACTTTTTTTTTTTTTTTTTTTATCCACAACGAGGAAGCTCTTGGCCTGTATCTCACCTGATGGTAAGTGACGATCAGGCCGAAGGTGGAAGCGAGCTTCACCCGGAATCCTCAACCACGGAGGAACTGGCTTACCTCTAACTGTCGAAACACAATAATGCTGTTAACATTGTTGTTATGGCGACAGACTTAGGTAAGATGGTGGTAGCTAGCCAGGCGGACTTAGAACAAGCCCTACCACCAACCAAACCGAACAGAAAAATCTGTCCCCACTGGGAATCGAACCCGGGACCTCTGCGTCTGAAGCAGGTGGTCTTACCACAAGACCACAGAGGCGGTTAAACGGTTAAACTTATAAGTTATAATACAACAGTTGATTTATATTTTATAGTTGGACGCGTACTTACCATTTTCCACCATTCTCGTATTCATTTTTCCTTGCTAAAAGATATCGCATGAACCAACTTATATTATTGGACATTAGATCACACTCTCGCTTTCGTAGTAGGAAATCCCTCTTCGGCTTTGACAGACTTTTTAACTACACACGATATATTTTATAAATATACTAACTATAGCCTAAAAGAAAGGTGGTGATATTTGCAATTGAATTTCAATTTAAAGATTTTTATTTAAAAACTTCTAAAGTGTAGAAGAAATTAAAACTACATATTAACAGTATTTGAAGGCCAATATTAGGTACTGAGTAAAAACTTAAAAAACTTAACATAATTTTGTAATGCCATCCTTAGTAATAGTCGTCTTAAATGTTATTCGAAGGTACCTACTAACTAAATATAACTTTCTATAATAAGTAGTTACCTGGTCCAATAAAGATCATGGTAAGTCGTATTATTTGATAACTATTAAATCTACATAAAAGTTATTTATTTATCCAGTGTGGTATCTTTATAGTGCTCTACTCTGAGTCCAGTTTCAATAGTAATAGGGTCGAAAATACCTTGTAAACATAACAGGACACGTAATTAACGTTTCACGGATACTATTACGAAAGTATTTTTCCCCATACAAAGTGGTAAATCTGGTTTCTGATGGCATCTGTCATTCGACAGCTGACTATTGATCCTTAGTGGTATAATCTTAAGAATCATTTTACATAATATTTTTGCGTGACTGTATCCGTGAAGAACCTGACTTAACAGTGCTATTATATCCTTTTAAATGTCAGACTATTTACATTTACTACAATTTCTCTTATAATCATTTACTTACTCTCCTCAATATTTTTTAATTTGATCAAACTGACTGAATAGGTATCCTAACTACATAAACACCTTCAAACATTCATATTACACCAGTCTCGGAGCATGCCTATGGAACTTTTTAGTTTTCCCTAAGCTCTACATTGTCTGTATTAGTGACTGTCATTGACCACCTCTTGTGGATTACAGTGACCACTAATTTAGTTGGTTGCCCGTGGCACTTTATTGATCTTAATCATCGTTAATACCTAAACTATAACTGGTTTCTGAATGCGTTAGTTCGTCCTCTCAAAATAATAAAAGTAACAAGCTCAAGAATTTTTCAGATTATCCAGATATGTAAGTAGTAGGACCCAGTAGGACTCAGGTAATAAGTTGAAATTCAACACTGGTGAATATTTAATTGGTTTTACGTGATTCATTGATTATTTTTCATTGATTTAGTTTTTGGTTAGTTTGTATTATAGTACTTGTTTCCTGCTATAAAGTCACATCTACCTAACAACTATGTATAGCAAGTAGCGGTTATTGATTGAATAAGTATTTTATATGCTGGTTATTACGTTCAATTAAATTATACGTTTTACTGCGCAGATGATTTATCGAAGAATAAATTAACACACTATCCTGAACTCTATAAATACTGTTAATTAAGACATAATATCAGTTTCATGCTTTTATGACACCTTTAAGATAATTTCGATGGTTTGAATGAATATAATAAGTATTGGGTACTAAAAATTTATTGATGATTATTATTAAGCATCACATCAAACAAAATCCAGTTCCACTGACCTCTAATGTCATGGCAACACCCAAAATAAAAAATAAAAAACCCATTCATTTGAAAAGGAGGTCGTACGGGATTCCGTCGCGGATTTTTGTATAAACAAAACAATGAACAGTTTCATTCTGTGCTTTAAGGAAAACTTGCACTTCGCGGTCACTTGAAGAGATGAAAGTGCAAAGCCCTTACCTTATGTGGGCAAGAGAACCGTAAAGAGGCTATTTATCATTCTTGGGGGCAAAAACCTGTCGTTAACAACTGTAGACTCTAGACAAATAAGTATACTCGTAGCTGCCGGTAGGCAGGACAATGATTCCATACTATAGCTTCATAAATGAAAATGAAATGGTTTCAAGTCAGACACGAACACAATAAAAAATTAACAAAACCACCGAATGTTTTGTTGATTCAAATTATCATTGAATAATTTAAATATGTCAATCTCTGGAATCTCTTGTATGGAACAAAAGGCAAACATAAATCCACAAAACTATTTGTCAATCGCATAACTACACTGGTCATCACAAAAATCGACCCTCCCGCGACAAGGACTTTCAAACGTATGCATCCCCACTTCCCACCAATATTGGCACCATTTAAAAGCCTAGTTCTAAACTTCATTTCATTAAAGGAAAGGTTTTTACCCCAAAAATGTGTCTGTAGAAGAATCCAGAGTCACTTCTTAAAAAAATAGGTAGTTACGCTTGAGCCAACTTTTATGGCTATAAAACTGTTAAGTTGGGATTAATCGCTATCCATCTGTTAAGGAGGACACGTGTGATCATTACTTGGTTTTATAACCATAAAAATTGGTCTAATTGATCCCAGAGGTGAGCCCAAAGTGAGGTCTTTTTTCAAGTCACATTTATTGTATATCGCGTTTATGTTAATCGTTTATTAAGAAATTAAATGTGTTTTTCTTTAAGGATATTTATTAGGCTTTCAAATAACACCAATATTGTTGGGGCACCATGATTGTGTCAGTAGAAACGAGTTTTCCTGTAAAACGTAGGTGGGCCGATTTTTGTGATGACCAATGACTATAGTAGCCTACCTACTAGATCATTATCCACTGAAAATAGTCAATAATGAATTGAATTCACAGATTTAGTTTTCGTAGTACTTAGTTCTCTGAAGTGTAAACGCGGGGGCAGCGTTTACATTTCACACTTATATCACAAGAACTAATAATCCGAAATAAACTTGTTGTGTACCAAACACAAAGAACTTCGGCATACTCTACATTTGAAATTGGCATGTCATTGCCAGTAGATAATACATATTTAACAAGAAGAACATGTTATGTGTTGTAGTCAGAAGTTACACAATCATAAGTAGGGAATACCTACTTATGATTGTGTAACTTCTGACAAACATTGTTCGTGATGTACTCCATCCGACTAACTACTACAAGATTAAATAACTGTTACGATTTTTCGACATACCTACTTTTCATGTAGAAACTTTCGCACTACTAACTACAAGAAAATGGTCTAAACAAACACGCGTCCACCAATCATATTATCACCAATTTCATTATTTTACTTACTGAGTGCATATAATAGAGGGATGTCATCGACCATTTTTTCCTGGCCTGGTGTATGTGTATAAATTAAGAGCTAAATAAAACAGTAGCTATATGTATTACGCCTCACTTACATGATTACTAGCATTTATGATATAATAGTCACATTAGTAATAATTGAGACTGATCAATGTATATTTATTAAGGACTAGCTTTCCGCACGCGGCTTTTCCCGGGGGTTTCCCGGAAATTATTCGAATTTTAATGTAAAAACCATCCTTGGACTTCAAGGAGCATTAAAAAAAGAATTGGTAAAGTTTTATACAGGGTGTTGATTTCAATCCTCGCCATATTTAGGGAGTTGATTAAGTAGCTTATTGATCACGAATCAGTAAAAATTTGACTTAGCTAAAAAATTAAATAAAAAAAATCTTTCGTTTGTATTTTTTTTGGTGGATAATGCGTTTATATAATCATAATAGCCTAACCTTTTTTTTTTTTATTTCGGGGAAAAATGCATTGAATTGCATACCTATCCTGCGGGGACAGGGTAGGTTATGTGGGGCTCACCAAGTCAGAAGGACAAAGGCATACCCACTAAAAAGACCCCGGTGCTCCGTCATTCGCCTTAAGTGGGATTCCGGACAAAGCCTTCACTACCACAGTCCCTCCCGGCGATTGCCCGCCTACACGGCGGGCCCTACAGGCCCACCAGGACGGGGGGCGACGGGAGCAGCTAGGATCACACAGCTGTTCCCGTCCGACGGTGGTGGTGGCCTCTGCAATGCAGGCGAGGGCGCCCCCACGCCCCCGGCCCGCTGGCCATCACCGAGGAGAGGAAACTGGAGGCGATCATACTGTCGCCTCCTCTGACCCCTCCGCCGTCGCCGGAGTGAGGGCGCGTTTGGATCATCTTCGCGCTCTCGCTCCGCAGCCTCCTTCTGTGATATTACATCTTCGCAAAAGGAGGCCAATAATAGCCTAACCTAACCTAACCTAAACAAATATGGCGAGGATTGAAATCAACACCATGTATAATAGAAGATTATTTACATAACATCTTTAAAAACGTATCAAATACAAATTATTATTAAAAAATATTTAAAAACGTATCAAATACAAATTTAAATTAAAGAATCTTTAAAAATATCAAATACAAATTATAATTTTATCAATCCTCGAATGTGCCTCTTGTACAAGTATAACGAACTTTTTGAATTTGTTGTTTAGTGGGGGGAGGTATAAATTCAAAAAGGTCCGTTGAGTTCATTAATTGCATTTTTAAATTAGTATCCACCATGTACCTACTATACTTAAAATATTAAAATTTTTGGCATGCCTTATTTATCTAAGTAGTAAGTGCTTAAGGTGTTGTTTTCTGGTGATAGTTTATGATGAATATTCATAAGTTTGATATTTGTAAGAAAGAGATTTATACCTGTGTTTTACATATAAACGGGACTTGACTACCATTCGTCATGATATTTTATGGAAGCGGTTGTATTTTGCGAGTTGGCGTATGTTATAAGCGTGAAGATAATGTTTAAGAAAGTAAATTACGTCAAAATATGCATAAAAAGTTTTAATTAAGAAATTCTCCATTCATATAATTAGTTATTTATTTTCTTCTCTTCAATATCCGTATTTCCAGTACACAACTAAAGTTAGGGTTTTTGTGGTTTTAAAATTTAATGAATTTAGTTGAGTATGCTCGTGTCAAACAGGATTTTCGAAATAATTCATCAAAGTCACGCAATAGTTTCGTTTTTCGCAACAAAAACAATTTAATTACAAGGTTAACTCGTAAGGTTATTGGTCCTTTTTGCCTACTCGGAAATAGACGTTTGGTACCTATGTTACACGTGTTTAAAAAAAAGGAAAATTTTATAACGCCCTGGTACAATATTTTCATCAATTTACCCATAAACAGAAAGTTTCCTAAGCTTTTTTGCTCTACTTACTGTGAATCTTGCCCGTTACTAAAACTGCAGTATTTGTGTCATCAAAAAAAGAATTAAATAAACCAATTTATACGAGTAAATTCGTAAATAGAATTAATTAATTCTCGTCATGTTAACATCCTTCTGACATTCCAATAATGCTTTCATAGAACTAGTTTGACGACAAAGGACCTGATCATAAAAATATTAAATTTCGATATTTTTCGTCTACGTTCTTAATTGCTATTTCTTAATTATTCTGATTATGTAAATCCGATGTCGCAGCTTGGTTAGGTAAGTAACCTCAAATTGGATATTATATTCCGGGTCACAGCACAGGTGAAAAACCTGGTCTATTTCTATTCCACTTTGATCACCTGGGTGAACAAATACAGGTGATCAAAGTGGAATAGAAATAGACCAGGTTTTTAAAGTGGACTCCATGCTACACTTTGGTATCCTTTGGCACAGAATAAGTAATAGTACAGGTACAGAAGGATTACTCCGCAAGACGATTTAAATAAATGCGAGTCTTGCTGCGACGCGATACAGTGGAATTCAGCTCGCACAGCACTACGTACTTACAATTTTATTCACCTACAAGTTTTGTCTCTTTCTATCGCGTGCCTCTGAACTCTTCTTACGCTGTTAGGGTTGCTGTCTAGTGGAAAAAAATTATAAATCTACTTATATGTCATGAGGTACGTACCTCATGACAAGTATGTATGTAAGTACGCATTCACTATGGAAANTAGATCAAAAACCTAACCGTATGCTTTGAACTTTTCAATTCTTCACGTATAAAGTATTAAAATGTTGAGACGAAAGCAAGTAAGTAGTTACTTTCTTTTAACAACATATTGTATGTTGTACACGAACCTAACTCTTGATAAATAAAACATTTGTTTGTGAGAGTCAGATACCTACGTTGACGTCAACAACAGCTACAAGTTTTCGAAAATTTATTTTGTTGACAAATAACATCATCACTTGGCCTTCTTTGGTTGGGTTTTTATTGGCGGTCAAACTGTAAATTCTGGCTTTCCAGGAGTTGCAGCGGTGAGAACCAGAGAAAGGAAAAACCTTTGTCTGAGTCGTTATGGTAGAGCTACGAGTATTGAATTGTATAACTTGTGTCTTGTTTACTCTTTTTAAGCATTTGAGTTTTACTAGGTCCAACACATCGAATCACATGTTGGAAGGNTTTGGAAAGTTTGGCTATTTCTTAATGATGCCTTAGTTGTGTATAATTATTAGTTGTGAGTCACCTATCTATCTATTCAAAAACTATCAAAACCACTCACCACAGAACATACCTACCTAAAGTTTTGGTTGAATAATATTATTCTTGGAAATAGGATTAAGTTACACATTAGAGCTTTGTGATCTTTTGCAAATTCAAATTTCATAATTAACGAGAACGCAGTAAGTAGGAATTCCAACTTTATTCAACTTTATTATGATATATTTAGGATCATATTTTGAAGGTCAAGGTTAAATAATCATATTTTGAAGTCACCTTTGAAAAGCTATTAAGATTTGACTCGTTTAAAATAAGACACAATGGCAATGGCTATGAGTTGAAATCCCAAAATTATTCGTCGTTTTTCCTGTAGTAACCATGCAATTTGCATTTTTGAAAAAAAAAACATTTAAAAGTAGAGAGTTTGTTAAGGACTGGTCTTATATTTTTAAGAACGTACTAACTAGGTACCCACCAACATTTAAACTTTTCTGGAAATTCAAACACCAATTTCGTTCTTATGAATTTTGCATTTCGTGCACTGATTATTGGTGCAACGCGATAATGCTATAACCTACATGGGCTTAAGTAACAAAGTAACTAACATTCAACATAGATTCAATTCCCTCAATTCCGTGAACACTTCTTATTCTTCTTCGAGCTTTGAACGAATGTCAAGAAATAGCAAAGACTACGGCACAGTAGAGCCCATGCTCTAGGTACCAGTTTCACAGCGATATTATGAATTGGAAATGAAAACAACACTTCAATAATTAAAAGTATATAGTAGACTGCCGCGTTATCTGTCCAAACACACTTTTTCGCCCAAACTTTTTCGTGGTTTTGAACCTAAATAAAACTTTTTATTTTTCACGTTTATTAAGGCGAAATTGGCTAATTCATTTTCTTAAACAATTTAATCCAACTGGTTTCGCAGTAGGGGTGTGTGTGTCAAGACTGTGCTACCTAACTTGTTTCGTGAAGCTTTGTGTGAAATCATCTTCGCGTGCTAAGCTGCTCTCGTTGCTACGAATTTTTTGCCGCGCTCGTAGTCGTTTGCTGTAGTAATTTAACCTCTAAATAACTCTTAATTTACTACGAACTGGATTTCGTGGTAATTTATGTTTAGGTAGACGTTGATTTATTAAGTTAATAGTTTGTAGGTACTTGAATGTAAAGTTGTTATCATTTGATGCAAAATTCGAGATGAGACTATTTTAAAATAAAGTGGATAAAATCGGATTACTTAACAGTCATCTTATGTTATTATTCAGCCTTAGCTATGTGCTAATGTATAATGCAAAATGTAAATACCTAAAACACACATTACACAGGTGCATTTTGCATAGTGTTTCCTTATTTTATGCCCCTTATGATACTAAAAACTTAGGTGCATGGGTCCATAGATTACATACGAGTATACGACTTATTTATACTAGATTTAATAATAATTTAATGTTAATTTATGAAAAACTTGCTGTTAAGTAAGTTTTGCTTTTGAAGCAACGCCTTTTAAATAATTGGCAACCATTTTGAAAATTCATAATATCTCGATGAGGAAAAAAAGCACGACAAAAGGTAAAAACTTTCTAAAGCGTCTGAAAGTTAATTTACCTATTTAACTATTACTTACAGAAGGCAGTCTTGCAGCAATGGTGAAGTTCACCCTAGTGGTGATGGCCGACACTGGTCCATTGGGCTGTATCTGGATCAGCCCGTGTATCCCCAATTCATCGTTTATGTATTCAAAAGTCCCTGGGCACGGCGACTGGCCGTCTCCGCTCGAGATGAGTCCAACAACAATAACACTCACTAGAAGATACATTTCGAACTCCTGAATTGTTATTCCCGGTACATTATTTCACGGATCACGTCCGACCGCGGTCACGGCCGGGGAAGAACTCACAGGTGACGACGTATTCGTAATGTATGGTCCACCGGTCATACGTCTCCAAAGCTGGCTGAGAAATGTTGCGCACTGTCCTTGCGGATTGGTAAAACCGCTTTGAGACGCGGCGCGCGCGTTTGTGCTTTGTATGGCGGACGGCGGTTCTACGAATCTAAAAATACTTACTCGTAGGCTTATGAACAATATATTCTAAATAGTTTATTGGTAATCATAACTAAAAATAAACATATTACGCGAATATAAAATTATATATTAGGTATGTAAGCATCATCCAATGACGTACAAGAATGTGTTTCGAGCGAATAGCTAGCTTACGTTAACCCTTATTCAAATGCGAGCTGGTATGCATTTTTTTTACAAAGTTGAAGTGGATTTTGGGTAATTGTGGGTCACATATTTCATATTTTTGATCAAAATTTATGAAAAAATAGGGGAAGGGGTAGTTTTTTAGGTGGTAAATAATTTACCATTATCCATTCATGACTACAAATTATTCAATGTTGGTGGTAAAATAGTTACCATTGTCCGTTTTGGTTTATTTTTGGTTCTTGACTAGTGACTTCCTCTAGGTTCTACCTATATTTTATTAAATATTTTGGGAATGAAATAAATTTATTATTTTTATAAAACAATATATTTATTAATATTAGTTATCATGCTTACAATTATTATGCTTACCTTGAGTCTGACACTAACAATTCACTAATTACGTAAAGTCAAAACGTTACGTAAACATTTATCAAAATAACTTAAAATTTCTCCAAATATTTATTTAGTTTTATTTGTTCATATACAAAAAACAACAGTTTTTTTATATATCAACAAACTTTTGTCAAGACGGGATCGGACAATGGTAAACTATTTACCACTTCTTTAAAATGTCTAAATTATATGAATAAATCAATTGCAGACACTGCCTATAAGTGAGATTATACAATAAATCATATAGTTTAGGAATTTGAATCGAAAAAACACTTATCAGAATTTTCTTTGAACAAAGTTTCAAAAATACCAAAAATGCGCGCTAAAAACATGAAATTTTTCACACCAAAACCGTTTGGTTGACTTTGACATTACCTGACAGTGACAAATGACGTTGAAAAGTAGTAATATGGCATAGATAAGTTAAAAAATATATTCAAAAATATAAATAGGTGACCACGATATCTTTAAGTATTACCATATCGAAAATTAGGATCCTTTTTTAAAAGTAAACAAAGTGGTAATATATCTACCTTTATTTGAATAAGGGTTAAACGAGTGTTGAAGCTTTCCTTTATGACACTCTTCACTATACATGTGTATTAACATTTAAATTACCTGAAACACACAGTTTATTTTGTTTTATTAATATTAATTATTTTTAATAAATCCTTACTTTACCTGCGTATTAAACTAAGTACCTAACATAGGTACCTTCTCTACATTAATAGAAGAACTTAGATTTAAAACCACTTTATGTAGGTATACTTTTAAAGTACTAAAATAGTTATCATATTTGAATGCTGACATGTTTCGAAATAATATCGTATAGCGTTAAACATCAATTTGGTATCGCATGATGGCACAGCGCTTCCCTTTGGAAATACCGGTTTCATAGTTACTTATGTTACTCTATTAAGATATAGTCATATGACGTACTATGTGGAGACGACACAGTTAGTAGGTAGGTTAGGACTGGGAGGTAAGGCTACAGCTACACAACTAATAAAATAAGTATCGAGGCGCTACGAGAGTCGTAGCTCGAAGTGCACAATTTGCCATTTGTATGAGTTTGCAAGCTTTTACATGCGAGATTTTAATTAGCATTTTAGAAAATACCGGGTGTTAGGAGGGGTTAGGGGTAATGAGCCGACACTAGCCCATGTTAACATGGGCATATAAATGGTAATGTGAAGTCAGAAAATTAATATCTTAATTTTAATTATTTTAATTTTCATACAAATCGTATTTTATAAAAAATATTTTGTATAAAAATTTAAAAAATTAAAGTGATGATATCAAATTTCTGACTTTACCATACCATTTATATGCCCATGTTAACATGGGTTAATGTCGGCTCATATACCCGTTTATCTAGCACCCTGTATATTACTAGTATTTTGAGTTTGATTTTATTCGACAGAACGTGTCACGACTTATCACTATTGTGGACTGAGCCTTAGAATATTTAACAATGAATGTGTTAATTTAAAAATAAGATAGGAAAAACATAACCTTTAATGAAATAAATTGCAATTAAATGGAACAGAACTAGTTTTATTCAAAGTTTTGCGGTTTGATGTTTTTTGTAGATTTCGTAGGTGGATCGGTGTAGGTACTGTACCTATCTTGCTAGCAGCTTAAAACCCAGCAGGAAAATCCCAAATGGTAGAATTTAATAAATATTTATAGGACCCTATCCTTTGAAAATTAATGTTCAGATGGTCATAAATTCACGGCTGGTTTGTTAAATGTGACCGAATGTGTGTTTAACCCATCAATTGCTTAATTTTTATAGGACTTTCGACACATCAATGGGTTTTACGCATGAAATATGGGTAAAACACGTAAAACATCGGAACAACTTACTTGTTTATCTATCTATAATATAATACCGCGTATATGGTGTAGTGCTTAGACCACCTGCTAGATCCAGAGGTCCCGGGTTCGACTCCCAGATTTTTCTATTCGGTTTGATTGGTAGTAGAGCTTGTTCCAAGTCCGCCTGGCTAGTTACCACCATATTACCTAAATCTGTCGCCATAATAATTAAGTCCGCCACTGTACCTACAGTTTTATGTGCAAAAGTATAAATAAATAAATAAAAATGTTAACAGCATGTTGTATTCCGGCCAGTTGAAGGTAAGATAACCTGGTCCTCTGTGGTTGAGGATTCCAGGTGAAACTCATTTTCACCTTCGGCCTGATCAAAAAGTATGTTATTGTTATGGGGTCCTGTTACATAGAAAGCAAGCCACTATAAGTAGTTAAGTTACTTGGCCTTGAGATTTATATGGCCGACGACTGAGTTTATCAATTGCCTCAAGAATAACCTTGAGAACAGAAAACAATAATTTTGGAATAGTAACTACCAAAAATAAACATGTTTGATGATGTTTGTCTGGTCCCTCCCTAGATACCATCACAATCGTTCGTCTTGTGATGTCATCCTAGGATTTGCATAATAATAAAGGTTACAATACCATACAAGAGACCATCATCTACAAAAACATGTTTTAAAAAACGTTATTGGTGTGAACGTATGTTATTGTTTTGAAGTTTTGATAAAAAAGAAAATTAATAGAGTTCCCAGCAATGTAGCAAAGTGATAATAACCAATCAATGGTACAAAATCAATTAATTTTAAATGTACAATCACTGTTAGGAGTAGGAACATCATACAACCTTTGTATTATTATCGTTACCACTCTACGAGAACGATTTTCGATTACTTCTAAACTTTTTTATTAAATAATAAACACTTAAAATTAACTCGTAAATTGCATTCTTATTTAAATTTATTCGTGACAAACATTGGTTTTAGGCTTTACTTGCTATAATATTAACAAGACATGGGTGCCATGACTATGGCTGTACTAAATGTAATGGAAGCTGGAAACATTTAATTTTCGAATGGATCCAGTTTATTTTCTAACCTATTATTGGTACCGTTGGATAGTGTTCGTAGAGCACTTTCAGAACAGTAAGCAGTTTTTTAATATTTTGTATAGTTTTTAATATTATGGTGGTTTTACTAAATGTATGGAAGCTGGAAACATTGAATTTTCGGATAGATCCAGTTTATTCTGTCTCTTATTATTGGTACTGTTTGAAAGAGCTTATGAAGCACTTTTAGAATCAGCAAATCACTTTTTCGATATCTAGTATAGTTTAGAAATAATCGAGTGAGATCACTTAACGTTTCCACCCTGTAGAGCAAAAACTTATAGGAAAAATATCGTATAGCCGTAAGTTGGCCTTTTCACCTATACTTAATTTTTATGTAAGTAAAACAAAATTATAAATAGTTTACTACGAAAAGAAATTTTTGAAACCCAAAAAAAGAATAAATAGTTTACATAACAATGATGCAAGAATTATGATAGTCATAATAATTGCATCATCACTAAAATATTTTTTGAATAACTTACTTTGGGACTCGTAAAACGAATTATGTGCTGTGTGGGAAATCTATAGTTAGGGGATTGCGCATTTTGCTTACTCAATAAAGTGCGGAATCAGAACAAATCAGCAGAATCTTTATTTTACCAGTGCTTATTATTATTCTGTGATTTTACTTACAGTTATGTAGTTTGTTCGCGGTAGACAGACGGAAAACTTTTTTTGTAGTTCCCGCCGATTTTATACAGTATCTGACACTGTTTCGCGCGGTTGCGTTTTATTTTTTCTACTTTTGGTAACTTTTATGAGGTCCACCAAATAATTTATTCAAAATATCAAATTATTTAATTTATTGCTATATTGAATAATGTAAGTAATAGAAAGTAGGTGCATTGGTTCTATATTGGCTCACATAAAATTCTAAATCCTATTCTTTGTCTTACTACCGATTTGTGTTCATAATAACCTCGTAAGACCGAAGAGCAAATTTTGTCGACTTCTAAGTATCGCCGAATGTGCTTTCAGAAGAACGAACAATTTGAAGTCGTAAACGCCGAGCACTTCGAGTAAAAAATTTTCTATGTTAGAGATTTTCTTTTGCACCCATATTTTCAGGGACCCTATATAATAGTGCATAGAGCTTATTCTAGGTAAAAAATAATAAAAAAATGATTTCTCTTAAAAGAACATTCGGTATTACAGACTTTAAAAAGAAAATCTAAATAAATTTTATTTTATACTATAAACTAAAACATAAATGTTACCTCCTTAATAAATTAATACTACATAAAGATACAATAATGATATAAATAAATGTAACTGAAAAGGCACAAGTATTTTAATTTTATTTAATGTTTCATTATTAGTACTTTTAAAAGTACTATCGGTTTTATAACATACAATAATGATAGGTTAGAATGTATAAGAAGTAAAGTGAATATTCATGTTAATTATAATATTTATTAAACTAAAAATCAGAACGTTCTCATGGTAAATTTTCTCAATCATATCATAATTTTAAAAGTCTAATATTCAATCCATCTCAATAGAAAAAATATACAAAAATAAAACTTTCACCATCAAGACCGAATGTTCCTTGCAAAGAACTATTATTTTCAAACGAAAAAAAATCTTACAATACTTCTTCAAATTTGTAAAAATTTTTTTTTGCTTGTTTAGCAGTATTTTAACTTAAATTATACTGGTTAGTTTTTCAATTAAACTACATTTACGTGAAGAAAAAAAATTAATTGTACATCACGTCCTCTCGGAAGAACCACCTTGTCAAAGAAAAATGATAATTTGACAGTGACATTTTGTTTTTTTTACATTAATAAGTTCGGATACCTGATTTTGAATACTTTAAGCCATAGACTATCACTCTTTCTATTCAATAGGCGCGAATTTTTGAACTTAAAATTATCGCTAAAGTTTTAGTTCCTCTGAGGGCACATCCGGCGATACTTAGAATTCACCTCCGAAAATGTCTCGGCGTTACTGACTACAAAGTTTCAGTTCCTTCTGAGGCACATTCGGGCTTACGAGGCCGTTCATTGTGGAAAACCTTGGGGGAGGCCTTTGTCCAGCCGTGGACGTCATTTGGCTGAAACGAACGAACGAACGAACGAATTATTATCGTTACCACTCTATGGGAATAGTTGTTATGATGATTATAAAGCAAAAACTTATAGGAAAAAATATCTTAGCCGTAAGTTGGCCTTTTCACCTATACTTAATTTTATGTAAGTAAAACAAAATTATAATTACATAAACAAATAGTTTACTACGAAAAGAAATTTTTGAAACCCAAAAAAAGAATAAATAGATTACATTACAATGATGCAAGAATTATGATCAAAGATTATGATACTCATAATAATTGCATCATCACCTATCATCCATCACTAAAATATTTTTGAATAAGTTACCTACTTTGGGACCTCGTAAAACGGATTATTTAGTGTAAGACAACACACAAGTGTGGGAAAACTATAATTAGGGGATTGCGCATTTTGCTTACTCAATAAAGTGCGAAATCAGAACAAATCAGCAGAATCTTTAATTAGTTTGGACGGAAAACTTTTTTTGAAGTTCCCGCCGAAACTGTACAAATTCTCACACTGCTTCGCGCGGTTGCGTTTTATTTTTTCTTGTTTTGGTAACTTTTATGAGGTCCACCAAAGAATTTAGTCAAAATATCAAATTATTTAATTTATTGCTATTATGTAAGTGAGAGAAAGTGGGTGCATTTTATAAATAGAAGTCTATAAAGAAGTAAAAACAATAGCTTGACACTTCATTACCTGTCACTTGGATTAGGTATTTGGCGTACAAAGCTTTTGGTGGACCGTAGTCAATATATTTTCTGTTGATTTTTATTTTTCAAAAATAAATGGCAACACCAATCATGGACGTCTTCGCTTGAGATTTTGGCGTTTACATGAATAAATAAAAATGAGTTTTTAAATTAATTTAACCAATTTCTTTTAACATTTTGGTATATTAGAAAATGGTAACGATTGTTGACGACTTAGATTCTTTGACTTTGCAAGAGCCGATTTTCAAGGATGTCAAGTATTACCTGTCTGGCGATGTCTCGGAAAGGGTTTGTTTTTGTGTGATTTTTATTATTTTGTATTTGTTTACGTGCGTTTTTTGAAGTAACTTGTATCATACTGGTGTCTATTTCAGGTTTTACTACTTCTGCAGTCGGGCGGCGCCGAGAGCACAAAGTATTTCTCAGACTATGTCACTCATTTAATTTGTGGTCAAAATGCCGCGGATACAGACCTCGACGATGCTCAAGACATCTACCAGATACCAGCAGTGACTGAGAACTGGGTGTTTGCTTGTGCTAGGTTAAAGAAATTGGCGTGTGCTAAGCCGTACGCTCCTATCAAGAACAAGATTTTCACGAATGTTGTTGCTTGCGTATCTCGAGTGAGCGTGGCCGACGCTAAAACCTTGTTCGCTCTCATCACGTTCAACGGTGGCAAGGTGTGCTTGAATCTGGACACTCAGTGCACTCATCTAATTTGTGGTTCTGCATCAGGCAAGAAATACAGTGCTGCTCTCACTCTGCCTGCAAACAGAATTAAAATTGTGACCCCAGATTGGGTGCTAGAGAGCATAAGAGCCAGAATACAGGCAGTGGCTGAAGTATTCCACCCTAAATTACTGATAGTTCCTCAGCCACAAAAACCAATGGATCGTATCAGTGCAATCACTGGTTTTGACTTTGAGGAAAGTATAGCAAAGAATGAGGTTCCTACTCAAAATATTGCTGAAAGCAAAGATGACAGCACACAAGCATTATTAGATAAATTGAAACAGAGGATGCCTTGGAATCATCCTCCGTCCACTGCAAATTCGTCAGGTATTGCCACATCGACCGTAAGCTCTATTGGATATACAACGACTTCTCTGCCCACATCAAGTATCATGAGTAAGACCTTGCCACAGGGTATTATATCTCAAAATTTACAAATTCAAAGTACTCAAGCTCAATTGATGCAGAAGTTTGGACAGACTATAGTGTCTCAACCAGGACTTAATATACAAGCACAACAAATTAGTATGCAGCAACAGCAGCAGCAACAACAGCAGCAGCAGCAACAGCAACAGCAGCAACATCAGCAGCAACAACAACAACAGCAGCAGCAACAACATCAACAACAGCAGCAGCAACAACAATACAATCAACAGCAGCAACAACAGCCACATGGCCTCACAGCTATATCAATACAGCAACAAAAACTATTGCAACAACATCAACTCAAAATGCAAATGCTGCAGCAGCAACAACAAAACAAAATGAACAACCAGCAAAATCAACAGTTTCAACCGAATGTTTCTGTATCACAAATTAATCAGGGTCTAAATAATCAGATGCAGCAACATATTCAATCTAATCAGCATCATAATATACAGCAGAATATACAAACATCCAACACGTCTATGACATCGGCGCAGCAACAGATTGAAAACATAAGTCAAATGCTCAGTCAGAGTGCTAATAACCTTCAACAAGCACAATTGAATCAGCAAAATATCTCAATGAAACAGAGTCTAAGTTTGAGTCAGCAAAGTGCATCTCAAGCTGTTCAAAATATAGCCCAACAGTTGGCCCAATCCACACAGAATTTGCAACAAAGTCTTCAAAATGCTAAACTGAATCAGAGCCTGGGACAAGGACAAGTGATTAACCAACAGCTAATAAACTCAGGACAACAGATGACTAATCAAAATCAGAACTTAATTCAACAGCAGACAGTTCAGTCACTGACAAATCAACAGCAGAATATAAATATGGGTGTTGTGAATCAGCAAGGATTAGTATCATCATCACAAGCTCAATCAGGGCAAGGAGTCCAACTCAACCAGTTGGTTGGTAATTCTGGCCAATCAGTGATCAGTCAACAAATTCAGTCCGTACAACAGACAATACAAAGTCAGCAAACTTCTAATGTCCCTGTGCAAGGTGCTTGGAGACAACAAAACATACAGATGGTCCAGAATGTCCAGGGACAACACCAAATCATAAGGAGTCCTTTAGTCCAGACTCGTAACCCTCAAAACCAAGTTATATTGCAACAGCAAATAATGCAGACACAACAACAGCAGTTGATCAACAATCAGCAACCGCAGCTGAGTCCCCAGCACACTATACAGCAGACTTCGCAGCAGATACTTCAGCAGACTATAGGCAGCCAAGCCCAGAGTATTAGTCAGACTCATCACCAAATATTAGTCCAGAAGCAACAGCTTTTGAACAGTTCTGGGCAGCAACAAATTGTTCAGGCACCTCAGCAGGTGTTGATAAATCAGCACACAGGGCAACAACAGATATTGGTGCATGGGAACCAGCAGGTTACTTTACAAGGTGGACAGCAAATTGTGTCTCAGAATCAGATTGTGCATCAGGGAGGACAAATAGTCAACCAGGGTGGGCAGCAGATAATAACGCAAGGGACTCAGCAGGTGTTGTCTCAAGGGGGCCAACATGTGATCACCCAGCAGGGACAACAGCAAGTGGTTATTGCTCAGTCGTCTCAACAGATTGTGACACAGTCTGGTCAGCAAATAATAGGACAAACTGTTGGGCAGACTCAGCAGGTTTTGTCTCAGCTGCCGCAGTCACCTCAAGCTGGCACTCAGCTGTCTTCAGGGGGCAGTATTCAGCAGATCATCACCCATGGGGGTGGTCAGCAGATAGTGTCGCCTGGCGGGCAGCAAATCGTGCAAGGGGGCCAGAATGTCTCCTGGCAGCAGCAGCAGTACTTGCAGCAACGCCAACAGATAGCTCAGCCGGGAGCAGTTGGCCCGCGGGTAAGAGCCTTAGAGTAAAGCTTGGTGTGCTGCTACCCTTCATGCTTTTCATTATCCTTCATCATGTTTACTTTTTTGTTTTGTTTAGCAAGATCAAGAGTTTATTTTTGTTTTCATAGATTAAGCGAAATATAGATGTTTGATTATCCATTGGTGTTTTGCTTCTTCTTTCACTATTTCTTTAATATGTACTGCTTCTCTTTCTAACATACACAGCACTCTCACATACATTTCTATAAAACAAACAATGCTTACTCACTATCCCCATGTTTTGCACTGTTCTTCTCATTAACATTATACCAGCAGTTGACTACAAAAATACCATTAACATTATTCCCATTTATTATGGGACTTGCCTATTGAGCCTCTTAACTGCAAAGTTATTTTCGGCACTTACTGAAATTATAATTTTGTACCTACATTTCACAACACACATGGTCATGTTCTTAGTATCTTCTAATAGGATTTGTACCCAAGTTAAGAGTTGCAAGGTAACAGAATAATACTGACACGTCCTAATGTACAAGTAGGTACATAAATTAGTTACCAGATAACACTCCTAAATCCAATCTCATTGATCAGGTCTCATGGTCCGGCGGAGGCCGTCAGCTGATCCACCTAGATGCGCAAACCCATGCGCAACTGCAGCAAATGGATCCGCAGCAACGCGCCATGTTCGTGGCGCAGCTGCAGAAGCGTCGCCAGCTGTCCATGCAGCGCGCCGCAGCCCTGGCCCAGCAACAGGTGACTATCTGAGTGCCCACACCTGGTATAACTAGCAATGGATCCGCAGCACCGCACTATATTCGTAGCGTCAGCTGTACATGCAGCACGCGGCAGCATTGGCGCAGCAACAGGTGACTATATGAATGCCCACACCTGGTACAAATAAGTGACAGTATTTGTAGGGCAGCTACAGAAACTTGGCTGTCTGCCTAGGCAGCGCGGCAGCACTGGTGCAGTAACAGGGGACTAAGCTGGCAGCCAATTATTGGAATACCAAAACTTGGAACAAATTAAGAAGATAGACCCACAGTACACATGGTGCAGCTACAGATCCTTCACTATCTATGTAGTGTACATCACAGGCGCAACAAACGAGTGTCTATCAATACTTCCAGACGGTTAAACGATAACTTAGTGCCTTATCAGAAGCGTCGCCAGCTGTCTATAAAAGCAGTGGTACAGTTAAACTAGTGCTGTGACTGCTAGAAGAAACTACTCCATTCCTACACGCTTATTGCTTCTTCAAATGATTTTTTTTTCGTTTCTTCCCACAGCAACCAGGAGTTGTGACCGGCTCGCCGGGCGCGCCGTCGCCGGCGGGGGCTCCGCAGAGCGTCACGTTCATCCGCAGCCAGCTGCCGCCCGGCCTCACGCAGCAACAACAGGTAAAGGTGTACCAGAATCTCATGGCAAATAAAAATATTGGAAAAGTGTGTTTTTCATATGGCAATTGTCTATGGCTTTATTGTCACCTGTCAAAGTAAATCAAGAGATCTGTCAGCCGCTGCAGAAATGTTGTAATCTCTTCATGCCTATTTGTTATTTTTGTGAAAAAGTCGAAAAACCTCAAGCAAATCATCTTGTTTTCAAAGTGTATTGTAAAATAAAGCATAATTCAAAGTCAATCTTTGATTTTAAAGCGCGTCGTTGAGTTGACAGNCCGCAGCAACGCGCCATGTTCGTGGCGCAGCAACAGGTGACTATCTGAGTGCCCACACCTGGTACAACTAGCAATGGAACCGCAGCAACGCGCCATGTTCGTGGCGCAGCAACAGGTGACTATCTGAGTGCCCACACCTGGTACAACTGCAGCAATGGATCAGCAACGCGCCATGTTCGTGGCGCAGCAACAGGTGACTATCTGAGTGCCCACACCTGGTATAACTGCAGCAATGGATCCACAGCAACACACTATATTCGTAGCGTCAGCTGTCCATGCAGCACGCGGCAGCATTGGCGCAGCAACAGGTGACTATATGAATGCCCACACCTAGTACAACTAAGTGACAGTATTTGTAGGGCAGCTACAGAAACTTGGCTGTCTGCCTAGGTAGCGCGGCAGCACTGGTGCAGTAACAGGGGACTAAGCTGGCAGCCAATTATTGGAATACCAAAACTTGGAACAAATTAAGAAGATAGACCCACAGTACACATGGTGCAGCTACAGAACCTTCACTATCTGTATAGTGTACATCACAGGCGCAACAAACGAGTGTCTATCAATACTTCCAGACGGTTAAACGATAACTTAGTGCCTTATCAGAAGCGTCGCCAGCTGTCTATAAAAGCAGTGGTACAGTTAAACTAGTGCTGTGACTGCTAGAAGAAACTACTCCAATCCTACACCCTTATTTCTTCTTAAAATCATTTTTTTTTTCGTTTCTTCCCACAGCAACCAGGAGTTGTGACCGGTTCGCCGGGCGCACCGTCGCCGGCGGGGGCTCCGCAGAGCGTCACGTTCATCCGCAGCCAGCTGCCGCCCGGCCTCACGCAACAACAACAGGTAACATCACCGAGCTATTTATCAATCCTGTAGGCTTTTGGTTTTCTGGTCGTAACCTGACTAAAGAATATACTAATCACATCACTAATCTTTAGATATTTACTGTTAATTCAAGGTATCTGTAAATCATTTAAATCCAAAATAATCCTTATGTCATGCAGCAAAAGGCTTCCATGAAACCTCAGATCGGTGCATCAAGTAGTCTTCAGTTAACACCACAGTGCTACTTTAGATTTGGAACCTTGTTGGTTAATCTTCAAATCACTTGACTTTGATCCCATGTAGAATAATATCAAGCGTAAAGGCCTATTCAAATCTGAGCGATATTCGCTGCCGCTGTGGGTAGAGGTACATACCACGCGGGTTTCGCTCAGGTATTTAGTATCAAGTGCCTGGATGCAAGCGGCGCAGGACCGGTCTTTGTGGAAATCCTTGGGGGAGGCCTTTGTCCAGCAGTGGACATCTTTTGGCTGAAACGAACGAACGAACGAACCGCGGCTAGAGCGTTTTCTCTGCCGCAGACGGTAGCGAATACCGCTTAGGTCTGAACAGTATTATTACCGCATACCCACTGGGTTTTCTTTGCCGCAGACGGTAGTGAATACCGCTTAGGTCTGAATAGGCCTTTATGTGAGCTTCAAACACGATACAACTTTTAATGAGATTTCATAATAACAACTGTGTTTGACAGGTCCAATGGCTACAGCAACAAGGCGCCCGCGCGGCGACCATTCCAGCGGCGTCGCCGGCGCAGCCCCCGCAGTCGCCTGGTAAGTGTTCAATCAATATTCATCGTTATTTCTTATAGAATAGGGTTTAATATACACTAAGTAAAACAAAGAGTTATGCCCGGTCCCAGAGCCGAGAAGTATTTTGTATAACCAATTAGATTTCATTATTTCCACGCATTATTTCCGCACTGCAGCCGCTGTCAAAATCTATAGAAAAAGTTCACTACTCGATACTTCTCAGCTCTGCTCCGCCTTTTTGGAAACCTGTAAGCCTAGGATGCGCGCCGCGATAAGCGGTTATCACGCCATTTTATTGATTTCGCCCATACATTTTGACGTCGATAAAGTATATCACGGCGCTCCTAGTCCGGCTGGCCTAAATGGAAAAGTATGCGGTGGAATAGTAAGTTATGTGCAGATGACATCACTACAAGCTAAACACTGAGGGATATTACGTAGTTATCATAGGAGCTATTTTACAACAAAAATCAATGATAAATGCTGTAGTTTGTACAATATCCCAAGAACGTATAATGTAAAATATTACCTCTAAACGTATCATTTATCAGTGACAATCCGAAGGTTAATTCAAACAATTTTCAGAATGAAACCTTGGTCGCCGACCGCAGAAACAGAATTTGAAATATCGCCCGCACCTTACATAAGCGTAGGCTAGTACGATTTACTATTTAAATGATACGTTCATCCATAGTAATGCCCGGTGAGACGGTTTTTATCACAAATTATAATTTCAATGCGTTATCTAGCTTTTGTTCTAAGCGTTTTCAATAATTCAGTTATCCATCCACACACATGGGAGCTGGCGCGTTTTGAATTTTTCTATAGATTTTTCAAGAATTTGCGTCGCACTGTACTAGTCTATATGGATATTACAGAAGCAGAAAGTAAGACGTTCAATTTTCTTTTTTTATGTTTAAATTAAATTAGATTTAAGTACCGTTATCTGAAAAAATAACGATAAAATAAAATAACGAAAATATTTTTCGGATTTATTTATTTATTTATTTAGCTATTTGAGTTTTGAAATGATAGTGCTACAAATATTACGCTATGCAAGTTACGTATGTGTGTTATCTACCTGTGAATTTTAATGAAAATATAGTTATCAGCTTTGGACTCTGTAACAACCATACAATCATTATTCAGACAAGTTGTCGAGTGCATTCATTTTCACATTAACTAAAAAACGTAATTGTTTAAATAATATATTGGGACCTAAAAATCGCTCTGTAAAATCAAAAGCTTATCTTCTGAATATCTTCGGAATAAGGCCCGGTATCCACCAAGGCGAAGCGAAGGAGCGAAGCGGAGAAGTGTCGTTCGGACGAATTTTTCAATATAATTTTACAGATAAACTGAGAAATCAACCAAAGAAGTGGCTTATTGTTGGAAAACAGATTGCCTCATGGCGAACATAAAAGAAAAGCAGAAACATTAAAAAAAAGAATTTGACAGCTTCTGCGGCACGGCGAAGACATGTAGAAATAATGAAATCTGACTGGGCTTTTTTATTCATACATAACACTTCTCTGCTCCGCTCCGCATTGGTGGAAACCGGGCCTAAATGTACCTAATTACAAATATTGTTCTATTAATGTGAATACCAGTGTAAGGGTCGTTTTCCACCAATGCGGAGAAGAGGCGAGATGTGCCTCTACGCGAGCCATAGCAGGCAGGTTATTTAAAAGGAAATAATTAACCTTGATTCTACAGCTCAACCGGTCCAGTGGTTCATATGAGTATGACCATTATTCCACAGTAGGGTTGGGCCCACTGCTCTTTTTACTGGCCATTAAACGACAGCGGCTACGGGACCATTTTCCAGGTTCCTATGTGCTCCTCTCATTGACCATTATTCCACAGTAGGAGCGGGCCCAGTGGCTAGCCCAGTAGGCGCGGGTGGTGCAGCAGGCGGGCCGGTTGACGCTCAGCTGCAACAGTTGCAAATACAGCGCCAGCAGCAGTACCAGCGGCTGCAGCAGCTGCAGGCGCAGCGGGACCACGTGGCGCACCACCACGCCGCCGTCAAGCAGGTACCACACTACACAGCAGGAGCGGGCCCAGTGGTCAGCCTAGTTGCAGCAGTTACAAATACAGCGCCAGCAGCAGTACCAGCGGCTGCAGCAGCTGCAGGCGCAGCGGGACCACGTGGCGCACCACCACGCCGCCGTCAAGCAGGTACCACACTACACAGCAGGGCCGGTTGACGCTTAGTTACAGCAGTTACAAATACAGCGACAGCAGCAGTACCAGCTGTTGCAGCAGCTGCAGGCGCAGCGGGACCACGTGGCGCACCATCACGCGGATTGACGGCGGTCAAGCAGGTACCATAAATATTAACCTATCTGAAAGTAGAACTGCCCCGATTGCGCTAAAAATTTTCAACTGCAATGCGACTGGACGACGGACGTACTTCAGCTGTTTTGACCAATCCGTGTCGCGGTGTCGTTTTGACAGCTAGTTGAAACGAAGATGTAACGTGAACGGAGCGCAACTGCGCCTTTAAGTAAAAGCTGACAGAAGGCTACTTTTTCAGAAACGCAATTCAAACGCATCACGAACATTAATTGCTGTTTTAGTAATCGTAGTTTAAAAAATAAGGTGTTCGGACTTTTAAAGTGCATAAATCCGTTGTTTCGTCTTTGTTTGTGCATGAACTTTACCGCGATACCAAATTGCACGCCTGCTGAATGGACATTACAAATTAGCGCAATCGGGGCCCTGGACTATTCCCACCTCTCGTTCCCACCGGGAAAACGCTGAGCGAAGCCGCGGACTGGAAGCTAGTTTAAAATAAAAAATAACTGTCTCCAAAGTTACCTACCTACAGTTACAAGTTCAATGACTTAACTTGCCCCTGAGGCTTGGCCCCCATTGGGTTTTTCGCAGCGGTAAAACAAGTGAGGAGAGAACGGTATTTACTATTATGCTCCAACTTGAATTGTTTTTCATTAAGTTATCATTTCTACAGGTGGCCCCAGGCGTGGGAGTGGGTGTGGGCGTGGGCGTGACGCAACACGTCGTGGGCACGGCCATAGCCGAACCCCAGGTTGACGCGTTATTAGCGCCGGCCTCGCAGGATCAGCAGCAAGGTACACTGAGCTCTGTTGTTGGAGACGTAAAGTTGAGATTGGGAATTTGATAATGCTGGGAACATAGATACACGAGTGTATAGAGTAGAAAAGTAAATTAGGTCAACAATTTTATCGCGATGGTGCAGCAAGCCCTTTTTTTTCTTAGTTCCTTAATTCTTCTTATTTAGTAATTCTCAAGCTACTCTTTTCTACTAACTCGAGCATAGATTAAAGACATGAATTGATTCTGGAGCGTTAGGTCCTTTTCATCACACGTCCCGGTTGCCGGCTANGTCAACTGTGTGAAGTTTGCACTCGAAGTGGTGTATCAGGGTGTGAATGTGTGCGTGCCGGCCTGTACGTACAGGCAAGCTGGTGTATCCTAATGTCACAGTATTTTGTTGATGAGAATCCGTCCGACTTTTTTTATAGGTCCATGACCGCGATACCAAATTGCACGCCTGCTGAATGGACATTACAAATTAGCGCAATCGGGGCCCTGGACTATTCCCACCTCTCGTTCCCACCGGGAAAACGCTGAGCGAAGCCGCGGACTGGAAGCTAGTTTAAAAAAAAAAATAACTGTCTCCAAAGTTACCTACCTACAGTTACAAGTTCAATGACTTAACTTGCCCCTGAGGCTTGGCTCCCATTGGGTTTTTCGCAGCGGTAAAACCCAACCAGTGAAGACGGACGGGAATTATGTTCGAAGTTGAATTGTTTTTCATTAAGTTATCATTTCTACAGGTGGCCCCAGGCGTGGGAGTGGGTGTGGGCGTGGGCGTGACGCAACACGTCGTGGGCACGGCCATCGCCGAACCGCAGGTTGACGCGCTGCTAGCGCCAGCCTCGCAGGATCAGCAACAAGGTGAATTGAACTTTCTAATTAGAGACATGAAGTTGAGATTAGGAATTTAATTGTGCTAGGAAAATAGTGATCAGGTATACAGCGAAAAATTAAGTTAGGTCCGATGTCTGTTGAAATAAGTCAATTTTATCGCGATAGTGCAGCAAGTTCGTTTTTTTTTTCTTACTTCCTTTATCGTTCTTATTTAGTTATTCTCAAGCTAGTCTTTTCTACTAACTCAAGCATAGATTAAACTACTGATTTATTCTGGAGCGTTACACTTATAGTGGTTTCACACTACGTCCGCACCGAATCCGTAAAAATACTGTTCGGAGTAGTTGTAGAACTATTTTAATCCTAGTTTACACACTTGATTCGATTTCTGTACTTCTAGATTCGTTTCCGATTGGGCGTATTGTGAAACCGTTTCTAGATGTGTTACCAAATACGGATCTTAATCCCGTAGGGCTAGTATCAGCTTCATTTCTTCCTTTATGTTAATGTGTAATTAAAATTATTGTTCTAGGTGCAGGCGGCGCGCTTCTCGTGAATCACAAGACGAAGACGGCTCTGGCAAATATGCTCAGCATCCGGCTTCAGGGCGCCGCCCCACCCGCCGATCATGAGCCGTCCGCCGCGGGGACCCTCAGGTATTATACCTCGCTTTACATTTCATCAGTTTTTCTAACCCTTTGTTTGTCCTAGGTGAACAACAAATGCGGCAACTTGACGTGGAAATATCAAATAGTAGTTGGTATAATAGTAGCCTTCGTGGAAAAATCGTGTGTGAAGTATTGGTCGCGTCCCGTCGCTCACCTAGGACAACGGATTTTCCCGAAACAGGGGACCAGGGCTAGGTGTTCACATTAAACTTGATCCTACAAGGAAACCGGAGACCCAAGCCCTCACCTCGAGTCGAATTGAGACGTGCGTGTTGCATCTTCCAGAAATAATTGCATTAAAAATATCACTTGTAGTAAGTCACAAGTGATATTTTTAATGCAATTATTTGCGGATTCCGCAAGAAAACCGGAGACCCAAGCCCTCACCTCGAGTCGAATTGAGACGTGCGTGTTGCATCTTCCAGAAATAATTGCATTAAAAATATCACTTGTGACTTACTATCAGCCCCCAAACTAGGTAGTTCTGTCTTTTGGAGACAAGTTTTAGTTAGAAGTGCCTAAAGTGTAGCGTTGTTTATACAGGGTGGAAACGATAAGTGATCTCACGCGATTATTTCTAAACTATACAAGATATCGAAAAACTGGTTACTGATCCTGAAAGTGCTTTACAAGCTCTTTCCAACGGTATAAGTAATAGGTTACAGAATTAACTGGATCTATCCGAAAATTCAAAGTTTTCAGCCTCCATACTAAATGTATGCCAGCCACACAATATTAGAAGTGTTATTTTTTTTATTAAATAATAAATACTTAAATTGAACTTGTAAATTGCATTCTCATTTAAAATTATTCATGGAAAACATTGGTTTTAGGCTTTATTTGCTATAATATTATCAAGACATGAGTGCCATGACTGTGGCAGTACTAAATGTATGGAAGCTGGAAACATTGAATTTTCGGATAGATCCTGTTTATTTTGTAACTTATTATTGGTACCGTTGGATAGAGCTCGTGAAGCACTTTCAGGATCAGTAACCAGTTTTTTGATATCTTGTATAGTTTTTAATATTATGTGGTTTTACTAAATGTATGGAAGCTGGAAACATTGAATTTTCGGATAGATCCAGATTATTTTGTAACCTATTATTGATACCGTTGGATAGAGCTCGTGAAGCACTTTCAGGATCAGTAACTAATTTTTGGATATCTTGTATAGTTTAGAAATAATGGAGTGAGATCACTTAACGTTTCCACCCTGTATAATAGATTAAATTGTTTGCAGGTTGATGACAGCGGCGCATGCGGCGGGTGGCGCCGTGAGAGCACCTGCGCGGCTGCTCCTCAATCATCACCCGCATCAGGTCAGTAGTAAAAAACCTAATAGTAAAAAATTTACATAATGTTATTTGTGGCACGCTTATGCTTGTGTGAATAAACATTAAATGGCCGAAAATATTATTAATGAATTAAATAATGACTTCACTTGCAATTTATTATCAACCATTGACTATCACACAAGATTAATGTTTGTCTATGAGACCACATCCAATTTTAAACAAACGCTAATTAATAAGCAATGGAAACTCTTTTTGCTGTTTGTTGCAATTTAATTAAATTGCAATTAATTAAAAATTGTTTGTTAGGAGCGTCCGTAATAACCAATTTCAACTCATAGCTTTCTTTGATAGACAAATTAGGCAAATTTCTTCGCTTATTGAAGTCAAGTAATTAATGGTGTCATCTAAAGCCCGGTCTCCGAGCACGTAGAATTTCGTCCAATGACCCCAAGCTACCCATCCTTATCGCTCGCGCCTAATTATGTTACTGTCGCGCTCACACACTCGCTGCGGCCGCCCGTTGCACAGTCACGACAGCAATATAATTACACGCGAGCGATAAGGATGGGTAGCTTGGGGTAATTGGACGAAATTCTACGTGCTTGGTGACCAGACTATACTCTATTGCGATTTATCCCTTAGGCGGGCGCGGTGGGCGTGGGCGTGGGCGTGGGCGGCGTGGTGGGCGGGGTCGCGGGCGGCGGCAAGGTGTACGCGGGCGCGGTGCGGGCGCCGCCGCCGCGCGCGCAGTTCTACGGACACAACCCCAACCTCAAGCTACCGCCCGACCTGTTCCTGCTGGGCTGCGTGTTTCACATTGTAAGTGATAACAAAAATTGGGCTTAAAATTAAAATAATTTCTATTGTATTTTCTAGTTTAAAATAGGAGATTTACAAATATACGTAAAAAAATTACGCGCAGTTGTTATGTCTTTGGGTCCGCGCTCGGTCACATTATTTTTATCAATCTTACGAATAGCATACTTCTTAGAGTAGGCACACACCGTTGATTTTTTCTTCATACAATTGATTTTTAGTTGGCATCTGCCAACTAAAAAACGGTGTGCGCCTACTCTTAGAAGTGTGACTTTCAAAAGATTAAAGTTGGCGGTACACGTTGCGAAGCAGCTATCTAGCTCGCTATCGCTGTCTCCCGTCTCATTCTCGTTTGCGACGCGAACCGCCACTTTAGGCCAGAGCCCCGATTACGGTAATTTTTAACGTCTACAATCCAGACGAGTTTCATCGATTCTGCGATACGATTGGTCAAAACAGCTGACGTACGCTGTTTTTTTTTGTGTTTTGACCAATCGCAAAATCGATCAAGCGCGTCTGGATTGGAGACGTTAAAAATTACTGTAATCGGGGCTCTGGTGCAAACACTGCGATAGTCGCGTGGTTGCTGGGCAGTTCTTGTACGTTTGCATCAAACTGCAACCGCACGGCTATCGCCTTAGTGCCTCTCCAATGAGAACCATCCAGAAACCACACTGTATCGCTCTCTGAAAGAACTTAACCTGTAACACTTATTGCTGCAGGTGGAATACCAGCAGTCTTGGGGGACGGAGCGCGTGGCTCGCTGGGCAGAAGCAATAGTGCGGCGCGGCGGAGAGGTGGAAGCGGGATACTGTGCGCGCGTCACGCACGTGCTGTGCGAGACTCAGAAACACGGCGTGGTCATGCAGGTAACACACACATTGTAAAGGTATTCATTCAGATTCTAGGGGCAGAAAAGTTCTCGAGTGGGGACCACAGGCCAGAAGACGTAGTGTGGGTGGACCGACGATCTAGTGAAGATCGCGCGAAGAACCTGGAAGCGGGCAGCACAGGACTGGTCGTTATAGAAATCCTTGGGAGTGTGAGTGAATGGAACGTGCGTTATTTTATACAAGTGTAGTAAAATGTACGCCTTATGCCACTTAGAATAGGGACCCGTTTTTGAGTGTCGTCGTTTTGCCAGCGCCCGCGTAACGTCGATACGCGACGCCAACGCGAGTGGTTTTTTTTTCGGACAAGTAACGTAACTCCCTCACCCCACTGTGGTCAGCATTGAAACTTTTGGTATTTTTATTTTACAATAAATTAAATTGCAACAGCTCTCATCATACCTCATTCTAGGTCTGGTCAGAAAGAAAGAGAGAGTTTGATTGCCTTAGTTTAAAGAACTACTCACGCCTATAAAATGACGTGATGTGAAAAGATTTTTTTAAGTAACTAACTACAAACCATCTGCTTTTAGGTTTTGTGTATAAAATTTGTATTGTATTGCAAATACTGCATTGCATTTTACCCCTTCTACTTGTCCAGGCACTGCGAGACGCGAAACGCTGCGTGACTGCATACTGGCTATCTGACGCTATGCTGCGCCGAGGCGTAGCGCCGCCCTGGCAGGCGTTACACTTGCCTAGTATGTATGCTGCACGCGACCGCCCTGCGAGGCACCATCGCTGCGCCATATCAGGCTGGAGGGACGAAGAGAGGGATAGAATCACCTTCTGCGTGGAGCATATAGGAGCTAAGGTATGATATAGCGACAGAGACAGACAATTATTATCTTGTGCTTATTTAGGTTAGCGCAATAAGGAGCACGTCTTTTTCTGCGTGGAGCACGTTAGATCTACATAAGGTGAGATATGACGATAGTGTCTCACTTGTCAAGAGATATGACGTCATATTTATGTGTGTTGCGAAACGTTGGGTCACCGCATACTGGCTCTCAGACGCTATGCTTCGCCGGGGTGTAGCGCCGCCCTGGCAGGCGTTACATCTACCGAGCATGTATGCTGCACGCGACCGCCCTGCGAGGCACCATCGTTGTGCCATATCGGGCTGGAGGGACGAAGAGAGAGACAGGATTACCTTCTGCGTGGAGCATATTGGGGCTAAGGTATGATATAGCGACAGAGACAGACAATTATTATCTTGTGCTTATTTAGGTTAGCGCAATAAGGAGCACGACTTCTTTTGCGTGGAGCACGTTAGATCTACATAAGGTGAGATATGACGATAGTGTCTCACTTGTCAAGAAATATGACGTCATATTTATGTGTGTTGCGAAACGCTGCGTAACTGCATACTGGCTCTCAGACGCTATGCTTCGCCGGGGTGTAGCGCCGCCCTGGCAGGCGTTACATCTACCGAGCATGTATGCTGCACGCGACCGCCCTGCGAGACACCATCGTTGTGCTATATCGGGCTGGAGGGACGAAGAGAGGGATAGAATTACCTTCTGTGTGGAGCATATAGGAGCTAAGGTATGAAATAGCGACAGAGACAGACAATTATTATCTTGTGCTTATTTAGGTTAGCGCGATAAGGAGCACGACTTCTTCTGCGTAGAGCACGTTAGATCTAAGGTGAGATATGATGATAGTGTCTCACTTGTCAAGCGTTCGAACATGTATGCTGCACGCGACCGCCCTGCGAGGCACCATCGCTGCGCCATATCGGGCTGGAGGGACGAAGAGAGGGACAGGATTACCTTCTGTGTGGAGCATATTGGAGCTAAGGTGAGATATGACGTCATAGCAATGTGTGTTGCAAAACGCTGCGTCACCGCATACTGGCTCTCAGACTCTATGCTGCGCCGAGGCGTAGCGCCGCCCTGGCAGGCGTTACATCTACCGAGCATGTATGCTGCACGCGACCGCCCTGCGAGGCACCATCGTTGCGCCATATCAGGCTGGAGGGACGAAGAGAGGGACAGAATTACCTTCTGCGTGGAGCATATTGGAGCTAAGGTGAGATATGGTTACACCTCAATGGCTACGATTGTGTTACACTAGTCTATGCTTTATCGAGTTGACGAGATGAGTGTAAAAGACAAGTGAAGAGTGTATTCTGCTGATGATATGTTATCGCAATAAGGCGCAAATCGCAATCAATAGCGTTTTTCAAGCTGAAGTAAAATAATAGTATGCCACTTGAATGAGGATTATGGTTTTTGTGTTCACTAGCTGCTGGCTGAGTAATAGGACCCCACTTTACAGTGGCGCCATCCTAGTGCGAGAAAATACGATAGTCTTCCTACCGCTTCAGTGCTCACCAGGTGTCGCCACTATCATTAGAAATTGACAGGACCTTACTCTATAGTGGCGCTAGCTGGTGACCGCAAAAAAGTAGCCCTCATTAACGTAATAAGGGACCTGTTTTTTATACAAACTTTCTTGTTGCAGCTAACGCCATACATGACGCGCGACAACACGGTACTAATCTGCAAGCGAGCTGAAGGCAACAAGTACAGACGCGCGCGCGAGTGGGGTATCCCAGTGGTAACTGCGGCTTGGCTCACGGACTTACTGCTGGGCAACATGAGCGCTCTCGCGCAGGTGAGCACACAGTGACGTCACCCGTGACGACACACGCGAGGCGACAGTAATGACGCGCGAGTGGGGCATCCCAGTGGTCACTGCGGCTTGGCTCACGGACTTACTGCTGGGCAACATGAGTGCTCTCGCGCAGGTGAGCACACAGTGACGTCTGCTGGGCAACATGAGCACACAGTGACGTCACCCGTGACGACACACGCGAGGCGACAGTAATGACGCGCGTGGGGCATCCCAGTGGTCACTGCGGCTTGGCTCACGGTCCTACTGCTGGGCAACATGAGTGCCCTCGCGCAGGTGAGAACACAGTGACGTCTGCTGGGCAACATGAGCACACAGTGACGTCACCCGTGACGACACACGCGAGGCGACAGTAATGACGCGCGAGTGGGGCATCCCAGTGGTCACTGCGGCTTGGCTCACGGACTTACTGCTGGGCAACATGAGCACACAGTGACGTCACCCGTGACGACACACGCGAGGCGACAGTAATGACGCGAGTGGGGCATCCCAGTGGTCACTGCGGCTTGGCTCACGGACTTACTACTGGGCAACATGAGCGCACTCGCGCAGGTGAGCACACAGTGACGTCACCCGTGACGACACACGCGAGGCGACAGTAATGACGCGAGTGGGGCATCCCAGTGGTAACTGCGGCTTGGCTCACGGACTTACTGCTGGGCAACATGAGTGCACTCGCGCAGGTGAGCACACAGTGACGTCTGCTGGGCAACATGAGCACACAGTGACGTCACCCGTGACGACAACGTGAGCGCGGAGATAAGTACCATTTAAGACCCGGTTTCTATCAAGGCGAAGTGGAGCGGAGAAGTGTTTTGAATAAGCAAATCTCATTTCATAACAGTTCTTCGCTCTGCCTTGGTGTAAACCGGGCATAAGGTGGTCCGCCTTTAGTACAACTAGAGTATAGTAGAAGTAGGTACACTAGGGGACAAGGTTCGGAAGTCGTTAAGTTTTAGAATCCTTTTTACACATACATGTTTTTTCTCTTTCAGATCGAGAATGCCAAATATCAGCAATTCAACCTAGCCAGTCCGTTTAGGATGGATTACAGTTTGGTGTCTCATCTGATGAGTAAGTTTTTTTGCTATATTTTGGTCTGCGAGCACCTAGAATTTTGTCCAATGACCCCGAGCTACCCATCCTTATCGCTCGCGCGTAATTATATTGCTGTCGCGCTCGCACACTCACTGCGGGCGCCCGTCGCACAGTCGCGACAGCAATATAATTACGCATGAGGGATAAGGATAGGTAGCTTGAGGTCATTTAACGAATTTCTATCTGCTCGGCGACCGGACTTTAGAGAGATTTTTATTAATCAAATCAAATCAGTCTTTATTTGCACAATATGGGTTATACAGTTGTTTGAAGATTTTTCATTTATTTATATTTAATTTCTACCCCCAGACGCGTGGAAAATGCCCATAAACATAACGCAAGAGTCCAACGAGCGCGCCAAACGCAGCGCCGCCGCCGCGCTCACGCAGCGCCGCGCCAAGCGCCCGCGTCTGTCCCCGCCGCGACCGCCCGCGCCCGCCGCCTTACAACAACCGCCGCTGCATTTAGCGCCAAGGGTTCTGTTCTCGGCGGTGCCACATCATGACCAGAACCGACTCGCGGCTATTGTCAGGTAAGTCATCGATATTAGACAGGTTGTTGCAATATAGCCCCTATTACAACTAGACAAAGCTCACGCAGCGCCCGCGCCTGTCGCCGCCGCGACCGCCCGCGCCCGCGGCCTTACAGCAGCCGCCGCTGCATTTAGCGCCAAGGGTTCTGTTCTCAGCGGTGCCACACCATGACCAGAACAGACTAGCTGCTATTGTCAGGTAAGGTAACCTTTCCCAAGTAACATAAAATTCTTGCAAAATAGCACCTGTTGCAACTACATAGAGCTCGCGTATCTCACCACTGCGCTCGCGCCGATACAGCAGCCCCTGCTGCATCTAGCTCCAAGGGTCCTGTTCTCGGCGGTGCCCAGAACAGACTCGCGGCTATTGTCAGGTAAGTCATCGACTAGTAGACTGTTCGTTGCAATATAGCCCCTATTACAACTAGACAAAGCTCACGCAGCGCCGCGCCAAGCGCCCGCGCCTGTCGCCGCCGCGACCGCCCGCGCCCGCCGCCTTACAACAACCGCCGCTGCATTTAGCGCCAAGGGTCCTGTTCTCGGCGGTGCCACACCATGACCAGAACCGACTAGCTGCTATTGTCAGGTAAGGCAACCTTTCCCAGGTCACATAAAATTGTTGCAAAATAGCATCTGTTGCAACTACATAGCGCCCGCGCATCTCACCACTGCGCTCGCGCCGATATAGCAACCTCCGCTGTTTCTCAGTTCAGGTTCGGTTCTCAGCGATGCCACATCATAATCAGAACAGACTAGCTGCTATTGTCAGGTAAGTCATCGACTAGTAGACTATTCGTTGCAATATAGCCCCTATTACAACTAGACAGAGCTCACGCAGCGCCGCGCCAAGCGCCCGCGCCCGCGGCCTTACAGCAACCGCCGCTGCATTTAGCGCCAAGGGTCCTGTTCTCGGCGGTGCCACACCATGACCAGAATAGATTAGCTGCTATTGTCAGGTAAGGCAACTTTCCCAGGTCACGCAAAGTCGCATAGATTCGTTGCAAAATAGCACCTATTGTAACTAAATAGGGCCCGCGCCATTCGCCACTGCGCTCGCGCCGTAATAGCAGCCGCCGCTGCATTTAGCGCCAAGGGTTCTGTTCTCGGCGGTGCCACATCACGACCAGAACAGACTAGCTGCTATTGTCAGGTAAGTCATCGATATTAGACAGGTTGTTGCAATATAGCCCCTATTACAACTAGACAAAGCTCACGCAGCGCCGCGTTAAGCGCCCGCGCCTGTCCCCGTCTCGCCCGCGCCGCTGCATCTAGCGCCAAGGGTCCTGTTCTCGGCGGTGCCACACCATATCCAGAACAGACTCACTGCTATTGTCAGGTAAACCATCGACTAGTAGACTGTTCGTTGCAATATAGCCCCTATTACAACTAGACAGAGCTCACGCAGCGCCGCGCCAAGCGCCCGCGCCCGCGGCCTTACAACAACCGCCGCTGCATTTAGCGCCAAGGGTCCTGTTCTCGGCGGTGCCACACCACGACCAGAACAGACTAGCTGCTATTGTCAGGTAACACTCTAGTACAAGTTGCTTTATTGGAAAATAGCACTTATTATAAACTACATAGCGCCGCGCCAAGCGCCCGCGCCTGTCCCGCCGCGACCGCCCGCGCCCGCGGCCTTACAACAACCGCCGCTGCATTTAGCGCCAAGGGTCCTGTTCTCGGCCGTGCCACACCATGACCAGAATAGATTAGCTGCGATTGTTAGGTGGGTTGTACAGGCTTTATTGGAAAATAGCGTCTATTACAACTACATAGAGCCTTCGCCTCTCGCCACTGCGCCCGTCTGTCCCCACCTCGCCCGCGCCGCTGCATCTAGCGCCAAGGGTTCTGTTCTCGGCGGTGCCACACCATGATCAGAATAGATTAGCTGCTATTGTCAGGTAAGTCATCGATATTAGACAGGTTGTTGCAAAATAGCATCTATTACAACTAGATAGAGCTCACGCAGCGCCGCGACCGCCCGCACCCGCGGCGTTACAACAGCCGCCGCTGCACCTGGCGCCGAGGGTTCTGTTCTCGGCGGTGCCACACCATGACCAGAATAGATTAGCTGCTATTGTCAGGTAAGTCATCGATATTAGACAGGTTGTTGCAATATAGCCCCTATTACAACTAGACAAAGCTCACGCAGTGCCGCGCCAAGCGCCCGCGTCTGTCGCCGTCGCGACCGCCCGCGCCCGTGGCCCTTCAACAGCCGCCGCTGCATTTAGCGCCAAGGGTCCTGTTCTCGGCGGTGCCACACCATGACCAGAATAGATTAGCTGCTATTGTCAGGTGAGTCATCGATATTAGACAGGTTGTTGCAAAATAGCCCCTATTACAACTAAACAGAGCTCACGCAGCGCCGCGACAAGCGCCCGCGGCGATAGTCAGATGAGGCACCCACAAAAAGCACGTCCAACTGTTCACGTTTGTTGCAAAATGGCACACATAACTCATAATTAAATCACACCAGCGCCTGCGCCGCTAGAAGAGCCCGAGGGTTCTGTTCTCAACGGTGCCACATCATGACCAGAACAGACTCGCGGCTATCGTCAGATAAAGCATCGATATTAGACAGGTTGTTGCAAAATAGCACCTATTAAAACTACCTAAGAGCCCACGCCATACATGGCCAAATTACTAAATTCAATATTCATAATAATAAATATACTTTGTTTTTTAAATTTTCAGCGATAATTCTGATGAAAATGTCATTGAAAACGAAGCGAAAATGAAAGGAATTTATTAAATAATATGGATGTACCTACTTATCGTTAGTTTATCGAATTAATTTCATCATACAATCTAAGAGTAAACCTGATCGTTATGTATTTCGGTATTATTTTAGTTTGAAATTAATTAATTAATTTACTATTCATATTATTTTCACTAGGAGCATAGCTGTGTATTAGTTCAATAGTTTCGTTTTAGTTTGATCGCATAGCAGAACATTTCAGGCACTCTTCCTTCATCCTATTATTTCAACTTCTTATTAACTCATAGTGGATCTTAGACATTTATTCAAATATAATATTTTTTTATGTAGTCATAAAGTTGAAATGCCTCATTGGATCAAATAGTAACTTTATAAATATTACTTAGAAGTGTTTATTATGAATTTCTCCTAAACTCCACAGGCAACTGGGCGGGCTGGTAGTGACGTCAGCAGCCGAGGCTACACATCTAGTTATGGAGCGTCTAGTTCGGACCAGCAAGCTGGTGGCGTGCCTCGTCAGCGTCAAGCACCTGCTGAGCTGCGAGTGGGTGCGCGACAGCCAGAGACAGGGCAAGTTCGCTGACGAGGCGGCGCACGAGCTCAGGTATGTATCGTCGGGTCATGTGACGTCAGCAACCAAAGCCACGCACCTCGTTTGAAAAGAACGCAAGGTACCTACTTTGAGTTGAATAAAAACCAAACAAATAAAGATTACAATTTGATAGGTGCCATAAAACACGAACGAATATTTGCTAAAAATGAAATGGTCACTTCATTCATAGTCCCGTGAAAGCACGTGTGTGTTTGAAAAAATCCATCCGTCCACTTAACCTTCATTATCACAAGTAGGTATCTACTCAATCTAGAAGTCATAACAGTAAATCACTAAAATATTCACTTATTTTAGCAACACGGACACACGATTTAATGCCTCGACGGAATAACCATCAATGATTGAATCACGCGTTAATAACCTCAAATTGAGGGGTAATTTAAATTTCGAACTACCCACCTATTATAAAAGTTGTTGTTATAAAAGTAACATATTATAAAAGTTGTTTCAACATTTCGGCCTTTCCGTTATTTTGGAATATTCTTATCAATGTTTTAGATAGAACGCTAGAATGTACAATTTTTCACAATATAACCCCGAATGTCATGGTCACAGTACCCGCAATACCCTTATTGAATATTGACGTAAATTTTCAAATCTTTACAGGGATGAAGCATTCAACAGCATGTTCAAATGCGACATCGGCGAAGTACTATTATCAGGCGAGCAAAGGAGGAAGCTCTTCGAAGGAATCACCTTCTTCCTCACCCCTTGTGTGAAGCCCTCAAGATCCGCGCTCACTGAAATGATCGAACTCTGCGGCGGAAAAGTCGAGAAGAACCGACGCTCCTACGTCTCTATCCAGGAAATGCACACGCAAAAACCCTTCAGCTATCTAGTGCTGACTGTGCCCAACGATTTACACCTAGTTTATTACCTACAGCAGTCTGAAAAAACCCTAAACGTGGTCTGCAGTACCGAGGTGGTGCTATCCGCGATAATGCGGCAAAAGTTAGAAGTAGAGGAATTCCTCGTGAAAATAGATTAAACGTGATCTTGTTATGTATTTCCATGAATTTTATCAATTCCAAAATATGTTTTGTTCCGACATTTTAAAGTATTTTATGTATTAATAAATTTATCATCTAATGTATTGTACATACGTTTGAAAATTAATTTTGTAACGTCTCGACTTTAGGATGATTGTCTATATGATATGTGTGTATTGCTTGTAACTTTATACAGCAATTTATTTCTCTGGCTACGGGAATTCAATACACTAAGGATCTCACATATCTTCGGCTATGTCCATATTAAATGAATTAAATTAATTTTATTATTGATAGAAGTATGCCATATATTTTTTCATTTTATTATTATTACAGATTTTAATGAATTAATTCTTTTTGTAGTCGTTGTCTTGACATTTGAATTTTAATTTTGCGGTTATTAATGAAGTTGTAATTTTTTTATTTTGGAATCTCTCCGTTTTACTTGTGTTTTTGTAGAACTGTTTATGAAATGTAAATTAATTTGAATGAAATGCATATATTTATGTTGTGAAGTTATAAAATGAATTCAATATTATTGCTAAATATAAGAAGTAACATTTGGTATGAATTTTTAGTTTTGTACATAAAACTAGCAGGTAAGACGGTCTGGACCACGGAAAAAATACGAAATATAAATATATGACATGTTTCTTAATACTTTTGTTGTTTCATTTTTATAATAAATACCCTAGAAGACCCAGAATGATTATGTATAAGGGAAAGGGATATAAAATACAATGATAAATATAAATATGTTATAACATCATTTATTTAAACGCCATAATATAGCATGATATACTTCATAGTCTCAATCACTCGGCGCGACGCTATGAGCTGCTAAATAATTTCATAACTTACATTATACTCATAATAATTATCATTCATACATCTCTACAATGGAATTTACAGTCGTAAAGTCTATCTTCATCATTTACAGCAAGAGCGGTCATACAAAGATTCAATTCCTACTAAATTATAAAGGAAAGTAACTGTCTATTTGTCATGCTTTCACCCCTAAACCTTTGAACCGTTTTTGATATAATTTGGTATAGTTCCGGAAAAAGTTTTTATCCAGTTTTTGAAACAGTGACGCGCGTTTTCTGTGACAAATAAATTTTCACGCGGGCAAAGCCGTAGGCAAAAGCTAGTAGGTATCCTATTGAAACAGTGACGCGCGTTTTCTGTGACAAATAAATTTTCACGCGGGCAAAGCCGTAGGCAAAAGCTAGTAGGTATCCTATAATCGAATTACTAAAGCTGATATTATATTGTATTAAAGCCTAGTTTACAGCCCTTACGAAATCTCGGGCAAATGTTTGGAGAACTTAAATTGTCATAATATTAGTCACCATATTAGGACGCTTAGCCAAACTTTACTTCGATTGTAGAAGCTACTTCACACATTCTACTGAATAAGCGATTCCTATATGACCGCTCTTACTTCAATATATTCAATAGAAATTATAATAAATGTAAATCAAACTAATATTTTATCAAATCACACCTATCTGGACCTATGATATTGTAAAAAGACAAAACGTTCGTTTACATTACCAAATTTCTATCAACGTAGTATACATAATACTTTAACAATAGATCAACATATACATATAAATAGCATCTGAGAGATTAAGACTTGATGATCGCTTCGTACGCTTGGAATATGCAGGTGGCGACTTCTACGGTCCGAGATTTCAAGCTGAGGGTAGCTTCGGGGTTGCCAGGTTGTAGTTTGAGTTCTAGAAGGACCCAGATATTGTTGGTAAGTTTGAGTGATTGGTAGAGCATGTCTTGTCCTTCGACGTTGCGTTTTGCGATGGTGAAGATGTTGTTTAGGGTCATTTTCTGGGCGATGGAGTCGGCGTTTCCTATGACGTTTGAGAGCGTGTGTTGGACCTCGTTAGCGGCGGGTATTTCTTTCCAGGTGGTGAGGAACACCCGCTTGTCTAGTTGCCCGTCTTCAGTGAAAAGGATGTGCGCGGGGATGAGACACGCGAAGTAGAATACGTCCACGTTGTTCTTTATCGCGACCTGGAGAGAAAACAATGTATAGTGACTTGATAGATGATATAAATTAATCGATTGCAAGAATCGCTAAATATTTAATTTTCTTGGGAGGGATATTTCATCTGTGTTCGTAATTTGGTATTTGAAATATTATCAGATTCCTACTGAAAAGAAAAATACTGCGAAATTAATAATATTTCATTTTAAAATCGATTACTATATTTTTAACTCTCATTAAAATCGATAATTTCACTAATTATGTCGGTTACAGACGAATGTCCACACAAGTACACAGTAAGTTTACAAAGTTTGACACTTTGAAAATGACTTCCCACACATAGTTTTCGAGCATCTTTACAAATAGCTTGACACGCGTTTACCATTCTTATGGATTTCTAGGTTTAAAATCTATAAAAAAATATACAGAATCCATCACTTAAGGCTGATTTACACGTGTTAAGTAAGTAACTAAAGAAGAACGGTCACGCCCCATATAAAAAAAACCCAGACCCGACAGAAACGAGACATACCTCAGTTTTTTTGTCATGTCTTAATTAGTTAAATTATATATTTTTTATATTCGAAATCTATGTATAACACCAAAATATTACCCTTTATTTTTGTTCAGGCGTTATACAAAAACTAATACAAAATGCCTACTTATCACCAAAATTGGTAAATGTATAAGGGTCACAGATGACCGTTCTTCTTTAAACTTAATTTTTCGGGTAAGTTGGTGTTGGCCGGGCTTGTCACTTGACACGTTTTGACAAAAAGTTTCATAGTCAACAAGAGCTTAGACTTAAAATTAAGTTAAAATTTAGTTACGATGCAATTTGATCACTTAAAATTAAGTTAAAATTTAGTTATCCAGTAAAAAAAATTTATAAATTTTTATTTTTCTCTCACACACATAACATCAATTACATTAATATTTACATTTAAGGTGTTACACAATATTGATTTTTAAGTACTTAATACGTGTAAATCAGCCTTTATTTATCATGATATGACGTCACAAACTAAAGGGACTAGCGGTTAACTTGAACTTACCTGCAGGTTGTTGAGCGGCTCCATCCGCTGCACGGGCCCGGTGGTGGCGAGCGGCAGCGCGGCCTCGGCGCTCGCGCCCGCCGCCAGCGCGCCCACTGCTAATCCGCCTACCGGGTACACGCCGAAGCTGCGCAAACGCATCAATAAATTATTACGTGATTATGTGCTCAGGTGAAGTGATATACGGGACTATTCCCACCTCTCGTTCCCACCACTGCAACTCCTGTGTAGCCAGGATCTACACCTTGAACGCCACAAAAACCCAACCAATGAAGGTCAAGTTTGTCCCGGGGGAAAGTTAAACTGTCATTGGACCCGCAACGAAATTAATCAGAAGACCATAGGAGGAGTTCGAAATTAAGGTTCGACTTCCCTCCATTGCTGTGGAGGAGAAGTGATATAACGTAAAGTCCGGTCGCCAATCAGATTTCGTCCAATGACCCCAGGGTACCCATCCTTATCGCTCGCGCGTAATTATATTGCTGTCGCGAATGTGCGACGGGCGGCCACAGTGAGTGTGCGAGCGCGACAGCAATATAATTACGCGCGGGCGATAAGGATAGCTTGGGGTCATTGGACGAAATTCTACCTGCTCGGCTGTACTTTAGTTACACTATGTGCGAAATTGAAGAACACAATTAACGGAAGTATGGGCGATGCACGGCGAAACGAACTGAATTGTATTTTGCAATCAACTCCACGCGTAGTCTAATTGCGCCGATGGCATAGATTGCGTCACGAAAAAAGCACTCTAAATTACAATAGAGGAGATGTGGTTACAGTCGAACGCGCATGTACCGTGAGAGAAGTACATCTAAAGAATGCTAAATGAAATACTGGAGATTGAGATAGTTAAGAGTTTATTGCTATATGTCGTAAATTACAATGTTATGCTAATGCTAAGAATGACGTGTGATTGCTATGAATGCGATGAAAGCACTGATTTATTGAACGGAATTAGAACGTACAAACGGCGGAATTGCTGACGGAATGATTTGAGTGTAATACAATATGTACACCGTACATGCTCCCGAGGGAGAAAGATGTAAAAGAGATTAAAATGATGATGATATTAATGAAATGGAAAGTGAATTAAATCTAGTTACAAGATGATTGGACATTTTGTTATGTTTTATAATTAATAATAGCTTAATCTATGTACTATCATCGGAGATAGTGAGTACCGAGCGGAGCACCGGCGACGTGCCGTGGTCCTTTTTCGATTTGTGCGAATGAATAGGTTTGTCTTTCACTTCACTACACTTTGCTTTATCACTAGATTGCCCATTTTTGCTATAAGAAACACTTTCACTAACACAACACTGCTGCTGCTGCGGTGGGGGCGCGCGCGCGCGTCGGCGCCAGCGCCGCCAGGCCAGCGCTGCTCCTCCGGCTGCCAGCACGGTGAAGACGACGTAGATGGCCGCAAAATGATGAATGTCATGATTAGATATCTCGTCACTCAAAGGTTCTGTTTGCTTCATAGTCTCGAGTTGTTTACGAATTTCCTCCGACTCGCAAGATGTTATTTTCATCCAGGTAAGGTTTTAGTTTTGATATTTTGCTTTTTAGTGAAACATTTGTATTTGCTTCTAAGTTGCTTATTTCTTCTTTAAATGCTTCGCTTTGTATGTGTTTGATAATTAATAACTGTGCTTGTTTTAATTCATTTAGTGTTAAGTAGGTCTGCTTTTGTTTTTCTTTGCTAATAATTCTCATTATCCATGCTACAATTCTAATGATGCGTGGTAATGAGCTGTGCTTTGCTAATAATTGCTTCATAATTGATTCATCTGTTTCAGGTTGTGTTACGACGTTGCTTTGCTGTGCTTTCTTCTCCTCTTCGTGTGTAATAAATATCTCTTGGTTGCTAACTTCCTCGCTTTGATACGTAGGTAGCCAATTCGGGCCATTAATCCATAAAGTGTTTTCTTTCAGTTGTGAAGGAAATTGACCTCTGCTTGCTGAGTCAGCGGGGTTCTCAGCTGACTTTACGTAACGCCAACAATTGGTAGGTATAACTTTGGAGACATTTTTCACTCTATTCATCACAAACTGTTTCCATTTGTTGCTTGGATTCTGTAGCCATGCTAATACGACTTTAGAGTCGCTCCAACCAAAAATTTCAATTTTATGTTGATCTAAACTCTCCAAAACTTTTGTCATTAATTTTGCTAGTAGGTCTGCTGCACAGAGCTCCAATTGTGGTATAGTCAGTTGTTTTGAGGTAGGTATAAGTTTCGATTTTGCTGCGATAATGATAGCCTTTTGTTGATTTTTTAGTTTGGCGTAAATTACGCAGGCGTAAGCTTGCGACGATGCGTCACAGAAGCCGTGTAATTGAATGACGTCATGCTCGTTGCACCCGATCTTTTTGATAGAAATAAATGATTGTTGCTGAATATTTGGCATACCAAGAAGTATATTTATGTATGATGTGAACAACAGTTTTTTGTTATTATATCGGTGATTTAATATATCCCAACATATAGTGTAGTTTTCTGAACTAATTTGCAAATGCTGTATTAATCTCTCGGCTTCACCTTTTACTTTGCTTTTAAGGAACTGCATTTTCTGTGCNGCGTTTTGTTTTATTATCGAAAAACATTCGCTAAAACTAATTTTTCTTAACAAATAATAAATAAAATTCAAGTTTAAATGCACTTTATGACATAATTTTTAAATTGTCACTATTAATATTTTTTACTGAATAACCTGCAAAGTTAATTCTACAATTTCTGAAAAATCACCTAAAAGTAACCTTTTCATTAGTGTAACCTAAAAGTAACCACAGCAGTTCAAAAGTAACCAAAAAGGTTACAAAAGTAACCTTCTGGCAACACTGGTTTGTGTGGCGATAAGTACCGATACTTAAGTGATCGGTCAGTGGCATCAGAGATCAGTGAGGATTGATGTTCAGTGCGATACTGAGTTGTAAAACTAAATCGCGATTGCAGCTTTTGTGGTAGTGCATAATAAGTTAAATTCAGTAAGTCACAAGGTGAGTGATGTAAGTTAATCAACTCTTTTATAAAATAGTAAGATTTTAAGTGGAACTAGATTACCCTTGCAAACAACTCAATCATCGAATTAACGCGTATGAATGTATGATAGTGGTTGGCTAATGGCTATGTCTAACTAATGTAGCAACATTTTTTAACGTCAGGATGACTATTTACTTGGTAAATATTAGGACTGAAACTGCATAATTATCTTGAATGTTTATCAAGTAGATACGAAATTTTAATTGTAGATAAGGAAAAATACAAACCATTAATTTTGTTAAATTTTCGCATTCAATTTTCCACTCGATTGCCCGAATTAATTATTCTAAAATGGCTGTGAACGTAACCGAAACTAAGTTCTCGTACTTACTTACGGCTATTTATTCTAGGTACTAATCATTTTTTCAAGTTTTAAATTAGAAGTAAGATTTGAATTTAAACGTATTTTTTATATAGATTTTTTAATTCTCGACAAATTTTTAATGACGGTAGCTGAAAAAAATATAGCCTCTAGTGCCAACAGTCTCCAAGTAAAACCGCGGACGGACAGACCAACGGACGGACGGACATGACGAAACTATAAGGGTTCCTTGTCAGGACTACGGAACCCTAAAAATGTGTTCACCCCACACTTTACGACATAATGCGGTGTGGTTTCCCAGATGTCGGTAAAAGTGCAGAAGATCACGGAGCCCCTGGCCTTGGGCGAGGGTCCGCACTGGGACGAGCGCCAGCAGGCGCTCTACTTCGTCAGCATCAAAGAGTGCACCATACACAAGTACGTGCCGTCCACTGGGGAGCACACCAAGACCAAGCTTGGTAAGGACTTCTCTGCAATTTTTTACCGTACCCACACTCTATGACTATGACACTTATTATGCCCTATCCTAACTACAAAACACATTTGTTTATATTTCTTGATATTTTGTTTGAATACTTATCCGACAATAAATGCCTTTAGGAATATCAAATATTTTTTGATTTGTTTATTTTTGAATCATCAATTTAACATTTAGGTGATTTTTAACATTTCTACTTTGGCAACACACAAACCGTGCAAAGCCAATAACCGGAAAAAAATAAAAAAATATTTTTATGAGCATAAAAAGTTCCTAACTTTCTACAGACTTGGCTGTATATTGAGCATGATCTTTGCCTATCTCTTGATTAATTTAAAAAGTTATGATTTCTACCCTACCCGCGCTTTATCGTAAAAAAAGCAAGTTTCGTTGTTCTACGCGCCATTTTAGGTCTACGCGGAAAACTAAAAGCAAAGTGAGAAGAAAATTTTTCTAGTTATTTTTGCATCAAATACTTCAATAATTTATTTTATAGTCTCACTTCGATTTCGTAAAAGTCTTATTGCTTGCATGGACCTATAAAAAAAGGCGGACGGAACTCGCGCTACAACAAAACTGTGACGCAAAATTTTGGCGTTTGTCTATTGTGTGAGTGAATTTAGGGATGCCATGTTAGCCAAAACATTTTACCCAATTTTCCCACGTAAATAACTGAGAACACTGGTCTTTGACGTATTATTTTTTCGAGTGAATGACGTTTGATTTCAATTAATTTCAATATTTTAATGTCGGGAAATAAGTGATTGGATTATTATTTTGCCTGTGAAATGTGATTCCTTAATTTTTGTTTGTTCGAACAGAACGGTTTTTACACAATTTCATCACACAAGACATGTCGTATTCGTGTTGTTTTTTCGCTGCTTAAATGTGTCAACTGTGTGAAGTTTGCACTCGAAGTGGTGTAACAGGGTGTGAATGTGTGCGTGCCGGCCTGTACATACTGGCAAGCTGGTGTATCCTAATGTCACAGTATTTTGTTGATGAGAATCCGTCCGACTTTTTTTATAGGTCCATGATTGCTTGAATATTAAAAGATTTTTTCGTCCCCTTCCAAGATGGCCGCGTAGGCTTCATAGTGCCCGTGGAGGGAGCTACCGACCAGTTCGTGGTGGGCGTGGAGCGCAAGTTTCTGGTGCTGCAGTGGGATGGCCGCGACGGGAGCCCTGCGAAAGTGATCAAGGAGTTGGGAGAAGTAGACCAGGACGTGCCTACGACGCGCATCAACGATGGCAAGGCAGACCCTAGAGGGCGGCTCTATGCTGGTGAGTCTTGCGTGTTTCTTGGATAAAAAGTTATTGAGATTTTGGGCAACAAGCAGAGGATTTACGTGCAGTAGGGACTACGGATCAAGCGATATTTTCCAGTGAAGGTACCTGCATAAAATAACTTATACTTACCTACAGTTTTTTTTACGGTAGTTGCGAACGGTTATTATAATGTAATGAAACACTTGTACAATTGTTTAATCAGCAATAAATAAGTAAGCAATCAAGGCAGTTTACGCATGTTTTACTATTATGGTGTGTGCACAGTGCGCAGTGACGCGTGTTTTGTAAATCGGGCACAATTTCGATTTCGGATACAGAATTTGTTGATTCTTTTGTACAAACAACAAATTGATTAGGTAAAATTTTGAAATCGCTCGACTTTTCATACATCACCTGCCTGAACTGCGCCAGGCGACGACCGATCACCTAGTGACTGATGCCCGTTTTCAAAAATACAAAATTCCTGTTAAGTGTTACCATAGGGGCACTAAGGGTCACTTAAAAATTAGGGATTAATGGTGAAAAGGGGTATGGTTTCTTGCGCTGCTTCTTCACAGCACTGGGCCCTTATTTTCCGCCCGAAACAGTGGTAGTGTTGGGACGTGTAAAAGTGCTCTTTTGGAGCCTCATCATTTCAGCCACAGGACGTCCACTGCTGAAAATAGGCCTCCCCCAACAATGATTTCCATATTGACCGCTGCTGGCTTGAATCCAGCGAGCCTACTTGAAAAAAAAAACGATTTAGATTTTTTATGTTATTATTTTTTTATGCTGAAGTGGAAATGGGCAGGGCACATAGTACGCAGAACTGACGGCCGATGGGGCAGTAAGGTTCTAGAATGGAGGACGCGTACCGGAAAACGCAGCGTGAGACGTCCACCTACAAGGTGGACCGACGACATCGTAAAGGTAGCAGGGAAGCGCTGGACGCAGGCCGCTACCAATCGATCAACGTGGAAAGCATTAGGGGAGGCCTATGTTCAGCAGTGGACGTCCTATGGCTGAAATTATGATGATGAGATTTTTTTATTATTCTTTCCCCAGGCACAATGGGCCACGAGAACGCTCAAGGCGAGTTCGACCCAAAAGCCGGGTCTCTCTTCCGCGTAGACGGCGGCGGCATCAAGAAGCTGGTGCAAGGAGTCACCGTCTCCAACGGGCTGTCCTGGGACCTGAAGGAGAAGGCCTTCTACTACACAGACTCCATGGACAGCAACATCAGGAGATACGACTACGATGTCGAGACTGGCGAGATTTGTAAGTTATTACATTCACTTTTATTTTATAAATGTTGGAACGATTCTACGACAACCGTCAATGACTCCGTCAATTCAACCCCTTCGAGAACTCAACCCTTGCGACCACTCAACTTCTGCGATAACTCAACCCCTATGACACCAAAGCCTAGGCGCAGACCGCCGACTTTTAGTTGGCCGATAGTTGGGTCGGGCTTTTAATCAGTATGGAGATGTATGAAAGTGCGCACACTACACCGATTTGTTATCGTACAAATTGGAATCGGGCCCAACTATCGGCTAACTAAAAGTCGGTGGTCTGCGCCTAGTCTAAGACAAATTCAACTCAATTTTCTTCACCGAAGTCGCGTCGTCCCAGGGTCGAGTTGTCGTGATACCGTTGAAACATTGTAACTAATTTCATTTGTCTATTATCTACTTTATTCAAATACTCTGGTGTCATGCTGATAATACATATTTTGTGATGTCTTGGATGCTATGATTTCATGAATTTTATTTTATTTTATTTTTCTTTATTCAGAAAACCACAGCTCTTTATAATAATAATACAAACAGGTATTTTTGTTCTTACAGCCAATAATATTATTACAATCTCGTAAAAAAACAGTCAAAGGGGCAAAAAAGAAACAAGGCTTGCATGCAGGTTGTGTGTGTGTGTGTGTGTGTGTGTGTGTGTGTGTGTGTGTGTGTGTGTGTGTGTGTGTGTGTGTGTGTGTGTGTGTGCGTGTTCCATGTTTTTTTCTTGCACCATCATGGGTCTCTAAGATAAATAATGAACAATATTGTGTATTATTTCCAGCGAACCTGCGCTACATCTTCGACTTCAAGAAGAACGGCATCGAGGGAGTGCCCGACGGACACACCATCGATACCGACGGCAACCTCTGGGTCGCCGTGTTCAACGGCTCCTGCATCCTGCATGTAAGCTAAACGTTTCTTAGTCAATTTAGACAGAATATTTCAGCTAAAGCCTGGTCTCGGGACTATTCCCACCTCTCGTTCCCACCACTGCAACTCCTGTGTAGCCAGGATCTACAGCTTGACCGCCACAAAAACCCAACCAATGAAGGTCAAGTTTGTCCCGGGGGAAAGTTAAACTGTCATTGGACCCGCAACGAAATTAATCAGAAGAAAATAGGAGGAGTTCGAAATTAAGGTTCGACTTCCCTCCATTGCAAAGCGGATGACAGGTGACAAACAAAGGTTTTTGGTGGTTGTAAAGCCTGGTCTGTGAGCACGTAGAATTTTGTCCAATGACCCCAAGCTACCCATCCTTATCGCTCGCGCGTAATTATATTGCTGTCGCAACTGATTGTGCGACAGGATTGGGGTCATTGGACAAAATTCTACGTGCTCACGGTCCAGGCTTTAGTTGAAGTAGTCGTGTTTCTTAAAACTTATTCATACGAGTAGTTAAAGTAATTCTTAATGTATCTTAACGCATGTCATATGGACGAAGAGACAATTTCACGATCTCTTTCTTGCAATCGTGGTTAAAATATTAATTAGGTAGGTGAACGCCTTACTCCAGCTTCTTAAATTACCCTTTAATTTAATAATAATTAGTACCTTTAATACCTACATCATTAGAAAGTTGGGAAAGTATTTAAAAAAAAAACAACAAAAATAATAAGTTGCATATGTTTTACATTTGGCACTCAAAGTGCTATCAAAAATGTAAATAATTTTCAAATTAGGTAATTCGGTAATTTTCAAGTCAGAATACTGAATAAGTCAACTCGTTCTACGAGCATTAACTTATCACGAGGGGTCTGAATTATAAAGCTTATATTCTTTAAAAACAATTTTCGTTCCATTTTGGTTTTAAAATGAACACCTTGGAGATTTTTGTAGCCTTAACCTACAGACTGTCTTATCTAGTTCTTGAACAACATCCATATATCTTCCAGATCAGAGGTTCTTAACCGGTGGTCCGCGGACCACTGGTGGTCCCTGGAGGCATTCCAAGTGGTCCACGAAGTGCACTTGCACACCTTGGGCAAAACCACTATTAACTGATTTTTGCAGTCAACTGGTTTACTTTTGACCGATTATGATTATGAGGTGGTCCCTGACTGACGAGACAAATTTGGTAAAATGGTCCCTCATGATTTAAAGGTTAAGAACCACTGTTCCAGATCAACCCCAAGACTGGACAACTACTGCGCAAGGTGTCGATCCCGGCGCTGCAGGTCACGTCCGTCACCTTCGGCGGCCCGCAGTTCGATGTCCTGTTCGTGACCACTGCCAGCTTGAACATCACGTGAGCACTTTGTTTTATTTTGATTGCTATTATGTCGTCGTCTCAGCCAAATGACGTCCACTGCTGGACAAAGGCCTCCCCCAAGGTTTTCCACAATGCACGGTCCTGCGCTGCCCGCATCCAGGCTCTTTCCGCGACCTTTACCAGATCGTCGGTCCACCTAGTAGGAGGCCTGCCCACGCTACGTCTTCCAGCCCGTGGTCGCCACTCGAGAACTTTCCTGCCCCAACGGCCATCGCAGTGGCGGCGTAGCATGGGTTGAGCACCCGGGGCGATCACCCCCCCATCCCCCCGTCATAAGTCCTAAGGCACCCCCTGGTACCCCCCGGGATTTTGGGGTTATCTACAGATTCGAAGATTGAAAGACAATCGCACGCACCCCCTAACCCCCCCCCCCCCATTTCATGACATAGACCGCAGACTTGCCATGCAGATGCGCCAGTGAGTACTAATCTGCGTGACTTGTGTCACCCCCTGATGCTTGGCACCCGGGGCGGACCGCCCCCACCGCCTCCCCCTTACGCCGCTACTGGGCCATCGTCTCTACGAGCTATGTGCCCCGCCCACTGCCACTTGATTTTAGCAATTCTGCGAGCTATGTCGGTTACTTTGGTTCTCCTGCGGATCTCCTCATTTCTGATTCGATCACGCAGGGAAACTCCGAGCATAGCCCGCTCCATCGCCCTTTGGGTGACCTTGAGCCGTCTTATGAGGCCCATAGTAAACGACTACGTCTCAGATCCGTATACCATCACTGGCAACACACATTGGTCGAATACTTTCGACTTGAGACACTGCGGTATTTCGGACGTGAGTATATGGCGAAGCTTCCCGAACGCTGCCCATCCGAATTGGATTCGACGATTGACCTCTTTCTCGGAGTTGCTATTATGTACTTACATTATAAAGGTTCAATTCGTAGCTGACTCCACACAGCAGCAACAACCGACGACGTGTCGCTAGCATCATTATCAGCATCATTTCAGCCACAGGATGTCCACTGCTAAACATAGACCCTCCCCAATGACTTCCACATCGCACGGTTGGTAGCTGCCTGCATCCAGCTAACGGGACTATTCCCACCTCTCGTTCCCACCACTGCAACTCCTGTGTAGCCAGGATCTACAGCTTGACTGCCAATAAAAACCCAACCAGTGAAGGTCAAGTTTGTCCCGGAAAGTTAAACTGTCATTGGACTGGAACTAATCAGAAGAACATAGGAGTTCGAAGTTAAAGTTCGACTTCCCTCCGTTGCAAAGCGGATGACAGGTGACAAACAAAGGTTTAGTAACCTTTATGAAAAAGATTATGCACCACGGACAATAAACATTAATTAAGGGGGCCTATCACGTGAGTACCTACTCTCTTCATCATCATCATTTCAGCCATAGGACGTCCACTGCTGAACATAGGCCTCCCCCAATGATTTCCACAATGGCCGGTTGGTGGCAGCCTGCATCCAGCGCCTTCCTGCTACCTTTATGAGGTTGTTGGTCCTCCTTGTAGACTCTTTTTGTCATAATCGTCGTAATTAAGTGAATTTTTTGTGTGACAAGAATGCTCTTGACCTCTATTGATCAGACGAAGGTGGAAGTGAGCCTCGCTAATATGGTATTGACTACTGAATTGTAGCGATGGAAGTAATCAATTGAAACACATCGACGCAATCTTTTGGATTATTCCACTTTGTTCACCTTGATGAAAAAAGTGGCATATTTAGTATCCTATTTCACCTCGGAACTATTTCATCCAAGTGATATCCTGAAATGGAAAATTATGCAGGGTGAAATGGTTCTGAGGTGAAATGACACAAAAATTCCACTTTTTTACAAAGTAGAATAATCCATTTTTTTGTATTGTCTGAAAGACGTTAGTTTTTTGAACCGTTAGTTAGAGATGTCTGTCTGTCCTGGGCGAAAACAATGCAAACGTTTCTAATATGCATTTTTAATTTGTTTCAGTGCTGAACAGAAGCCTCCGTGTGGCTGTACCTTTATGGTGACCGGTTTGGGCGCTAAGGGACACCCCAACGTTAATGTTAAACTTTAAGATAAGTGTAATTAGATACAATAATAACCCTTCCTATTAGAAATATTATATTGTTGTTAATCCAGCATGTTATGAATGAAATATTTAAGTATATTACCGTTATTAAGTATTATCCACATTGGTGTAGTCTTATTATTATTAAAAGACAATATTATGCAATAAACGTTAATTTTGTATTATTTTAGTTTAAGTATCGTAGTATTTTTTTGAAGAGCGGTTTGGTTGCGGGTTGGATTTGGTGTTTACTAAAATATATTATTGAAAAGACAATATGCTATAGTATGACCGGTTAAATGAGACCTCGCCTGCGGAACGCGGGGGCACAGGGGCGGGACGAGAACGGGGACCGTGCGGGGTGCGGGCGGGGATGATATAAAAAAGATTAAATTTCACTAGATAGTTCTCAAGATATGTGACGTCACAGTGAAGTGGTTAACGGTAAACAGGTGGTGATAAATTTTGTAAAATAAATTATTTTATCTAATAAAGAAAATAAATTATTTTCTAATAAAGAAAATAAATTATTTTCTAATAAAGAAAATAAATTATTTTCTAATAAAGAAAATAAATTATTTTCTAATAAAGAAAATAATTTATTTCATAAAATTTTAATGAAACAATTCATGTACGACATGAATTGTTTCATTAAAATTTCATGTAAAATTTATTGTGTGCAAGATGTACCTATCCAAATTATAATCAATCACTTATGTCCATATCAATATCAGTAGAACTTGATTCTTCACTTTCAAAGCAGCCATCATCCGAATTATCTGAATCATCGTGCACATTAATAATAAAATCAACAACGTCATCTAGAACTCCGTCATGTTCGCAGTATTCATCCTCGACTTTAATTACATGGTTAATACAATGCTCCCACTTTTCTGCGGAATATTCAGCAAATAAATTTTCCAACATATTTTTTTTCTGGTCCAAATTGGAGTCGATACTTTTTTCTGCTAGCTGTCTTTTAATATCACCCCAGACCAACTCAATTGGGTTCAGGTCTGGGTGGTAAGGAGGCAAACGCAACACTTCATGGCCGTTTGCTTTCAATAACTCATCAATTTTATATATGTCCTCTGTGTAATGGCTTTTAATTAATTTGGATAAATCATCCTTTTTTAATTTATCATCAAAAGGCACCTCATGTCGTCGTAGCCAATCTTGCATTTCTGGCTTGGTAGAGGCCATAGTCGGCTTTTTTTCTACTCTAACCGAATGATAAGCTGCATTATCCATTACTATTACTGAATTTGGTGGAATATTAGGCATCAGCTTTTCATTTAGCCATTTACTAAAATTCACGAAATTCATTGTATCGTGATAATCACCTGTTTTACATTTGGATTTAAATATCACAAGTGCTCCATCGACAAATCCAGTGTAGCCACCACAATGTATGATGATCAAACGCTCTCCTTTACCAATATGAGACAATACTCCGTGTTCATCCTTTGATTGCCAACATTTTGAAACGTTATGAGACGCATTGACATAAGTTTCATCAAGATATAAAATATGTCTTCCTTCTCTACGATACTTTTTAATAGTATTTAGATATTTCCACCTCCACGATGTTATATTTGGCTGTTCAATAAGGAGTTTCCTTTTAGATCCGCATTTTTTAAATTTAAAACCTAGGTCATGTAATAATAATCTTAAATATTCTCTGCCGCAGTATAATACATTATCTTCTCTAAGGGTAGCGTTCAAGGATTTCAGAGTTGGTATTTTTTTTAAAATTGTGTAATACTGAGTAACTTTTCTTCTTACCACGCCTTTTTTGAAATCATCTACTTCCACCCTTTTCCTGCGGCTTTGTTTCAATTTCTTCGGTGATTTAAATTTTTCATTGTTTTTTAATAATTTTCCTTGTTGTACAATTCTAGATACAGTCTTTTCCGATAGTCCAGTAACGTTTGCTACGGTTTTGTTTAACGGTATATCTTGTTGATATTCATCAGAATTTGGATCCAGTTTTTTTTTTCTAAAATATTCATAAACGTTAAAAGCTATTTGCTTGCACTGACTATTAATTTTATGTCCGAAAATCTTTCGACTCATCTTAAAAATTTAATCTCATTTATAGCCCTCAAAAAGCGTCCGTAACAAATAACACAAGCGTTCGCTAGCCGCATCGCCAGCGAAATGAATTTTGACAAGAATGCGCCTGCCGCCCGCACCCCGTACGATCTCCGTTTTCGTCACGCCCCTGTGACCCCGCGTTCCGCAGGCGAGGACTCATTTAACCGGCCTACCTATAGAAGTAGACATTAAACTAGCATTTTGAATTTTTGATTATTCGTTTTAATATGTATTTCCTTGCCTCATAATATCTTAGTGAAAGAACACTGCCTACGCATGGACATTTAACTACGGGATAGGTAAGTAGTTGATACACTTATTAATTTCATTGTGTTCTTATAAAGTTGTGCCTTGCAATTTAATTACAACCTGTATAAAACAGGTTGTAATTGAAAACAGTTGCCAAAATTATTTCGCGCATCGTATAGAAATAATTAAATATGATAATAAGATAAAAAAAATTGCCCGTTTTCACCATCAATCCTTAATTTTTAAGTGACCCCTATGGAAACAAAATGCCTATTATGTGTTACCATAGGGGTCACCTAAAGATTAGAGATTGATGGTGAAAACGGGCATAAGGTACTGATTCTGAGTCGCTCCTAAAAATTCTGCAACTGTTTGCAAAGTCACTGTACGTTCAACCACTCAATTCTCATAACCAAATAAGACTCAATATTAACACTAAGCATTTATTCAATGCAGCTTAACACTAACATTGGGGTGCCCCCTGGCCCCCAGGCCGCCGAGCCGGAACGTGGCCCCCGCGGGAGGGGCCTGGGGGGCGCCGCGGTCCATGGCGGCGCTGGTCACGTAGAGGTCGTCGAGCTCGCGGCCCCCCCAGGTTGCTGACGTCACTTGGAGGGGGGGCAGCCTGACGGTTTGGAGGAGCTTGCTGGTGCGAGGATCGATTTTGATCACCTGGTAAGAGAATTTTTGTTTTATGATGTGTAAATGATAGTTCTACCACAGAATAATAATAAGTACTACGTACAGAAGTTTTAGTTCGCGAAGGTATTTAAAAAAATGTATGCTCAATGTGATTAACAATATGGTGTAATTTAGCCTGTCTCAAAGAGTCAAGCACCATTTTGTTGACAAACGTCAGTGATCGGCACTGCGCCGAAGCTATAGGGCTGACTTCGGTAAAATGATGTGACGTGAGGTGCCAAACTGCGGAAAATGGCGGAGGAAATACATGATTTAGCATGAATTATCATGAATAATATTAACTACTATTTTTACCTCTCAGTGTCTTGAGGCAACTTAAAAAAGTATATTCTGTGTGTTTATTATTATTTAGGCAGTTAAATACTGCACAGTATTTAGTACACCATTTTCTTTATTTTCTTCCATCATACACAAGAATACGCGTGCGTGAGTCAATGTTCGCTCGTATGTGAGGCCTTGTCGAATAGTATCCTGTAGGTGGGCCATCGTGCGTGTTTTGTTTTCGATGTAAACTCGCGGAGATGAACAGGCCTGGTTCTACGTACGTGATCGTTGTTTATTATGACGTAAACCTATTAAGGTGTTGCTATTTTCTTTTTAGGGCTGATTTTCAATCGCCAGATATCTTTTATCTGAAGAATAAACTTGTCATTTTGACATATTTCCCATACGAAACTGTCAATCTGCCAAACTTATTCTTCAGTTAAAGTTATCCGACGATTGAAAAATCAGCCCTTAATCATTTTTTATCAAAAAACAGCTGTAGTTAGGTAGGAATAGAAACAGAAACTTATCTCTGATTTCGTGTGCGTTATTATAATTAAAGTTAATGACACTGGTGACTGACTTTTACACCTCAATATGCGCTTTTAAAGCATATAATCATATTTTAATTTAACCAATTTTTTTAAAGAGCTCCGAATGGAGAGAATGCTTTAACTCTTAAGGTTCGACTTCGGTCAAACCAACGCTGCAATCAATCAGGCTGCACGCGATGGTTTGGCCGAACGTCTAACTAGTGACTTTGTATACAGGGTGTTTGGTTAATGGGTATATGAGCCGAAACTAGCCCATGTTAACATGGGCATATAAATGGTATGGTGAAGTCAGAAAATTGATATCTTCATTTTAATTATTTTAATTTTCATACAAATCGGATTTTTTAAAATTTAGTTTGTATGAAAATTTAAAAAATAAAATGATGATATCAAACTAACTTCACCATANGTGAAGTCAGAAAATTGATATCTTCATTTTAATTATTTTAATTTTCATACAAATCGGATTTTTTAAAATTTAGTTTGTATGAAAATTTAAAAAATAAAATGATGATATCAAACTAACTTCACCATACCATTTATATGCCCATGTTAACATGGGCTAGTGTCGGCTCATATACCCATTTACCAAACACCCTGTATTCAAATTTCGTTTCTTTATTTGTTTTTTTGTAAGCGTACCTGGTGGTTGTCAAAGTTGGCGACCCAGAGGTTGCCGTCGGTGTCGATGGTCATTCCGTCCACGATGCCCGCTAGCCCGTGGTCCGCGTACTTAAATACCGTCGTTGGGTTTGCTGGAACCACGAAAAATTTATATAAAGAGAGCAACAATCGAAGTAAGCCTAAAAATCAACATTCATAGAGGGTAGATAGATTAAACATCTAATTGCTGTAGAAGTGGGCGTCGCTATAAAAATGGGCGTGGTTCGAAACGTTTATCTAAGTTTGAATTATTTTTGTATAATCTCGGATGTACGAAGGTACAAAATATGCAACATCTAAATGACATAAGAAGCATAGTTTCCACAACAAGCACACGTGAGACATTGTTTCTGAAGAACATATTCCATAATGTCATTTGTCTATTAATAGACCAAGGGTTAAAAGTTTCAGACATTTTGTCGCTTAACCATTCTCGAACACACGGGTGTATTCAGAAAAAGTTATCTGGCAATAAAAAAATAATCTGATCAACCTCTTTAGGGATCACTGCATCATTGCCAGGCGAACAGCGCGGACAAAATTCTTGTGGACTAGGATTATTCGTAAACTTTTAGTAAGTACTCACAAATGTTGCCAGTCTCAATATCATAATCGTATCTTCTAATAGTGTATTCGAAGGAGTCTGCGAAGTAGAAGGCCTTCTCCTTAACGTCCCAGCACAGTCCGTTGGAGATGTCAATGTTATCGGCCAGCTTGTGCACGCTCGCGTCCGGATCAATCCGGTAGAGGGCGCCCTTCTTCAGGTCGAACTTGCCCGGCTCGTACTCGTGACCCATCGTGCCTGGAAATAACGTTTATATTTCAGTAATCGCGTAAATAGAATAAGAAAAGCAATTTCAGGTCTTAGGTAAAGATTTACGTAAGTAAATCCTTAGGGTATGTTACCAGAACGGATTAGTCAAGTGATGATCGATCCGACCGAACCCCAAAAGAAATAACACAATGATATACCTACCCCCTTACTAATAAAAAATAATTAAGTTGCACAGTTGTTGAACACTGTTTTAAAATGACATTTCAACAAGCGTGTAAGTTTTATTAGTATGGGGGTTAGGATTTAGCATAATGATTTTTCATACGACATTCCTTGCTACATAAAAAATATTAACATTTTAAAGTGAATTAATATGAAATATATCTTTAAAGTTTTATTTTATCTGTAAGTAGTCCTTTTACTATAGGTATCGGGCTCTAGGGATTCGTGTCTTTAAGAGAAGGGACTCTATGCTCACTAAGGAGTAAGTTTCCTTAGCTTATATCCTGGGCATGGGAACGGTGCCTTACAACCAGTGCTTCCCGTCCGTATATAGTATTTCTTTATCGAAATGGTTCAGTAACTTCTGCGTAAAACGCTAACAGAGTTGCTTTTGCATTTATTGATTTAAATAGTTTATAAGTATTAAGGAAGCACGGATTCCACTTACCAGCGAACAGCCTGCCCCTAGGATCGGCTTTAGCATCATTAAACCTATTGTTAGGGTTCTCATGGTCAACCTCAGCGACGGTCCGTAGCACCCTCGCGGCGTTCTCGTCGCCATTCCACTGGATCTCCACCACCTTGCGGTTCAGGCCTACTACGAAGTGGTGCGGCCTGCCTTCCACTGGGATTATGAAGGTTGGCATGCCATCTGGAAGGGGTTTAGGTTGTAGTTAAGGTTTTTTGGAAAATTAATTCGGCGTTTTACGATTTAGGTATACCAGCCGGGCTGGGATTCGCGCCGTGATATGATATACTCTTAACGATGATTTTAGACGTCAAAATGTAAGGAAAAAATCGATAAAATCGCAGCGCGCATCCTAGGCCTTCAGAAAATTACTGAGTGGTGATAGTCTCAGTATTATTCTTTTCTAATTCGGATTCGATGCAGTTCGTATTCGCAATAGCGAATAATAAGTATGTTGTAGTTTTCCCGTTTAGGAAAGACCTTTGCACCATAAGTCTAATAAGCAATTTCTGAGAATAAGGCCAGCGTTTCATTTAAGCAGGTACTTTAATTCAATAATAAAACATCGCAGTATACACAACAAGTTCAAAGTAATAATAAATAACCTACTTAGCTCGGGACAAAATGTAATGCACGTCTACAAAAAGTGGACGTTGAGTTAGGTGCGTGACTAATTGTTTGTTCAAAAGCAGTAAGTAATATTTCCCACTCACCCAACTTCGCCCTGGTGTGCACCCCAGTATCGGGCTCGTACTTGTGGACAGTCTTGTCGAAGATGCTGACGAAGTACAGCGCCTGCTCCGCGGAGTCCCAGTGCGGGCCCTCGCCCAGCCACACCGGCGCCGTCACCGTCTGGATCGTAGGGCCCATCTGGACAAGCGTGGGGGTTAGCTTGGGCACCAAGGGCTATATTTCACCGGGACACCATGGCGGCGCAACCAGTCGCCGCTACCAACAAAATGTATACAGCTCTATAGAGAGTTACTCACCTGGTGTCCGTTTGGTTGCGCAAAGCTGTATACTTTTCGTTGGTAGCGTCGACTGGTTGCGCCGCCATGGTGTCCCGGTGAAATATAGCCCCAAAGGTTCGGCCAAAAAACCAATAACGCGTGCAGTCTGCGTGATGGCGATCATTGGAAATCAGTACGATCACCATCGCAATTGCGCACGTAGGCGGCACGCGTTGGTTTGGCCGAACCTTTAAGCCTTGTTCGCACTTCGCAATTTAGTAGCTAAAGGTGTCCTAACACCAAAAATTTTATCGAGTAAGGTAACTAAAATCGTTTAGTCGAGTCAATCCATTTTGTTCTATGTTGATAGGCGAGTAGCACCCCCCAAGACTGTAGTGCACCGGCTAAACGACTCTGAACCAGGCGGTTTAGTATAGCCGCTCGTTACTCTACCAAATTACTTGACAAGTTCAAACAAGGCTTTAGGGTACGTAATACGTATAGGACGATAGAGGGCGGGTTTATCGCCTAAAATCGATAAGTTAGATTAGATCGTGACGCGTATCCTAGGCTAGCAGACCTCGCCTTGCCACATACAAATAACAAGTGAGCGACATAGGTATTACGTATACTTACCTGTCTCTACGCTGCAAATAACGGGTGATCCTCATGGAGTGTTATAGGTTGGATTATTATAACCACCTGTTATTATTTTTTAAGTTACCTAGTTTAAACAAGTAGCAAATATGGGATAAACAGCGATATAGCATTACGATCGGCATCACGCACGTTTCTCCGTAGGCCTAGTTTTCCTTTTACATAATTGAATTAGGGAAAACCCGATCGAAGCCGTTACGTTACGGAAAATAGAAATTAATTACATTACTACGTATTATTAAGTTGTTAATAGCTATATTTTTTTTGGCAAATTGCAGCATTTTACTGCAGGTACATCAGTAGTCGAAACTCATTCTAAAGAAAAAACTCATTGAAGGTTATTCAAATGCTATTTTAGTTCGTTCAATCAATTACATGTAGTATTAAACGTAAATTGATAAATATAAAGTTATTAAGATTCGCTACGATGACATTACATTGATTGCCAATTGATATTTCTTTTATTGCCAATATCAAGAACAATCAGCATTTTATCACATTTTATTTGAATGCCTATAAAACAAATAATACATAATTATTAAGTACCACAAACCAAAACAGTTTTAGGTAATCTTGAAACACTATAAAACACTCGAATTTAACAATTTTAAAACAGTAAAGACGAGTTAATGAACGACATTGAGTTTTATTTCGGTAATATTTTTGGCAAGCGTAGACAGTCATATTCTGGACGCCCACGTAACTCTGAAGAAGGCTTTTACTAAAAGAATATTACGCGAGGAATAAAACAACACGCAGTTTTTCGACTGAATTTGTTTTACGGGTTTTATTTTTTAAACTAATTATTAAAACACTTTTTTATTACGCCTAATTGACTCCTATAACATCAGATATCTGCTAGTAAATGTCGTGACAAATGTTTTATAAGAATTTATAAAAAAAAAGCGTGTTATTTGGACACTATAATTTATCGCATTATAATAAAGTAACTTTCAGACTTGTTAATAAAGCCCATACCGCTAACTTTTTCTATCTACTAATTAAATACAGTGATAATTTTATTGCTTTGAGCAGATTAAATATTTACCACAAAGAAGCCCGTCTCCGCCAGTAACGGCATACGCGATGCACTGTACTTATAAATATTCAAACACGAGGAAATGTTCTTCATATATCAATGTAATTCAAGGAAAATACAGTAGGATTATATACATAGACACCCATGTTTCTTAGAACTATCACATTGCCTTAATTAAATAGAGCTATGACGATTATTGATAAGGTAAAAAAATAACAAATCATTTCAAATCAATAAACAAATAACACGATAGCAAAAGGTTCTCAACCTGCTAAAATTATTCAAAACTCATCAGGAATAGAACCCAAATCAAATTATTTATTTTGCTTGAAAGTGGTACATGTGAGTAAGTAGACAACCGCAAACCGCATTGTAGTTCGCATAAAGAAGTAAAGAATTTACTCGACCGAGCAAAACCAACCAATTTTGGTAATAGCTACGCTCTCCTAATTAGTAACAGAAAATGAATTAGGTGAGTACTTATAAGTACTACTTGATTAAATACAATGAATTTCTACAAAATTATAATACACTTTCTAAGCGTATTAATCTATATATATAAAAATGAAACCCGTTTTCCGTTGTCACGACATAACATGAAAACGGCTTGACCGATTTGGCTGATTTTTTTTGTAGTTTTCTAATACTCTGTACAAGGTTTTTACGGAAAAAAATATAAAGAAAATCTCTACGCTAAGGCGGTATGAAGTTCGCGGGGTCAGCTAGTACGTAAATATAAAATAAGGTCAGACCAGTCAATATAGACGTAAGAGCAGTGAACGCCAGACCTACGTCATTTTATAAAAGCTGAAAGTTTGTCAGCGTATGCTCCCAATATAGGATATAATGTTGGTGAATCATGAAGTTTGGGTCTGTGGGTTTCTGAATAAAGAAAGCCCTTTAAAGATTTTGTTAAAGAATGGGCCTGCTGAATTCAACTGTGTTTTGGGTACGTCTGGCAAAAACTCTAATTGCCTAGAGATTCCGGTGAATCACGACGTCTCAGCAGGCCATTATTTATGATTGTTTACTGCTAACGATTACTGTAAATTTGGATTTTTTCCTCCGTAATTACTATGACTTATCACAACGTTTATATCAATATTTTATGTACACTAGCTTGAGCTAATATATTTATTAGTTGCACTAATTAGTACCGTTTCAGGTCATAATTTTTATTTATTTTATTTTTATTTATAACTAGCGGCCGCCCGCGAGATCGTACGCGTGGATCCTGTTTTACCCCCTTTTCCCGAATTTTCTTTGCTATAAACCTCACTGCAATGCAAAACCGTGGAAATCGGTTCGTGCGTTCTGGAGTTATAGCGTCAGGGAGGAAAACCCGACTTATTTTTATATAGTAGAATATATCTGATATGCTCACACGCCTTAACTACTAAACCAATTTTGATGAAGATGGTTTGTTACATAGACCCGTAATAATTATCCCTGTAAGGGCAATGCAACAAAAGCCTTTAAACTTATTTGTAGTTTATTTACATAATTACAAATTAATGATGAGATCGACTTACTGACTAAACAGAACTCGAGTGGTATAGAAATACCCTATTTATTAGGAAATAGGAATGCTCCATGAATTTATATGAGTTTGTAAAATTTTACCTTAGTTATAAAACACTACAAGTAGGTAGAATAGTTCCCGTAATACACAAATTGACACTATTTTGTTAACTAACTAAAATTGTATATTGTTATACTTACTTTAACGACTGTGCCAAACGTAACAGTGAGAGCACTGAGCGTAATCTAATCGCGCATTATTTTATAGCAGATATACATTATATCTTATATCTAATCAGATGTAATAACACCGACTTCTCGACAGGGAATGCTGTCATTGACGACTTTTCTCGATTTTACATCAGTAAACTCTTCATAATCATTATTTTCGTCGTCTTCTGGTAGTGGGTACTTAATACGTATACACTCGGGCTCGTTGAAGCTACAATGAAAAAAATAAAAACAAATTAGCACTTCGTTTAAAAATAATGTGTTTATCAAATAACAATATAAGGCTAAAAGTAGCTCCTTGTTGGACTCCCATAAACATGTCAGCCAGTTAAAGATTTTTGTGTTTTGTAATTTAATTGAGCATACGTATGTTCATACAAATCAATCGAAACAATGAAATAAACGTATAACATTCTATATGTCTGTTTTTGAAAAGAAATATGTAATAGTTTGACATTATCAAAGGCTTAGGCAAAACCTCAGTCCATAAAGTTTCTCAAATACAATCGTTTAGTTATCAAAAGTACCTTTCTCGTTATCAGTACTCAATAGTAATGCATTATAGTGCGTAATATCTGCATTCACTTGATACCATATCCTGCCTCCCGAGATAGCATATGATGCAATAATATGCTGATTGTTGCTAGTGCGCAGATCTAATCCAAAAAGGAATTTTGATGTCAACTACACTCAACATCAAATAAACCGCACCTTCCGCTAGGCGAACTTTAAAGATTTTCTTCTGACACAATCATGGTACCCCAACAATATTGGTGTTATTTGAAAGCCCAATAAATATCCTTAAAGAAAAATATTTAAATTATTAACATATACCATAAATGTGACTTGAAAATAGACCTCACTTTGGGCTTACCTCTGGGATCAATTAGACCAATTTTTATGGTTATAAAACCAAATAAAGATCTCACGTGTCCTCTTTAACAGATGGATAGCGATTAATCCCAACTTAACAGTTTTATAGTCATAAAAAATGGCTATAGCGTAACTACCTATTTTTTAAAGAAGTGACTCTGGATCCTTGTAAAGACACATTTTTGGGGTAAAAACCTTTCCTTTAATGAAATGAAGTTTAGAACTAGGCTTTCAAATGGTACCAATGTTGGTGGGAAGTGGGGATGCATACGTTTGATAAGTGCTTGTCGCGGGAGGTGCGATTTATTTGATGCCGAGTGTATATCCTCCTCACTCACTCTACTTTTAGGATGTGAGATAGTAGACATTACGAATATTATCGAAAGTTTTGCAGAGAAGGTACTTTATTGTGTTATCAATCTAAATCTACGTTAAACATACCACAATCTGATAGCCCCTGACTGTGACAAAAGATAAAGATCATCAAATCATTAAGGCAGAATATGATTAACAAAGTTGATTAGTTGATTACACAGGCTACTGTGCTACCGCCGCACAGTGTTTTAAAATCACTTGGAAGCGGACATTTTTTGGTGAATAGATGACATGATTTAACAAGTAAATCTAAGTAAATTCCTAAAAGAAACCCGTGGTCTATCTTCAACAGCTTTCGAGAAAAAAATTTTTTAATTTGGCTTATTTTGTGTGTTTTAAAATACGTTTTTTTGTTTATCTGTTCTTTATTTGAAGTTGTAACACAATTGATTTAAATGAGTAATAAAGCACACAATTTCCCTTTTTTTGAGCTATACATCATATTCTAAAGCTTTGTAGATCCGGAGAAATTATAAAAAAACTGATTTTTGGTTTTTAATTTTTTAAATTTAAGTTGTACGTTTTGAGCAATAACGAATTATTGCATGTTATAAAAGACCTTTTATTTTACTCACGAAAAAAAAATCACCGAATTTTGAGAACATACTTTTGAGAAATTTGCATTTGAAATTTCGTGTTAAGCAACGCCTTCCGAAAAACTCTTGGCAAAAACAAACTTTTGTCATTGCTAATACGCAATCTCATTTGTAGTGGAGAATCACAACTTTGATCTCCATTTGTCCATCCAGTGCGGACTGAAGTACGTAATAGAACAAATTAGTAACCCTAAACACTGCCTGCCTTGCACTAAATTGACCAGTACAATATCGCCAGACAATATTTTAATAGCAATGACGAAAGTTTGTGTTTGCCAAGAGCTTTTCAGAAGGCGTTGCATAACACGAAATTTCAAATGCAAATTTCTCAAAAGTATGTTCTCAAAATTCGGTGATTTTTTTTTCGTGAGTAAAATAAAAGGTCTTTTATAACATGCAATAATTCGTTATTGCTCAAAATGTACAACTTAAATTTAAAAAATTAAAAACCAAAAATCAGTTTTTTTATAATTTCTCCAGATCTACAAAGCTTTAGAATGTGATGTATAGCTCAAAAAAAGGGAAATTGTGTGCTTTATTACTCACATATGTCAATTGTGTTACAACTTCAACAAAAGAACAGATAAACCAAAAATCGTATTTTAACTCACACAAAATAAGCCAAATTAAAAAAATTTTTTCTCGAAAGCTGTTGAAGATAGACCACGGGTTTCTTTTAAGAATTTACTTAGATTTACTCGTTAAATCATGTCATCTATTCACCAAAAAATGTCCGCTTCCAAGTGATTTTAAAAGACTGTGCGGAACCTACAAATGCTTATGCTTATAATATAGCAACTTCTTCATGATAGGCTTTTATTTCTACTGTATACTTAACCAACTAACATGAAAAAAAATGTAAAAGTTTCTCAGACAGTCTTCTTTAATCTCAGCAAATTCAATTTTATAAGTTACTTATATTTAGCAGAGATTAGATTTGCCGGTACTTACATAACGGCTGTTGATAGCTTATCGGTTGTTGCGGAGGCGATGCTTATTGCTTACGGCTTCGGTAATTCCAACATCTCGAAGCCCTTGCCGAAAACGCAAACCTTGATGACATTGCTGAAAATAAATAGGAAGTTCACGAAAATGTATCTCAAGTAATAGTATTTTTTTATCACAGTTTCAAGTCAAATCATATTTTATGTGATAATGAGATGAATTTTATTCTTGACTAACTTACCCGGTGTCTGAAAGAACTTCTAGTCCTTGAATGTCGGCAATATCGCTGAAGATTTGAGACAGAAATTCGCACACTATCGCCTGCTTTTCCACGCGCCACCGCGCCAACGTTATTCTCTGGTCTATAGAAGTCGACAACAGCAGATCACCCACGAATCGCACTCCAGTGACTTGGGAGCAATGGAACTGGTCTGTGGACCATGTACGCTTCACACAAGCAGCGTAAACATTTTTGTTCGGGAATTCTAGTAAGGTTAAATGTATAGCATTATCATCTCCCCCTGTCGCAAAAAGCAACTTTTCATAATATACGCGTGTGTCAATGCTGTTTATTCCACATTTATTAGTCGTCGTCGTGAAAAACGGACTAAGGCCATCCCATGATTCAATATTGCTGACATCCCACAGGGAAACTTCCCCTCTCGTGGTGCACGTTATTAAAATATTTTTATTTAAAATCTTTATACAAGTCGTCTTCAAAATGCACGTTTGGTGATGCTTCAATTCAGCGACAGGCTCGAAAGTTGCATTATCACATTTGTTAACAAATACAAATACTCTGAGATAAGCGTCAGAGCAGCCTGCAAATACGAGAAAGTTGTCATCCTCTTGTTTCAGTAGGTCAACATCCATGATTCTTGTTTCTGGATCGAAATCTATTGTGTTGTTTTTCCAAGACTGATTACACTTCCTGTCTTTATCTGTACCCTTGATTAGGTAGTTAGTTAGCTCTTGCGCCGCTACTTTAAGTCGTTTATGGCCTCTTGAGACGTATATTGCTTGGATACGCATCTGCGCTCTTCCACCGCCAGACACGACAAGTATGCTACCCTCCAAATCAAGTATCTTTAAAGCCCTTATGTTTGATAGATGCTTAAAAACAACCTCGTCACAGATTTCCATATCTGAATTAATAGAAGACACCCTTAACGTAGTATCTTCCCCGCCAGTAACGTAATAAGCAATAGTTGTGTCCAATTCATTTTTAAAACTCTTTAGGCAATTGATTTCCTTCGAATGTGAGCTGTTTATGACGTGTTTAGACACTACCTTGCTCAGTTGGAAGGTATGGCTGCAAATTGCGTTATTTTTAGCATATACCAACTTGATGAAATCATCAGTTTTCTTGCCAGATAAGATGACGTTTCGGACGACGTCCCAAGTCCTGTGCCCACCACCGCAAGGTATCGCTATCAGTTTTAGATTGCTTTGAACATTATAAACGACAAATTCTCTTTCTTTAAATCCACAAATTATATTTTCATCTTTATCAATAAATCTTTCAACCCATTGAAATGCCACATCTTTACTACTCTTAAACTTTGCAACAGAATCGTCGTCTTTACTTAATGAGAAATCTATTGCGAAATATCGAATGGTTCCATCTCTGCCAGTGGTAATAAATTCATTTGGTTTGACTGTTATTGAAGTAGGCCCATATATACCATGGACTTTTTTGAATGTTTGAACCGGAATTTTTCGTTCGTCAATGTAAACATGTACATTGCCACATCTATCACCAACTACCATGATTTTGTTTTGACTATTCAAAGCAGCTGCTGTGACCCTTCTGTCTTTAGAATTAGGCAAAAAGGCAAGCTTGTGGATCTTTAGTGCAGGTTCTACTGTCTGTGTCTGTGTCAAGACTGTCATAAGACCTTCTTCGCCACACAAAATTATATGCCTGTTCCCTGCCCAATGCATAGTAAGAGTAGGACCTACTTTTATATTGCATTGAATTATTTTTTTTAAACAATCATGTTTACAATCTTCTGCAAAAATGTCTATTTTGCCTGACATGTCTCCTACTGCAAAAAGTTGCTTGCAGCTCGATGCACTGAGAAATCTGAGAGTAGAATAAATGTTTACTATATGTGTTTCAGTAGTCATAGCCTTTGTTTTGTAATAGTATATTACCCCATCAGAGTCATCTAAAATTACAAGATTATTTCTGGCTGTTATAGCAATTTTTTTTGGTACAATTTCTTTTTGAGTGTTTAAATGTATTGTTGTTTGCTGACCTTCCTCTAAAGCCATAGTCAAAGGATGCATAATGACTGCCCCATCACCACCACCAGTAAATAAATGACTGGAATCACCATCTACAGACCAAATGGGGCAGTTTTTGTGTGATTCGTTTTTCTTGAGCAAGTTTCCTTTGTGGTTCCAAAAACATATAGTTGAGTCCTCCCCAACAGATACAATCAGATCTTCCGTGATGTAACTTCTCATTACTCGAGCTGTGTGGCCATACACTTCGTGGCTACACACAATGTTTACATTCGTCCAGTATTCGGTTGTGTTCCATGGCAATAGTAATGTGTAATCGGTTCGTATTAATTGCCAAATTCTAACTGATCTGTCATCTGAAGTTGTAACCATCACAGAATTTTCTGGATCACATGATATTGAGAATATTACTCCCTGAAAAAGAAATTAATAGAGCAATGTAAAAAAAATATATTACTACCTTAATACAACTTTGTATAAGGGCAAATATAATGCAATTTTTTCATATTTAAACATTTGTTAATACATTCAATGCAAAAATTCACATTGCATAAAATATGCTACAAATCATGAACATAATTATCGAGTTTATTTATATGAGAACAATACATACCCTATGTCCCTTCAAAATGTGTAAAGGCTTTTCATTTTGAGGGGTATGAATGATAACCTCCGAATATACGGTTCCAGCGAACACCACCAAGCCATCTTGTAAAGGCAGCAACAGGCCACTGTACAGAATCGAGTTGTCTGTGCTCAAGTGCTGGCTCAACATGCTTTCGGTGGTTACATTCCATATCTGAAAATATAATAAAATAAACTCATTTGCAAATATAGCAATTAGAGAAAGTGAAAAACTTTTCTCAACAAAATCACTTACAGTCACCAACAGGCAGGGTTTGTCTCTTGAACAGTAGCATGAAATGTTCAAATTTAAAAAGAATATAATACTATGTCTATCAGACAAAAATTTTAATATTTCGTTTTATTTATATCAGATGGCAACTTAATTAGCTTTAAACAGTTCCTGTGCTCCCAGTTCTTGGGGCTCAACTGGGAGCATTGGGACTGATGTTTAAGAACAAAAATTTTCTAAAACAGAAACTACATACCTGAATTGTGTTGTGAGCAGTCAATAATGCTACTGAATCAGCATCCACCCATACAGCTGAATGCAACCAGTCGTCACAAGTAGGTGGCATAAACAAACGTTCAACATTTGTACAGTCTTCGTTAAATTTGATAACTGTATACTGTTTCCCACCAAAAACAAGAACTTTACTGCTGTTTTCCAAAGGCACTAATCCATAAATTTTTTGTCCCTCAAGGCATTTAATTCGTGTCAATAATTTAAAGGATTCCTTTTCGAACACGCTGATTGAACTACCGATACCTGAAACGAATTCTTTTTAGAGATATTCCTTCAATCATGGATGAGAGAAGTAAGAAATTTATGGTACCTGATAATATGAGGTTTCGGTACGATTTCACTGCTGTGACATCGGTATGGATAAATTGCGACATTTCGTACAATCGTGTGTAATTTTTTTTGATTAATTTCTCTCGGTTTTTATTTTAAAAAATTAAACAAAACTCAATATTTTGCACACATGTTCGGCAAAAATACATACATGTCATTGTCATGATGAACTGTCATGTCTGTCAACTACTGTCAAGACGACACTACCATTTTTAATAGAGCGAATACATAGACACATATGCAGCTTTTACTTTTAGTTAGTTATACTAGCTTTGGTCGCCCGCTACGCGGGCTACAAAAGCTAGATCTGCGATGCTGGCCGCTCCGGGCTTCGCCCTACGCGGCGCTCGGCCTGCGGCCTCGCATTCGGAGCTCGGCCTTCGGCCTCGCAAAAATTACAGGGGGTGTTTATTGTCTGTCGCGGTGCTCTTGTGCTTTTTTGACGCAACACAAGTTTAACTGTGGCAACTCTCGGGATTTGAACCATCGCTCGGCCTTCGGCCTCGCCTTTCTGTCTGTCACTGGGCTCTAGTCCTTTTTTGACGCATTAAAAATAAATCTATGGCGACTCACAGGCTTCAAACTATCGCTCGGCCTTCGGCCTCGCCTTTTTCTACGTTAGCTAAGCACCCCTGCATACAATTTGTATGGAGAATTTAGTCCCTTTAGGAAAACGGGTGAAAGCTTGGCGGCCATCTTGGATTTCCAAAATTTTGCATTTTTCCCTTAATCTGGACCATTTTCCGCGCCGAACCCCATTTTTACTTTTTTTCTAACTTCACCCAATCCCGTAAAACAATTCCTTAAAACCACCCATGTCCCAAAATTTTGAGTTTCCGTAACTCCCAGTGTTGCCAGGTCATCGAGCTAAAAATGGTCAAATGTCATTATTTTGACCTATTTGCAGGAAGCGTCATCCAAATTTCTGACCGAAAGTCGTTATTTCCATTTTTTACATTTTTGGACCAAAACTCTCAAAGTATGGCAACACTGGAAATTTTTGTTTTCCCAAACGATACTCCTTGACAAACTACGAAATCGCCCCATACAACTCGACTTTCCCAAATGTTGCCAACTGCCCGAAAAATGCATTTGAAAAATCAGAAATCTGAAACTTTTTACAAAATGGCCGCTCACTCGGTCGCCATCTTGATTTTCTGACATTTCGGATTTTTCCCATAGTCTGGGTCGTATAACCGACCAAACCCCATTTTTAGATTTTTTCTGCCATATCTCCTTCTGTCCGTCCTTAACTTTAAAGACACCCATGTCGAAAAAAATACTTTTCCCCGTAGCTCCCAGTGTTGCCAGGTGATCGAGACGAAAATGGTCAAATGTCATTTGCACGACTCCTTTGCAGGAGGCGTCATCCAAATTTTTGACCGGAAGTCGTTATTTCTACTTTCGACATTTTTGGACCAAATCTCCCAAAGTGTGGCAACACTGGAGAAATTTCTTAACCCAAGCGAAACCTCTCGATAAGACACACAACCGCCTCATACAAGTCGACTTTCCAAAATGTTGCCATGCACTCGAAAAATGAATTCCAAAATTTCGAAATTTTCAACTTTTCACAAAATGGCCGCCCATGCCGCCGCCATCTTGATTTTCTGACATTTCGGATTTTTCCCATAATCTGGGTCGTATATGCGACCAAACGTCATTTTTATTTTTTTTCTGCCATAATTCTTTCTGTCTGTCACTAACTTTAAAGACACCCATGTCGCAAAAAAAACTTTTCCCCATAACTTTCAGTGTTGCCAGACTTTTTTCATAAAAATGGTGAAATGTCATTCGGGTTCCCAAATGTCACCAGACTGCATTCCAAGTTTATGGAATTTTTGGAAATTTCCATTTTCTACTATCCGGGGCCGTGGTGGAAAATTTTCTTCCAAAATGGTAGATTTTTCCGATTCATGGCAACACTCGAATAACAGACCAACAATCGCCCGGAACATTGTACCCCACTCCGGTGTCGCCATCTGCCGGAAAATAGCTACCAAAGTTTGGGAATTTTTTGATCGCAACAAAATGGCCGACGGCTCAGCCGCCATCTTGTTTTTTGATAATCTGTGAATAAGACTCTAAAGAAGACTATACATGTCACAAATACCCAAAAGAAATTTTCAAAAACAATTGCGCATTTCGGAATGACACCTCTCCAAACACACCCCTGAAATCGCATTTTCAATCCAAGATGGCGGCGCGGCCATTTTGTTTTTCCGTTTTTTTCTCACATTTTTGAACACACTCTGGCAACCCTAATAAACTCCCAAAAAGGAAAAAATTCAGGATGAAAAACAAAAAAGTTGGAGTTTCAAAAAAAGCCGCCATTTTGTTTTTTGGTTCAAAAAATGTAGTAAAGCTGTCAGTCAAAAAATCTAGTTAAAAACAAACACTAACAATTTTACCCCTCTCCCCTCTAAATACCCCAAAAATACCCCTGATCAGTCAGTGAGTGAGTCAGTGGTAATCGAGCTTTATATAATATAGATAGATAACATACACATACATATTAATAATTATTATATAAATTCAAAAATGAATGAAAAATGAAATAATGTATTGGTACATATGCACGAAGTAATAATTTAATAAGTAACGAAGGCTGGCAAATCTCAAGTTCTCGACTTATAGTATTAGTGCGGTGACATCATCTGATTTATCGATGATTACAATCAGAAAATAAACAATGTATTTTAAGAGAAAAATAATATTTATTTAATTAAATAACAAATCGTATTTATATTTTCAAAAAATACAATTAAAATTAATCACTTTGGTGCTGGTTTAATGGGTAATGTTCACCGTATTTTTTCAGATGATCTTCCATTTGCTTCATTTGTTTCCTGTAACAAGATCATTATTAAGCAAAATAGTAAAAATAATATTAATGATCTATTAGATGATAATAAATAATTGACATGAAATAGGGTCATATAAAGAAGACTATACTTTTGGAGACTTAAATAAAATAAAGTGAATTCCAACTAATCAAAAGATTACACCTATTTAAAAAAATCTTTTATTCTTTATACCAACGAATAACGATAGTTAGAGATTAATGAGGTAATACTGACTGTATCCTTGGCGGCATCTCGCAGTAGACGTCCTCCAGCATCTCCCGCCAGTGCGGCAGCTTCTTTTTCTCTGCTTCTTGCATCGTCTTCACTACCACGTTCCTGGCCTCCTTCTGTTGCGCGTTGTCAGACTCCACATCCCAAAGTCCTGAGGAGAATAATAAGTTACAATATACAAGACGCACAACCTGGTCGTTTTGGTGATATAAATAACCTCGTTGTTGATTAACGCTTGCAGGTGATGTATTATGCAGTTTACCTTTTCTTTCTAAGTACAATTTGAACTTTTGTATAGGATTTTGATCTTTATTCCAGTTTTCTATTTCTTCAACAGATCTGTAAGCTGTGCTGTCGTCTGATGTAGAATGATGCCCAACTCTGAAAGAAGAATACAATTTATTTAATTCATTTGCTATTAAAACCACCTAATCGATCATTCAAAGTATGTTTTAAGTACGTTTTTTTCTGTTTTGTATGTTTTTTTAACTATAATTATAGTAATCGCAAGACAAATTTAAGTTAGCGTAGAGTTCAGAATCGTTTGGCTGGCTGCAATGGAAGCAGAACTATCCCTCAATTTCTGAGCTTGATGCAGTGTAAAATTTTGAGTTTAGAAATCAGTTAAGAATTTGAAAGTTATTAAAAACAGTAACCTGTATGACATAGCTTCGATAAGTACGGGCTTATTTTCCTTGAGGGCTAGCTCCCTTGCTTTAGCAACAGCGTTGTAGACAGCCAATGTGTCAGTTCCATCCACTCGCAGCGTGTTTATGCCCAGCGCTGGGCCTCGCGCCGCGATACCATCCCCACGGTACTGCTCGCGGGATGGCGTCGATATTGCATAACCGTTGTTTCTGCTGAAATTTGAAAAAGAAGAAAATCATTTCATAACGTAATAATATTATTAAGAATCATTATAATTCAGGTAGGTATTTACCACAAGAGAATTACAGGGCAGTCCAAGGTCGCAGCGAAGTTGAACGCTGCGTGTGCATCGCCCTCGGATGCGGCGCCCTCGCCGAAGTAGCAGATGACGCAGCGGTCGTTGTTGGGCATGCGCTTGAAGGCGTACGCAGCGCCCACCGCTTGCGGCATTTGAGTGGCTGGAAACGATCAGGACTACAATTAACTTGTATCAATATTAATAAAGTTTAATTGGCTTGACTAGACTTAGAGAATCAAATAAAGATCACAAGAGTTGCATTATTGCCCTTTCATCTGAGGTAAGTTCTTATGCATACGATATTTGTTTTTTGTTTAGGAACTTAAACTCTTCTTGATAGATCAAGAACTTCGCGCTCTATTAAAAAATAGAGAAAGATTTGGAGGAACTATCAGCAAAAAATCTTACCTAAAGGACTGGATATGGTGACAATGTTATGAGGCTTGCTCATGTAATGCACCGGCATCTGTCTCCCCAAGCCGGCGTCTTCGCAGTTCCCGAAGCACTGGTTGACGAGGTCAGTGACAGTAAGGCCTCGGTACAACAACACTCCCAACTCGCGGTATTGTGCGAAGATCAGGTCCTGTGGGGCAAGCGCCGCAGCACTGCCCAAGTGAATACTTTCTTCGCCGTAGTTGGTCATGTAGAAGGAAATGCGGCCTTGCCTGGAACATTATTGGGATACAGTTTTAGAAAATTCCTGACAGCAAAATTTCATTTAGCAAACTCCAAAAAAAAAATAGAGTTTATTAATCATTATTGTGTTTAACCAGCGGAAAACGAGCAAGTGTTAATATCTTTTACGTTTAATCTTATTGCAATATGTTTGAGAATCTCCTCTTTTTTTGAAGACGGTTAAAAGTGAATTAAATAACTTTTTAAGTAAGAACGTCGATTGAGTTCCGGTGAGTATCTAAGTATGGCCATAGCCATATTGTAGGAGCTAAAACGGAAGGTGGTTATAATAACTAAGTAAATCCACGTGAGTCCTTTTCATCCTATCCTACTTCCTACTAATCCTACTAATATTATAAATGCGAAAGTTTGTATGTCTGGATGTTTGTTACTCTTTCACGCAAAAAGTACTGAACGGATTTTGTTGAAACTTTACAGTATTATTGTTTGAAACCCAGATTAACATATAGGCTATAATTTATGCCGATCTGTGACACTAAATTTAACGTGGGTGAAGCCGCGGGCAAAAGTTAATTGTTTATAAAGTTATTACTACTACATACCTTTGAGACTCGTACAATATTTTGTCCATTTGATTCATCTGTACCATAGTTTTATACATTTTGACGAGGGTCTCATTATCGATATTCGGCTCTTCTCTACTATCGACAACCTCGCCATTGTTATCAAGCACTCGATAAATGGGGATGGGATCATAGCTGTTCTCGTTCAAGAATTTTATTTCATTTACGAAGGGGGCCTTTGCTCCGGGAAAATCTCCGGTTTTTCCATTCTGAACAACTTCAGGCCTTGTGTGCGTTGATAAAAGCTGAAATTAATAGCAAGCTCATTGAAAAAAAAACCCGTGTTCATTCATTTGTGCCTCCTTTACATTGAATATCGATAAGTATACAGGGTGGAAATGTTAAGTGATCTCACTCGATTATTTCTAAACTATACAAGATATCGAAAAACTGATTACTGATTCTGAAAGTGCTTCACAAGCTCTTTCAAACGGTACCAATAATTGGTTACATAATAAACTGTATCTATCCGAAAATTAAATGTTTTCAGCCTCCATACTAAATGTATGCCAGTCAAACAAAATTAGAAGTATTTTTTTTTTATTAAACAATAAACACTTAAAATGAACTCGTAAATTGCATTCTTATTTACAATTATTCATGGAAAACATTGGTTTTAGGCTTTACTTGCTATAATATTATCAAGACATGAATGACTGTGGCTGTACTAAATGTATGGAAGCTGGAAATATTGAATTTTAGGATGGAGCCAGTTAATTTTGTAACCTATTATTGGTATCGTTGGATAGAGCTCGTGAAGCACTTTCAGGATCAATAACCAGTTTTCGAATATCTTGTATAGTTTTTAATATTATGTGGTTTTACTAAATGTATGGAAGCTGAAAACAATTAATTTTCGGATAGATCCAGTTAATTCTGTAACCTATTATTGGTACCGTTGGATAGAGCTCGTGAAGCACTTTCAGGATCAGTAACCAGTTTTTCGATATCTTGTACAGTTTAGAAATAATCGAATGAGATCACTTATCGTTTCCACCCTGTATGCTCATGACTTGATCACATCACTCATGGGCAAGGTAAACCTGTTTCGAAAGAAAGAAAGAAAAAACATTTATTTGGTTTCAGTTGTTTTAGCTTTCTTTCTTTGAACGTAGCTTAGGTAAGTATTCAGGTAATTAAGTAGTTGTTATTCATTAAGAATGACGGAGTTATCGTACGAGACTCGTCGTCATGTCCTCATGACGTAGTTAAATAATAGATAATGATAACACTGATTTCAGTAAAATTTAAATTAGTGTTTTTTGCCAAATAAGTAGGAACGCTAACTAAATCATCTTTATTAACATTAAAGAATACAAAAATATAAAATAATTATTAATTAAGTAAGTTAGCTACGTAAGTGATTAATTAATTATGTAAACAATACATACCCTAACAGCTTGTCGCAGGCTATTTAACCGAAACACACACGCACTGCTCTTGAGCGCCATTTTAACACTGACGTAAAGAAGTAATCTTGGATATCACTGGGGTTTTGTATGTTGTTACTATTCACATTAGCAAGTATGATAAGGCGCGGTGAACGCAGGTCACACTATCAACCCGGCCTTCGTTTCGTCAGTTTGAAGAATTTTAAGTTTGGATCATTTCTATTCTAGTGAGAACCGTTAACTTTTGTCGCTATTTCTAAATAAATACTATGTCCCCAGAAAGTAATGTGTTTACCATCATAATTTAAGTTGGGTAAGCAAAATAGGTAAATAAAATACGAAAATTTTTGGTATCTGCTGTTTTTATTAACTTTATAATCATAAGTGTTAGAATTCTTATGTTTCTTCTCTACATTAAGTGTCTCTTTAAATAAGTAGGTATTAATTAACGATGCTCAAGAACACGAAAGATAAGACCCCACCGCCAAAACTTGGGATTGTGTTTGCGATAATATTATGATAACAATATTGAATCACAGCTTACATTTACAAAACAATTTGTGATAAGATAACGGTTGTAAGGATTGGAAACCCTGGAAACAAAACGCAAGATTTAATACGTTACCAATTCGGAACGGCACAATTTAGGCGGTCTTATTGCTAGAAAGCGATCTCTTGCAGACGAGCCGGGGTTTTTAGTTCAAATTTATAATTTATATCATTACTTAAAATATTACTGATATTTCTATTTGTTGTTATTGTTATACTATTAGTTTTATTAACTGTTTTTGGTTTTTGGATCTACTTATTCATTACAATAAAAATGCCCGCAAAAGTAACGGTTTATTACGGTAAGTAATTTTAAAGTGGTGGTAAAACGGGGTGAGTCTCAACTTTATTTACAATAAACAGAATTTTTTTTTAAAACTAAGGCAAATTTAACTCCAAACAAAATAAAAATATAAACTTATTTTACTCAAAAATAAAAGTGTGTCCGTGAGGCAAAGAGGCGAGAATGCTGGCTGCATTTCCTCGCTGAATGGCAATAAGTACTAAGCCTTTGTGCAAGGAAAGAGCCAGCATTTAGATTTTCCGAAATTTTAATTAATTTAGGGGAAATGGTCCGAAACAGTAATTTAGCATTCGGTCCCCAAGGTCCGAAGGTCTCGACACCAAAAGGCGCAAATATGTAGTCATTAGAAAGTGACTCATATTTGCGCCGTTTGGCTAACTCAGCCGACTCTGCTGCAGCCCCAGCTTTAGCAACTGATTCCCTGAGGTGGGAAGGGGCTAAAGTATCGACACATGTAGCGTCCCAAACTAAAGCCCGTCCCCGTTCCCAGGGAACCAGAGTGAGACCATCAGGTCTCTTGCCATCATCACGGACCAATCCACGTGGTTCTAACGTGGAAGGAACGTTGATGCTGGCAAGGGCTCTCCTGATGGCGTCGTTGAGAGCAGCGTGTCGGGCGAGACGACCAGCACTTTGCTGGCAACATAGACCGTGGTGACCGAATTGGTCCACCTCTTTGCCACAGGGACACGTGTGGGGTTTTGAACAACACAGATTGGTGCTCCGAGGCGTAAGCCCACACACACCCGGAAAGAAAGAAACGGGGTTGTATATTTATTTTTTAAAATACCACTGAATCACAAAAATAGGGTCGTGGTATTTTTCGAGTAAAATTTTTAGCTCGTTCGATTGTTTTTTGTTCAGAGTATGACAACATTATATATTTTTTAGATTGGCAACATCGTATTCTGATTTGACATTTAGTAATGTTGTGAAAGAAAATGGTGTTTTTCACTTTCACCTTTGTTGCATAGTGCAATAAGGCTCAAACTACTGTGATAGTAGTTTGAACACAGTATATAATTAAGTTGTCAATTTGGCGTTTTTGGCATTTGTGTTGTGTTCAGTGATTATTTTGTGGTGGCACAGGTTAATGTGACGAATTATTGATAATTTTATTTTAATTTAGCTTCAAAATGCCTTATTGGTATTATGATAAAAAAGATTTGCAAAATACGCCGTCTTTTCGCGATGGGATCAGTAACGAAACGGAAAATAGGTATCGGAAAGAAGGTGCGCGGTTTATCATCGACACTGGCTCGAAAATGGACTTAGGTTATAATACAGTGGCGACTGGTGTTGTTTATTTTCATCGTTTTTACATGTTCCACTCGTTCAGAACTTTTCCGAGGTACATAACCGCGTGTTGTTGTTTATTCCTGGCGGGTAAAGTGGAAGAGACGCCGAAGAAGTGTAAAGATATAATAAAAGTGGCCAAATCTTTGCTCACGGAAGAGAAGTTCGGGTCTTTCGGCGAGGACCCGAAGGAGGAGGTGATGACGCTGGAGCGCATCCTGCTGCAGACGATCAAGTTCGACCTGCAGGTGGAGCACCCGTACGGCTACCTTCTGAAGTACGCCAAGTGCCTGAAGGGCGACAAGGCCAAGCTACAGAAGATGGTGCAGATGGCCTGGACCTTTGTCAATGACAGGTAAGTTTATTATTTGAGTATTTCTCAAAAAAAATGTACATTTTGAAAAAAAAAAGTGTGCTTTGAAACAGTTCAAAAGTTCTATATTTATAAATCATCACACAAAAAAAACACACACAATTTTGAAGGATGAATATTAATCTTTAAGATAACGAAGAATTATAGCTATAATCCTACTTATTACCAAATATTTAGATATTTTAAAAATAGTCCTTTTTTACCTTTCATACAATAACCTGTTTGCCACCCTATCTCATTTTGTCTAATATTTCGTTACGTTTTTTACGAATTTCGTTACGTTACGAAAAAGTACAACATAATGCTGAGTGTATACTGTTATTACCTGACTAAGCATAGTAATATTCACTACTTAATTTATTTAAAAAAATATAGAGCGTTAATAACAAAAGGATTGGATACTATCTGCTTTACAGAAGTGCTACCAGCAAAAAATTATCAAATCATTTAGATTACGTTTTTATGTGATTACTTCTTTTGTTTTTTTAGGAATGCCGCCAAAAACCAATGCCGAAAGGCAAAAAGCTTACAGAGAACGACTCAAAATGGATAAACATGATGGAACAAAAATAATTTTATTAAAATAGTATGAATGATTACTCCCTTATTTTATTTCTAACCCCTTAATATTACCCCGTATTTGGGTGCATACTTACAAATATTTCGAATTGAATAAATGAAGAGCATTCACAATATTTCGCCAATGTATAACAAGCCTTATGGCCTTACTATTTCGTTACTACCGTTTCGTTACATACATTTTTTTTTAGAAATACTCATTTAACTCCATGCTCAAACTGTAAACTAATGCCTGTATTCACAAACGATGCTTGCAAATCAATTGCACAACGTTGAATAGAGCTCTGATTGGTTCGTGTATTAACCTGTGCGTTCACGCGCACTGTGAGACCTCATAGTAATGTTTGTGAATATGGACTTTAATATTGGGAGCTACTAATAGTAGTTTTTTAGGTAATAAAGTTAAATTTGCATGCTCCTTGTTTAGTTATCTACATTATCATTCTGTACATTGTTATAGTTCCTTTTCACAAAATGCTCAATTTCATTTGTAGATTTTGCATACTTTTTTTGGAAAATCTTTAAAACAGCAGCAGATACCTATCTTCTATCATTAGGTACATAAATGATTTGTTTATGTCTGTTGCTTAGTTTGAGAATGATTTCCAACGTGGGTACACCCATGGCTGTAGAATAATTTATTTTCTCACAGTTGTGTTAATGTCATTTGTGTGTTTACCCACTCTAAATTGTATATTTTCAGTTTATGTACCACATTATGCCTGCAATGGGAACCAGAAGTCATTGCTGTGGCGCTTATGTTCCTCGCAGGAAAGCTCAGCAAGTTTGAAGTGGTGGACTGGAATGGACGGACACCCAAGCATAACGCGTGGTGGGACATGTTCGTTGAAGATATTACTATGGAACTTTTAGAAGATATTTGCCACCAGGTTAGTATTGTTGATAATTTTACTGTACTACAATACTTTACATTTTTTAACTATGGAGAAACTTGTATAGTTTCTAAAAATTTCAATTCTTCAATGAGACGATCCTGTTGAGTTCAGGTATAACGCTTAACTTAATCGGTGCGTTAGGGATGGGATCGGCACAGATGGGTGTTTTTGGGACGTCGTCAACGAGACTTCAAATATGCTCCAGATCTGTCACATCACAATAATTATGTCAATGTCACACCTCTTGTAGGAGCGGCACAAGAGGTGTGACATTGACATAATTATTGTGATACCTCAGAGCAGACACTGAGTTAAGTGTTATTAAAACTTTATGTGGTATAATTTGAGATGGAGTAATAGGTGCCAGTTGGATTTATCTATAACTATCGGCCGCCCGCGACTTCGTACGCGTGGATCCCATATTACCCCCTTAGGAGTTGAATTTTGCAAAATCCCATCTTAGTGAGCACCTAAGTATGTTCTAAAAGGAACCCCCATGCAAAATTTGAGACTCCTAGCACTTGTAATTTCTGAGATTTGATGAGTGAGTGAGTCAGTCACTCAATAGGCTAGATGACAAAATTTCAATTATTTGTCCGTCAGACAGATAATTCGAAAATATTAGACTCATATTTTTTATTTTCTTTCATAATTAAATAATAACAGTGCTACATCGAGTTGAAATATCGCGATACGTCACGCTTGAGTAGAATTTTTACTCAAAAGTGACGTCACGCGATATTTAAACTCAATATAATACTGTAATTATTGGATTATGGAAAAAATTAAAAAATATGAGTCTAATATTTTCTAATTATCTGTCTGACGGTTCGATTTAATACCCAGTCATCATCCCTATTAGTGACCTTTCGCTTTCATAGATATAAGATAGATTTGGGTACTTATTTATTATTGAGCTACCTTATACCTTCTATATTTTATGTTTTTAATGAATTGCAGGTGCTAGACTTGTACTCCCTGCAAGCGCATCCCGCGGGCGCGGAGTCCCCGCCGGCGCCGGCGCCGCAGGCGCCAAAAAACGACAAGAAACCGCCCTGCGGTACTCCGCCAGCTTCCGCATCTCCTGTCGCCGTTGCTAAGCCGCCGGTCACGCCCATCAAGAATGGGGAACCCAAGGTTGGTCACTTTATTTTAATTTATTTTCATTTGAATATATACATTCACTAAAGTCCGGTCGCCGAGCACGTAGAATTTCGTCCAATGGCCCTAAGCTACCCATCCTTATCGCTCGCGCGTAATTATATTGCTGTCGAGCTCGTACACTCATTGCGGCCGCCCGTCGCACAGTCGCGACAGAAATACAGGGTGGAATTTTGTAATGCCACCTGGAGGGAAAGTACTCTAAATACTGTAGATAGAAAATTTTATTCAAAGAAAACATTCCTTTATTTTTTTAAAGAATTGGAACTGCATTCAAAGATGTAGAAACTTGGGTTCATGGGACGAAATTCTACGTGCTCGGCGACCGGATTTTACTGAATATGTGGCCTGCATCTATTGTAGTTTTAAAAGGCTCTTTGGAGACTGTTATTGGCATTATACGAAATAGCATTTATTTGTCTGTGACTAGATTTGCTTTTAAAAACTAACCAAGCTATGGCTCCACTCAAATGGGTTATCAAACAGCTACCGGTGGTGCGGGCGATTTGATTAGAAGAGGCAACATGTTACCGCTAGCGGACTGGCGGCCATTCGATACGAATTTATTCATTGACCCTCTTCGTTTGCAAGCGAAGGATTTCTCTCGTCAGCCACCGGTGGCTGTGGATGTTCGCCCCTTTACGTGGAGGCTATGCCTATTTACTAACATTTTGTTTTAAATAAGGCCTCTTTCACATTAGGGCGCGAGAAGCGCGACAGCAGCGCAGCAGCGGCGTTTTTATAATGTGAAAGCAGGCATCCACTGTCACGTAGTATGAAATTATCGGCAGTGCGTCTGTCGCGCGTTTGTCGCGCAGCTAAAGTCGCTAAAATGTGAAAGCGTTCTAATTATGCTCTTAGGACAGGCCATTTTTAATAGGATAATATATTGTTTTTATTTTATTTTTATTAATTTATACCCAATGGTTTTGTGCCAGGTCTCACAAATCTATTTGCAGCCGGAGCCGAAGCCGGAGCCGCGCTACGCGTTCCCGGCGTTCCCCGCGCCGCCGCCGCCGCCCGCCGCCTTCGCCGGGCCGCCGCCGGGTGAGCCATGTACCTATCGTTCTGTTTTCTTTTTATTTTACCAGAGTAAATACAAATGAGTAGGTGATCTTCATAGAAACGCACCGAACGCGGTTTGTATGTGAGCGCGCCAATACGTATGCGGCGCGCACGCACACACTGACATAATTTAGCGTGGATTAGCGGGGTGCAGGTGTTGCGCCGAATTTTGTCAGCGCTCGGTGCGTTTCTATGAAGATGACCTACTCATTTGTATTTACTCTGATTTTACTTTTCTCCATCCAGTTGGATGACCATCAATTTTTATGATTGATGCCCGTTTTCACCATCAATCCCTAATTATAAGTGACCCCTAATGTTGTTTAGGTCGCTTAAAAATTAGGGATTGATGGTAAAAACGAGCATTTGTTTTTGATTATTTATTTTTGTTTTTAATATTTTATTTTGTTACCCAGTGTTGGATATGAAATCTAATTTTAATATTTTGAGTAATTTGCTTTTATTTTGAATTATTTTGCTTAATAGTCGATTGGTGAGCAGTATGTTTGTAATCGCAGGGCAATAGTTTCTGAGTTAAGGACCGTATGTCCTGGCTCGAGCTAGCTCTCATCTATTCCCGTTTTTCACTAGAAGGGGCCAACGGGAAGGATTTTAGTAGCGTTGTCCCCCACTGGCGGATATCATAACTTTCTCGATATCTGCCAGTGACAATGGGCATAGATGAGACACTGGGAAGACGAATAGTGGGGGAAAATGGAACCATTGAAGGGCACACAGATAAAGGGAGTGAGCTGCCACACTGGCGGTTTGCAAGCTTTCAAAGCGGAGCGGCGACGCAGCGAACACGTCGCGGATGCGCAACGTTGCCGCCTCATATTCGCCTTTCGCCAGTGTGGCAAGGCCCTTATTGGTGGATATCAACACCAAAACAGTTCCGGTGTCCCCCATTATTCGTTTTCCCAGTGTCCGCCAGTAGGGCCTAATTAGATACAGTTAGATAGCGCTGTCCCCCACTGGCGGATATCAGTTTTTTTCCCGATATTCGCCGGTGGTGGACAAATTAATGGTGGGGGACACAAGGAGGATAAAGCCCCTCGCCGACGACGACTTTTGTAGCGATTCTGGCGCGCTTTAGGCCTGGTTTCGTTTATTTTTCAAACAGATTGTACAGCGCCCGCCCAGCAGCGGATAGTTCAAGAACTATTTTTAAAAATATATGAAGATTGTAGTTCTTAAAAGTTTCCACTTGGGGCGCTGTACAATCCGTTCATATAATTTTTAAACGGATTGTACAGCGCCCCTAGCGGAAACTTAAAGAACTAAAATCTTTAAAAAAATATGATGATTTTAGTTCTTAAGTTTCCGCTAGGGGCGCTGTACAATCCGTTCATATAATTTTTAAACGGATTGTACAGCGCCCCTAGCGGAAACTTCAAGAACTAAAATCTTTAAAAAAATATGATGGTTTTAGTTCAATCCGTCATACATTTAATTACTGGACAGGCTCTAATCCGACACGGTCGCGCGTTTGTATCGTTACAGTTGCGATGCTGTAGAGCGTTGCAAATGCGACTAACGCGCGTTAGTAGCGATGCGGTCGCTCTTTTATGAAACGCGCGACAGCATCACTATAAAAAGTCGCCGTGTGCGAGGAGGGGCCTAAATGTTACGAGTAAGGTTCTATACAAAGACCTTCCTTCCTAGAGTTGCCGCACACGAGCTTCACGCCACAGCCTCAAAACATTTTCGCGTGGCGCGCCACCGACGTCAACGTGGCTGTGGCGTGAAGCCTGTATGTAGCGACCTTAAGGACTTTGCCACACTTGGCGCCAGCGTGGCAGCTCACTAAGGCTTCTTATACACGGCCATAGGCTCATAGCCAACGTCAGTGTTTACGGCAGTTGTCGCCGCCGACAGGTGGAGTTAGCTGCAGTTGTAGCTTGTCGCATCTTGTACAAAGAGACAGCTACAACTGCAGCTCGGCCCCCTGTCGACGGCAGTCGTCGATGAGTCCACAGCTGCCGCCAAAAGGTGGCGACAGCTGCCGTTGCCACTGCCGTCGGCTAAGAGCCGCTCGTGTATAAGGGACGGAAGGTCTTAGTATAGGGGGATAATGGGAATACACAAGATACCGGAATAGGGACAAGGATAGGTCCGAAATAAGCATACGATAAGAAGCGATCTATATTTAGAGCGCTTTCACATTTTGGCGTTAGAAGCGCGACAGCGACGTTTTTATAATGTGAAGGCATGTATCCGCTGTCACATAGTATTAAATTTTCGGCAGCTAAAGCCTGGTCCGTGAGCACAGAATTTTGTCCAATGACCCCAAGCTACCCATCCTTATCGCTCGCGCGTAATTATGTTGCTGTCGCGCTCGCACACTCACTGCGGGCGCGCGTCGCACAGTCGCGACGGCAATATAATTACGCGCAAGCGATAAGGATGGGTAGCTTGGGGTCATTGGACAAAATTCTACGTGCTCACGGACCAGGCTTTAGTCGCGCTGCTAAATCGCCTAAATGTGAAAGCGCTCTTAGAGAGTAGCCTAACTGAGCCAGCGATTGTCTTGGTTGCGCAGGGCACGTGCCACCGCCCCGGCTGCCGCCGCCGCCGCGCCTGCCGCCGCTGGTGTACGGCGAGCCGGCGGGCGCGCGCTTCGGGCCTCGCGCGGTGCCGCCGCCGCCGGNCGTGCCGCCGCCCGGCTACTTCCCGGCGCGCGGGCCCCCGCCCCCCGGCCCGCCGCCCGGGCCCCCGCTGCGCCCCTACTACCCGCCGCCGTGAGGGCGGTTTCTTAATTAGGCTATTGTAATTGTAATTTTTTACAGAAATATATTGGTTAGACTACGGTATTTGATTGTATTATTTCCTATTTCCACCTTATCTACGTGATAAAAATACATCGATACGTTGGAACGTGAGACTGGCACCGAAACTATACAACTTCTAATCAAAACGAAACAGGAAATTGATATTAACATTTTTATTTTCAATACAAACATCACAAAGTTTGAGAAAATTATTGCTTTCATGAAATACATCTCTCTCTGTTATTATACTCGCATAATAAATGAGAACAAACATCTTCACAACAGAATAAATACATTTCAATACTGAATTTGATACATTAATGAATTCGAATATAATAAAAATCGTTCAGTAAATACCGTATAAATAAAATTATCATACAAAACAATATACAAAATTATAAAACCAGAGACAAAACGTAGTGCTTATAAAACTTTTGTGCTTAAAACGATTATAAAACGGAACAAATTACAAAACACACCCTAACAGTAATATAGTTGCCACGGGACTAGAAAATACGAACATTGACACATATGAACACATCCGAACGCACCCGAACAGAACTGTAAATCACACAATATACAAGACAACGTAAAAATTATCAAAAACTTGAGTTTTGTATAAGACACTTTATGAGGTTTTAATCTCTTTTCTCCAAAAAGCTTACGTTACATTCTTATTTTTATCTATTTGAAATGTGTGAGCAAATTCATTAGTTATTAGGCTTACCAGCACAAAACATCTACGAATACAATGAAATCCGCCTAATGATGGTTTAACTCCGACTTAAACTTTTATGGTGACATTTTGTTTAATTTAGTAGGTCTATACTTAATACTGTCGGGAGTGGACAGTGCATTATGGCTTGCCAATTGGCGTTAATGTAACGTAAGATTTTTGTGTTAATTTATTTAGGCACGATGACACCAGTGACAATATTCTCGTGGTAAGTCTCTACTAGAAAGAGAATGTTTGAAATAAAACGACATTGATTCGTCAACTTCAAAAAGAGTCTTTACATTGCTGAATTTAAATAATAATGCATTGACTGGTGTCATAATACCTATTAGAATATTTTAATAAATTACTAATGAGCTTTAAGACACCCGCATCGTAGCGGTCCTTGTCCACGCAAAAACTGGTCCACGGGCCTCAACTTAATGTAGATTCGTTAGGTTACAATACAAATAAATTATACAACATGTTTTATTATACAAATGTAGGTAGGTAGCCAGATAAGACCCACTTGTGCTTCACTTAGTTTTGAACATTAGTCAATTTAAAAACTATGGTCTATATTTACAATGGATTTGGGAACGGAAAACCTGAAGCTGGGAATTCAGACTCTGCTACTGTTCCGCAGAACTTCGACTTGGAAGTCGGCCCCGTAGAGGAACTAAGCACATTCAGTCGGCACCTCGAACTCGGAACTCGGCCTTCGGAACTCAGGCTCTAGAATACGGAACCTGAAACTCAGTTCTGGAACTCGGAACATTGGCCAGGAACCTTGGGTCACGGAACTCGGCCTCGGAGCTCGCACTGTGTTACTTCAGATCCGTCTGTTTAGTGCCGAGGAACCAGTCTCTGAACCTTGGAAGCTGAACAGATGTCTTGAATTCTTACAGCTCAGGAAGGCGGGATAGGTGGGTAAAGAAAATACATTTTCGATTTTTTTTCTTACCCTTTTCTATGAAGCTCTCTATTTAAAGGACGCTTGATACTTGATTCTGTTACTCAAATTATAACATCCTACATTTATATCATACATCATGCAGGTATAATGTTACATAACGAATCTCAGCTTTATAATTTTAGCATATTGATTCTTCTAAACTGGTCCAGAAAAATATATTCTTGAACGTTTCAAAAAGTTGCCGTTTGACCTAAAAACAGTTTTTGCGTGGACGAGATGTACAGATGGCATCACATTTTTGTTGCAAAATGGCTCCTAATACAACTAAAGCCACGGTGTTTCCCTTGACGTGCTGTCATCTGTACCTTCACTTCACCATAGAGCGAGAAATCTCTATGCACTCGCGTACCGTTTAGCGTAGACACGAGTAAAATTAGTAATACTTAATCTACGAAGGCACGTATAAAATGATATCAGATCGCGAATAATCTCCGATTTGTAAGGCACATGATTGAACTTATCAACTACATATAAGATTAAGAATATTATACCATTTATACAAATACACATTTTAGTTTAACACAGTAAAGGCACAAGTAAATTCATTTTATCTAATTAGTAATAATACTTTTAAAGTTCATTTATTGTAGTTGGTTTTCTTTTTTCATTTAATTACAAAGACATATTATACAAAACAACTAGACGAAAAGATGGAAGATTGGTCGTCAGTCAATAGGTGAAATCTCGATATTCTGAAACTTATAACGGTGGTAAAGTAAGTAATTATTGACGAATAAACTTATTTTATTACTTCATTTAGTAAGTTATTATAATTTATTTATTTCCGATCTTATTTGAGTACTCATAAATGATGAATATCACAATGTAAATAAATTCATCATCATGGTAATCTGAACAATATTTCACAGGGGTACAATTAATAAAGTATAATTATAAATATGTAATCAAGTATCTACAAAAACTCGTATCAAATTATAATAATCCTAGTGACTGATAAGAAAATGAGCATTTGTTTTATTTTACGTAAAAAGTGTTAAAATAAAACAGGATCATTATTCTAAAAACAGTTGAAAAATTTCTTATTTAACAATGCAATATTTTTATTCCTCGAATACAGTTTTAAAATTCGTTATTTTACCAAAGAGTCCACTTCTTAAAAACCTTTTATTTCTTTACTTCTTTACTCGTCTTGGGTTGCTGGCGTGAGCGAGCAAGACGAATATGTTATGTGAAGTGACTCGGGCTCGTTTCATTTTTCGTTTATTACTTGACAACTCTGAAGTTGTCAAAGTAACCTCGTATACATTATTTTATTTGGCTAGCGTGAGCGTGCACAACTAAATGCACCTTACCTACAAGGACGTAGGGTAATAGCTATATTACAGAATTTACGATTATAGCGACGTTTTTTCAATTCGAATATAGAGCCTTGAATACATGAGGGGATTAAATAAGAGTGGAAATTACCGTGGGATGTCCAAACCGAAAGATTTACTGAAAACTACGCGATGTCCCGCACAAGTGGGACTCTATTGTGAATCAAAAAGCGATCAAATCGCTTGCATGTCATTGAAGTTTTGTTACGTGAATTAGGTTACAGGACACTGTGCCCTATATCCAAGGCTATAAAGTTGGTATCAGCTCACCGCTCAGATGAGGCGGGACTGGTTAGAGTTGAATGGCGTTATAGACTGGTAGCTCAGGACACTTTATGCCATATATCCAAGGCTTTAAGGTTGACTATCCTAGAACAGTTTAGAGTTGAATGGCGTTACAGTCTGGTAGCTCAGGACATTGTGCCCTATATCCAAGGCTTAAGGTTGGTATCAGCTCACCGGTCAAATGAGCCGGGATTGGGTAGAGTTGAATGGCATTACAGACTGGTAGCTCAAGACACTTTATGCCATATATCCAAGGCTTTGACTACCCTAGAACAGTTTAGGATTTTGGCGATACAGACAGGTAAAGCCCGGTCCGTGAGCACGTCGAATTTTGCCCAATGACCCCAAGCTACCCTTATCGCTCGCACGTAATTATATTGCTGTCGCGACTGTGCGACGGGCGCCCGCAGTGAGTGTGCGAGCGCGACACCAACATAATTACGCGCGAGCGATAAGGATTCCAGCTTGGGGTCATCGGCCAAAATTCTACGTGTTCGGCGACCGGACTATAGCTAGGCACATTTTGTACCCTATATCCAAGACTTAAGGTTGGTATCAGCTTACCGCTCCGACGAGGCGGGTCAGATGAGGCGCGACTGGTTAGAATTGAATGGCGTTACAGACAGGTAGCTCAGGACATTGTGCCCTATATCCAAGGCTTAAGGTTGGTATCAGCTCACCACTAGAATGAGGTGGGTCAGCTGAGGCGCGACTGGTTAGAGTTGTATGGCGTTACAGACAGGTGACAGGCACATTTTGTGCCTTATATCCAAGGCTATAGAGTTGACTTCAGCTCACCGGTCAGATGAGGCGGGATTGGTTAAAGTTGAATGGCGTTACAGACTGGCAGCAGAGTAAATACAAATGAGTAGGTCATCTTCATAGAAACGCCCGAGCGTGGTCACACACTGACAAAATTTAGCGTTGATTAGCGGAAAGTTGCCCCAAATTTCGTCAGTGTGTCCGTGCGCGCCGCATACGTATTGGCGCGCTCACATACAAACCGCGTTCGGTGCGTTTCTATGAAGATGATCTACTCATTTGTATTTACTCTGCTGGTAGCTTAAGACATTGTGCCCTATATCCAAGACTTAAGGTTGGTATCAGCTCACCGCTCCGACGAGGCGGGTCAGATGAGGCGCGACTGGTTAGGAATGAATGGCGTTACAGACAGGTAGCTCAGGCTATTTTGTGCCCTATATCCAAGGCATAAGGTTGGTATCAGCTCACGGGTCAGATGAGGCGCGACTGGTTAGGATTGAATGGCGTTACAGACAGGTAGCTCAGGCTATTTTCTGCCCTATATCCAAGGCATAAGGTTGGTATCAGCTTACCGCTCCGACGAGGCGGGTCAGATGAGGCGGGTCAGACGAGGTGGGTCAGCTGAGGCGCGACTGGTTAGAGTTGTATGGCGTTACAGACAGGTGACAGGCACATTTTGTGCCTTATATCCAAGGCTATAGAGTTGACTTCAGCTCACCGCTCCGACGAGGCGGGTCAGACGAGCCGGGTCAGATGAGGCGCGACTGGCGCAGGTAGTGCAGCAGCAGACGCAGCAGCAGCTGGTACTGCGGCGCGCTGTCCACGAGGTTGGCGCGCTGCTGGTGAAGCATGCTGATGGTGCGCGGGATGTCCAACTCCTGGACAAAGATTTGTAGATTAATAGAGGAAAGAAGAGGGGAGGATTTAGTGTACACAGGCCTCCTACGCAGTGGACCGATGACCAGAGGTGAAATTGTGTAAAGCGATCGTATTCATTTGATAGTTCATAACGTACGCTATATTCTGTTAAACGCTTTGTTATACAGATTTTATTATACGTTATGAACTGTCAAATGAATACGATTGCTTTACACAATTGCACCTCTGGTGAAAGTTGTGTGATACGACAGCACTAGGACTGGTTGTTGTTCCGACATCTTAGCATTAAATTAAAAGGTCAACTCTTTTAAAAGAACAAATAAGAAAAATAAATTATTGAAAAAGTCATACTTGTATCAATAGATGTGAACTGAGTTTTGACAGCTTATTAAGTTAAAGAGTAGACATTTGACTGGTGCACTACGCCACGCAGCTCAGCACACCACCAGCGTGTTATTGTCTACAATGTGCAGCTATGCGACACACCACCAGCAGTTACCATCCCTCTCGCACAAAGTGAGATGCCAGCATCAGTGATGTTGACAGATAGTCCCGAAACTACGTAAACAGCGTTTCGGAGTAGCCCCCCGGACCTGACAGTTGATGTCTCACCTGGTTAATGTCTACAATGTGTAGCAGCGTACCAGCCGCGATCGTCGTACCGCTGTAGTCACGCTCTACCACCCCTGCCGTTTTTGCCGCCGCCCCTACAGAGCAAGCAAGTCGAAGACCGTTAATTTCTAACTTAGTGTCTAACTGATCTGGTTGTTGTCCACGACGTGTAGCAGCGCGTCGGCCTCGACGCCGTCCCGCTGCGGTCACGATCCACGGCGGAGACGTTTCATTTCTAAGGGTTTACTCTGAAAAACGTATGTTGCCATCCCTCTCGCACAAAACGAGATGCCAGCCATCAAGTGACGACAAAGAGACCCAAAACTACGTAAACAGAACAGCGTTTCGGAGTAGCCTCCTGACCCAGTTGATGTCTCATCAGCCGCGAGCGCTGTCCCGCTGCGGTCACGTTCTACCGCTCCTACCACCTGCTGTGTACTGCTGCCCTAGTGCCCCAGCTGACCTGGTTGTTGTCCACTATAATGCAGCCGTGTCCTGCTGCCCTAGTGCCCCAGCTGACCTGGTTGTTGTCCACTATAATGCAGCCGTGTCCTGCTGCCCTAGTGCCCCAGCTGACCTGGTTGTTGTCCACTATAATGCAGCCGTGTCCTGCTGCCCTAGTGCCCCAGCTGAGCTGGTTGTTGTCCACTATGTGCAGCCGTGTGCTGCTGCCCTAGTGCCCCAGCTGACCTGGTTGTTGTCCACTACATGCAGCCGTGTCCTGCTGCCCTAGTGCCCCAGCTGACCTGGTTGTTGTCCACTATAATGCAGCCGTGTGCTGCTGCCCCAGTGCCCCAGCTGACCTGGTTGTTGTCCACTATATGCAGCCGTGTCCTGCTGCCCCAGTGCCCCAGCTGACCTGGTTGTTGTCCACTATGTGCAGCAGCGCGTCGGCGGCGAGCGCGGTCCCGCTGCGGCCGCGCCCGCGGGAGCAGCACACCACCAGCGGCCAGGCCCCGGCGCCGCCCCGCGAGTCGCCCTCCGCCGCCGCCTCTGCCGAACACGCCAGCCGGAGACCGTTCACTTCGAGGAGGAAACCTGGGAAGCGACATAATGATCGGTTAAGTCCGTGTTAGGATGGGTACTTTTTGTACGCAAAACGAACACGTAAATTTATAAGTAAGGCGGTTATCACACTGCGCCGCGCTCCGCCGCGGAGCGCGGGGCGACAGATTTAATCATTGTATGCAAGTACCTCAGTTTGTATAGAAAACACGCGCGGCACTTCACACTGACAACGCGTCTGCCGCGCGGGATTTTTTATATGAAATCACGCGCTCATATGAAATCGAGCGCGGCGCAGTGTGATAACCGCCTAAAACATTTATTTGCTGCACACAGTTACGTACGTTTTTTACGAAATTACATTATTTAATATTCAGCACGCATATTCAATATAACAATAATAAATAGAAACAGAAATAATGAGTGAGATACTTTCAAGAACCAAAACCTTCATAAATTTTTTGACGTACTCGCTAGCGACGACTTTCAATGCAAGCTCGCACTACGATCAATTTCGATGATAAAATTAAGATATCAAGCGCATACGCATAGCTAAGTTAAGAATATGCTACTTACTGAGAAAGTCAGCAGCGTCGGGCACGGCCTGCCCGTCCGGCCAGTTGGTGTAGTGCACGTGCCACAGCAGTCGCGCGCGGCCCCCTCGGGACACCCGCACCCGGGTCGAGGCCCCCCAGCGGGCCCGTGAGACTGACACGCAGGACACCACGCACTGTAAGGGATAGTTAGTTAGTTAGTTAGTTTTGCAGGGCAATCGAATACCGCACTTGGCCTCATGATAGGGCCTTTGTGCGCGATTTGTGGTTTATCTTCCTACTCCCCACCCCAGATCCCCCCAGAAGGCGAGCGCGTGCCACAGCAGCCGCGTGTGGCACATATACGCGAGTCGAGGCCCCCCAGTAGGCCCGGGACACTGACACGCAGGACACCACGCATTGCAAGCGATATACACACTTATGACAATGAGCATAAGGGCTACATTAGTGCGCGCACCCGGCCCGAGACACGGATACGTAGGATACCATACATTGGAAGCGATATACAAATTTATTGTAGAGGGTATAAGGACTAAATTAGAGCGCGCGCCCGCCCCGTCATACCCGAACGCGCGTCGAGGCGCCCCAGCGGGCCCGGGACACTGACACGCAGGACACCACGCACTGCAAGGGATATAAACGCTTATAACAATGAGCATAAGGGCTACATTAGTGCACGCGCCTGGCTCGCGACATGGACACGTAGGACACCAAGCACTGCAAGAGATATACACGCTTATTGTAGAGGGAATAAGGGCTATATTAGGGCGCGAGCCACAACAGTCGCGCGCGGCCCCCTCGGGACACCCGCACGCGCGTCTAGGCACCCCAGTGGGCCCGGGAGACTGAGACGCAGGATACCACGCACTGCAAGGGATATAAACGCTTATTATAGTGATCATAAGAGCTACATTAGTGTGCGCGCCCAGCCCGCGACACGGATACGTAGGATACCACGCACTGCAAGGGATATATACACACTTATTGTAGAGGGTATAAGAGCTATATTAATGCGCGCGCCTGGCCCGCGACGCGGACACGCAAGACACCACGCACTGCAAGGGATATACACACTTATTATAGAGGATATAAGGGCTACATTAGTGCGCATGCCCGCCTCTGCGTTGACGCGCCTACGCTTATTGTAGTGTGGATAAGGGCTATATTAGTGCGCACGCAAGCCTCGCGACACTCGCACGCGAGTCGAGGCACCCCAGCGGGCCCGGGACACTGACACGCAGGATACCACGCACTGCAAGGTGAAGTATGTAAATTGCTTACTTTACAAATAGCATCCAATTCCCGTAAACCGGTCACGCGCACGTATCGTTCTGCTGACTTAGGGTTTTAGCAAACTACGAACATTGTAATCATGTGAATTTTAAAACATTCAATATAGAGACACCGTACATCAAACATGTGTTTCACTTAATTTCTACTGCCGTCTTCAACACCCTAAACCTAACACTACAAAGGGATAGTTAGTTAGTTAGTTCGTTTTGCAGGGCAATCGAATACCGCACTTAGCCTCATGATAGGGCCATTGTGCGCGATTTGTGGTTTATCTTCCTACTCCAACCACCCCAGAAGGCGAGCAGCCCGTCTAGGCTGCTGCACGCCTCCTGTAGCGACGATGGTCATCGAAGAAATTGAGCCCGTTGTTCTTCCACGCTACTGCACTCCATGAGCACATGCTGCGGTGTTTCCTCTGCCTCCATGCACCCCCTGCACAGTGGGCTGTCTGTGACACCTGTTGTATAGGTGCTTGTTTAGCATACAGTGTCCGGTTATGACACTTAAGACAGCACTGCAAGGGATATACACTCTTATAACAATGAGCATAAGGGCTACATTAGTGCGCGCGCCCGGCCCGCGACACAGACACGCAGGATAACCATGCATTGGAAGCGATATACACGCTTATTGTAGAGGGTATAAGAGCTACATTAGTGCGCGCACCCGGCCCGCTACACGGATACGTAGGATAACCATGCATTGGAAGCAGTATACACGCTTATTGTAGAGGGTATAAGAGCTATATTAATGCGCGCGCAAGCCTCGCGACACCCGCACGCGAGTCGAGGCGCCCCAGCGGGCCCGTGAGACTGACACGCAGGACACCACGCACTGCAAGGGATATAGATGTTTATTGTAGAGGATATAAGAGCTAAATTAGTGTGCATGCCCGTCCCTGCGTTGACGCGCCTCACCGAGCGCGGGACACTGACACGCAGGACACCACGCACTGCAAGGGATATAGATGTTTATTGTAGAGGGTATAAGAGCTACATTAGTACGCGTGCCACAGCGGCCTCTCCGTGACACTCGCACGCGAGTCGTGGCGAGTAGTGGGCAAAAGGATTACATCTAGGATGCTCGCGGTGCCTTGAAGAATTACCGCGGTTTTTTACACGCTCTATGATTGCTTGGCGGGCGGTCGCGGTTCTTCTATGACCAAAAACTCGTCTTGCGTTAACCGCGGCAGTTGCGTGACCACCCCCCCACTAGGGAATGCAAATCTCGCGAGATTGGGGCTCAAACGAGATCCCGCGAGACTATAAATTACAATACTTTTTTATGTGACAGGAGGCAAACGAGCAGGCGGATCACCTGATGGTAAGTGATTATTACCGTCGCCCATAGACAACCGCAGACCCAGGGGCGTTACAGGCGTTACAATACTGCGAGATCTCGCCAATGAGGGCTATCGTTTTTATACTTAACAGTTGGCACCCCTGGCGATTGACAGGACCTTACTCTACAGTGGCGCCATCTTGATGAGTGCAAATGCGATAGTCCTTCTACCACCTTCGCGCTCACCAGTTGGTGCCACCACAGAATAATAATAAGTACTACGTACAGAAGTTTTACTTCGCGAAGGTATTTAAAAAAATGTATGCTCAATGTCATTAACAATATGGTGTAATTTAGCTTGTCTCAAGAGTCAAGCAAGTTTGTCAGAAGTTTTGTTGACAAACGTCAGTGATCGGTACTGCGCCGAAGCTATAGGGCTGACTTCGGTAAAATGATGTGACGTGAGGTGCCAATCTGCAGAAAATGGCGGAGGAAATACATGATTTAGCATGAATTATCATGAATAATATTAACTACTTATTTACCTCTCAGTGTCTTGAGGCAACTTAAAAAAGTACTTTCTGTGTTTTTATTATTATTTAGGCAGTTAAATACTGCACAGTATTTAGTACACCATTTTCTTTATTTTTTTCCATCACACACAAGAATACGCGTGCGTGAGTCAATGTTCGCTCGTATGTGAGGCCTTGTCGAATAGTACCTACTCTTGTAGGGGGCAATCGTGCGTGTTTTGTTTTCGATGTAAACTCGCGGAGATGAACAGGCCTGGTGCCACTGTCTTCGCTACTAGCAAGTGACAGGACCTTACTCTACAGTGGCGCTAACTGGTGAGCGCTAAAACGATAGCCCTCATTTCGAGATCTCGCGAGATCGAGATTCAAAAATCAAAATCAAAATTTTCTTTATTTGTTTAGACTAATTAAATTAGTACTTGCAAATCGTCAAATGATTTTAAGGAGCCTATACATGTCTCATTCTTTTTTTGCCCTATCAGCGCTTCGAGACAAACATTTGGCAAGTGCTGAGAAGAAGCGCCGCAACAAACTCAGTCACCACTGTCTGCCGGTTTAAAAATATAAAAAAGTAGGAAGTTACAATACATTCAGAAGCAAGTTACTTACCACCCGCTCCCGTTGATAGAAGGTGGCCTTTAAGACGCCCATCTAGCACGAGACCGCGTGGCAGTTTTGAATATACATATTTCTTTAGTGCCGTGCTAATTTCTAGGTTAATTGTTGCATTCCTTTATTGGTTGTAGTAAGTAAGTAGGTACCTACTTATAAGATAAGTCATGTTTAAATCAAAATTCTACTATTATTGATATGATTAACACATTGAACGCCGAGATGCTAGACACAATGGAAATTGTATTGTTCGCGGCTCACCGGTGAGCCGCGTGGCGTCCAACGTGTTAAATGTTTTTTTGTGTGCATGTAACGGTTCGGAACAAACTGCGTTGAATCTATATTGCATGTTGTGTCAGCCTATAATTGTTGTTGCATTGTAACTTTGTTCATAATTGTTATTTTTAAGTGTACATGTTGTAATGTAACAATGTTGGTAGACCTAATCTACTATATAAAAATAAGTCGGGTTTTCCTCCCTGACGCTATAACTCCAGAACGCACGAACCGATTTCCACGGTTTTGCATTCGTTGGAAAGGTCTCGGGCTCCGTGAGGTTTATAGCAAAGACAATTCGGGAAAAGGGGGTAAAACGGGATCCACGCGTACGAAGTCGCGGGCGGCCGCTAGTAAATAAATAAATAAATAAATTCCCACTCACCCCGCCCAGCTCGAGCGCGGCGCGGCCGGCGGGCAGGTAGTGCGGGCAGGCGGCGCCGCCCACCAGCGCCAGCAGCCGCGCGCCCACGGTCCAGGCGCAGTCCCACACGCCGGCGCAGCCGCAGCCGCAGCCGCCGGGCCCCGCCGGCGCGCCCACGCCCACCTTGATCACCACGTAGAAGCGCTGCGTGCTGCCCACCGTCATCTGGAAGTGGGTTTTTACACTGGTTTTTTTTTGTTTTTTGATACAAACACACGTCATATTTTTGTGGCTAAGGACACCGGTCATATTCTTAGGCCGCATAGCAACTAAAGCTCGGTTCGTGAGCACGTAGAATTTTGTCCAATGACCCCTAGCTACCCATCCTTATCGCTCGCGCGTAATAGACATGTTGACACCACCACTCAATTGACGTACTTTTTAAAACTGTCAAAACGAAACTCTCCCATAGATTTTGTATGGCATTACAAGCAAGTGACGTCACTATTTTGTCAACTCAATCAAACTACTTTTTTCAATTACAATGCGAACAAAAATCGTAATTTACAGGTAATTTAAAATGAATTAAGTTTTTAAGACCAGAATAAAGGGTCTTTTTAAAACAGTTGTGGTTTCGAATTATTGGGGTATGGTGTCAAACTGTCTATTGTATTGCTGTCGCGACTGTGCGACTGGCACCCGCAGTGAGTGTGCGAGCGCGATAGCAACATAATTACGCGCGAGCGATAAGGATGGGTAGCTTGGGGTCATTGGACAGACTATAAAAACAGTCTCGGGACGAGTGGCTGCCTCTACCCGAGCAAGTGGGGACGCTGCCTTCATTCGCCGTCGCGAGCCGAACCATATTGAGTAGTTTAGAAACAGGCAATCTCTTGAATACACGGCCATACAATAAAAAATAAGAGTAGAAGTGGATTAGCAAAAATACCCTAATTTCCTCGCAAATAGTAATAAAGGCGATCGTCTTTTTGAGATAGCGTTTACGAAATCACAAATACATAATGGTGTCAAACCAGTGCAGCAAGCAACTAGTCAGACATCAGTGGGATTTGACATCTTATAAACTGTGACTAAGGCGGTTATCACACTGCGCCGCGCTCCGCCGCGGAGCGCGGGGCGACAGATTTAATAATTGTATGCAAGTACCTCAGTTTGTATAGAAAACACGCGCGGCACTTCACACTGACAACGCGTCCGCGCGCGTGATTTTTTATATGAAAATCGCTACCGCTTAATCCCACATGTCTGCCGGAGCCGCCGCCACCTAGTACAGCTGTCAACGTGTACCTCTTGTTAAGTTATGTGGGTATGTAAGTACTCATCCATCATTTATTGTCCAAAGATTTATTATTATTATTATTTATTTGAGATGTTTAATTGTAAATTACACTTTACTTATAAGAGGAATTCTTGTACTTACTTGAAAGTTCAATAAAATATATTATTATATTATACCTACCGTGACGTGCGAGGCGTTGATGTAGCCGTGCGGGTTGGCGGGCGTGGGGCGCAGGCGCACGCGGTTGTCGTCGTAGGGCAGGCTGTCGGCGCCGCCGTTGAGCGCCGCGTGCTCCGCCAGCAGCGCCGTCTGCACGGAGCCGCCGCGCTCGCGACCTTTCGGCAGCCGCTCGAACGCGAATGCCACTTGTTCATCTGACATCTTCCGCTCGAGGAGTTGGCACTAAAATATTTGGAGCGTAGTTTAATTCGATTTATGTGGCGATATCTACCAACTCGCCACTACACCACTACAAACTTAACCAACAGATAGCGCTGACGTCGCGGTATCGGAGTTTTCTAACCTGCTAAGAATAAACCCCAACCGATATTATATTTTAACAACCACAACATTCAACGGATGCATTAAACTTCATTCATTCATCATTTTAACTTTTTGATAAAATCATTCCAAAATCTATCTTATCTCATCTTATTTAGAGCCAGGAAAAGGACATAGGATACTTTTTATCCCGTTCGAAATAAAAAAAAGTCTGCTTATTTATTGCCATTAAGGCGGAACAAAGTTCGCCGGGTCAGCTAGTATAATCTATATATATAAAAGAAAGTCGTGTTAGTTACTCCACTTATAACTCAAGAACGGCTGAACCGATTTAGCTGAAAATTGTCAGGGAGGTAGTTTAGAGCCAGGAGAAGGACATAGGATACTTTTTATCCCGTTAGAAATAAAAAAAAATCTGCTTATTTATTGCCATTAAGGCGGAACAAAGTTCGCCGGGACAGCTAGTTTGATATACAATACATGGATGATAGTGTCATTAATTTAAAATGAGGAGAGTTATAAATGGCATAGGGCTAAGGCAAAGAAGAAGATAGTGTCATTCATTTACTCAATCCCAAACTGAACTCAATATCGTCCATTTGCCTCTGATAAATTAGAGAGGATCAAGCTCTTTCAGTGGAGACTAAAAAATCTGATAAACTGAAACAAGTGTGTATTATGATGACTAGATAAGCATTTAAATAGCAACATATGCTTTTCATTTAACTACCCTCCACAAAACCTCATCCCAAAGATATTATTTTAACAACCACAATATTTAATAAGTGCATAAACATTCATTCATCATTTTAAATCAATTCATACCAAAATTTCAATAAAAAACTTGGCAAATGAGCTGTTGCCTAAATATTGTTTGTTTTCGCATTTCCTGCATGTTACGAATAGCTATTTATCAACACAACTTGCAATCGGCATGAGTGACACACCACTTTGCTCATCATTTACCAGATGAAATCACCTTATCACTGCAGTGTATGCCATCTGTTCGAAATTAATACGTGTCGCCAACATAAAATTATAACGAACGATTGTCTAATCTCTGCAACTATTGTGACTGTTTGTTTACAAAGTCACATTGCATTTACGTAACAAGTGTAACAACTTTAAATACACTCGACATCAAATAAATCGCAACTCCCGCGACAAGCATTTTCAAACTTATGCATCCCCACTTTCCACCAATATTGGCACCATTTAAAAGCCTAGTTCTAACCTTCATTTCATTAAAGGAAAGGTTTTTACCCCAAAAATATGTCTTTAGAAGGATCCAGAGTCACTTTTCTCAAAAAATAGGTAGTTACGCTAGAGCCAACTTTTATGGCTATAAAACTGTTAAGTTGGGATCAATCGCTATCCATCTGTTAAAGAGGAAATTAAATGTGTTTTTTTTAAGGACATTTATTGGGCTTTCAAATAACACCAATATTGTTGGTGCACCATGATTGTGTCAGAAGAAAAACGTTAAAGTTCGCGTCGCGGAAGGTGCGGTTTATTTGATGTTGAGTGTATTTACCAATTTTAAAGTGAAAAAGTTTTACAGTGGTGTTTTATGGAAAAGGAAAACACATTTTGTAAGAAAACAACTGATAAAGTTTGTAAAATAACAACGCTCAAAACTGGGTTCAATTTTAGCGACGGGTTCTGTCCTGTGATCGGTTTAAATATTGAATTCGATAAAAGATTGAAGTCGATAGAGTTTCGTTTTGTAATATACTCAGGTGAAGGTTGTAGGAAATTACACATGCATGCAAAATTTCAGCTCAATGGAAAACCGGGAAGTGGGTCAATTTTAAGTTGCAAGATTTGATGCCAGACACCAGACAGGTAAAATAAAGAGTAGGCGCACACCGTTGATTTTTAGTTGGCCGATAGTTGTGCCCGATTTCAAATTGTATGAAGAATCGGCCAAATCGAATCGGCGTAGTGTGCGCACTCCCATACATGCCCATACTGATCAACTGCCCGATTAAACTATCGGCCGACGAAAAATCAACGGTGTGCGCCTACTCTAAAAGCTCGTAAAATGCAAACAAAGCACTCACCAAAGTTTCTTTGGTAATGCTCGGAGGTAGCGGCTGGAACTTGGGCAGGCCGGTGGACCAGCGGTGCTTGTTGGGCGGCTGCGGCGCGGGCTTGGCGCGGTCGCGGCCCAGCGTGGCGCTCCGCAGCTCGGGCTTCGCCCCGCGGCCCATGAACACGCCCCAGCGCCGCCGTTTCTTCTCCTTGCTGCTAACGCTCGTCTTCGTCTCGTTGGCCTCCGTGTTCGTCGAGCTCGATAATTCGGGCGCCATGTCCCCGCCGCGGTCGCACGCCGACTGATCGCTGATCTTTATCGACGTCACGTTGTCCGACTTGTTTATCGTGTTGTTGTTCGACACGCGGTGCGTCGACAGGCTTTGATACGGCGTCTCGTCGCACTCCTTTTCGTCCTGCCTCAACGATATTCGGTCGACCGCCAGCGTCACGTTTTCGAACTCCCTGTTTATCGATCGGTTCGAGGCTTCTTTCGGCACGCTCGACTCGCGGACACCCTTTATTATTTGAGCGTTCACGTAGTGGCTGTCGGGCGTTTCGATCTTCATCGGCACGTGATAGCTCGGCACGTTCAGCGTGGTGTTCAGGTTTCCGTAGTTATTTATGGCGGGGTGGCTGCCGTTCCGTTCGTTCAACCGCGCGATTTCATCCGTCGTCGTTAAACTCTGGGCTCGGTCTCGCATGGCGATATTGCGCTCGCTCTGCCAGGGCAGCGGCACATTCTCGTAGATGGGTTCGTGGTCGCTCGGCGGCGCCGGGCGGCGGTAGGGCGCGCGGTACCTAATAAATAAATAAATAAATAAATATCCTTGGACATTTTACACTGCGCCTCTAGTCCCAAACTAAGCAAAGCTTGTACTATGGGTACTAGACGACGGATATAAACATACTTAAATACTTTTTTTTTTTGTAAATACATACATAGGGGAGAGTTCGGTATATTGTACCGCCGGGCAAATTGTACCACCCTCATATTTCGTAAAGTATTTATTGAATGTCTGTAACTGCAACACTCAGCGATACACAACTAAAATCAATTAATATCGGCCATGTGGTTTTTGCCGTGACAACAAACACGTGTGTTTTATTTTGAAAAGTATTTTTTCATTGTTTTCAAGTAACTTTTGACAATACATGTTTAGTTTGCAATTTTGTTAAATTTAATTACAGGGTGTTTCTAATATATTATTTAGAAGCGTACATTAGTGTGGATTACAATTATTTGAAACATTTTTCGGTATTTATAAGCTATATTTTTTACCAATTTTTTAAAAGCACTATCACCTAGTCGGCTAAATTGTACCACATCAAGTTGTATGGAACTTTACCAAAGGATTTTGAAATTTTTTTTAGTAAATCATATTTTGAAGTTATAATAGCTTAGTTATGTTTGACTAACAATAAATGAAAGCAAAAGACTGGCAAAGTAGATTAGGTACAAGTGTGCGTTACGATAATTGGAATTACAAAACTTGTACTCAAAATCGTGATAACGTGTAAAACAATATCGATTGTCTATGTTATTAACTACTGTTCCTTTTCGTTTCCTAATTTGTTAAGAATGTATCGTATAATATTTTGCCATAGTTTTTTTATAGGCTTGAAATTTATTGAAATCCAATTTAGTAACCCTGTGGTACAAATTATCGAACCGGTTGGCTAAATTGGACCGAAGCTCTGAACTCGTACTTTGTTGATTTGTGCTAAATATACAACAATCATGTTAATTAATACTTATGAAATAGTAAGTTGAATAATGTATCTTTTATTATATACCATGGACATTAGCAAAAACAAAATTAAACTATGTGTAAAATGGGATTGAAAAAAACTGGTCCAAATAAGCGGACTCTCCCTTATTATACATAGAAAACACCCGGTCCAATACAAACAAATATGTTCATGCACACAAATGTTTGTACTGTGCGGGAATCGAACCCGCAACCTCCGGAATAGTAGTCCGTTTCGAACCACTACCACAGAATAATAATAAGTACTACGTACAGAAGTTTTACTTCGCGAAGGTATTTAAAAAAATGTATGCTCAATGTCATTAACAATATGGTGTAATTTAGCCTGTCTCAAGAGTCAAACACCATTTTGTTGACAAACGTCAGTGATCGGCACTGCGCCGAAGCTATAGGGCTGACTTCGGTAAAATGATGTGACGTGAGGTGTTAAACTGCGGAAAATGGCGGAGAAAATACATGATTTAGCATGAATTATCATGAATAATATTAACTACTTATTTACCTCTCAGTGTCTTGAGGCAACGTAAAAAATACATTTTGTGTTTTTATTATTATTTAGACAGTTAAATACTGCACAGTATTTAGTACACCATTTCCTTTATTTTATTCCATCATACACAAGAATACGCGTGCGTGAGTCAATGTTCGCTCGGATGTGAGGCCTTGTCGAATAGTATCCTGTAGGTGGGCCATCGTGCGTGTTTTGTTTTCGATGTAAACTCGCGGAGATGAACAGGCGTGACAGTACACCGTACGGCCGACAAACCTGTCGTCGTAGGCGCGCGGGCCCACCAGCACGGACGCCAGGTCGCCGTAGGTGCCGTGCGAGGGCGGCGCGCGGAGCCCGAGCACGCCGTAGTAGCCGAGGTAGCGCGCGGAGACCAGGTCGGGGCTGGAGCCGGTGACGGCCAGCAGCGGCCGCGGCGGCGCCAGGCTGGCCAGGTCGGGCGTGGAGCTGGACGCGGGATACGGCGGCGGCGGCTTGTACACTGGTAAAAAAGACAATGCCGGAAATTGGCGTCTTTTTTTTTCGCGCGGCCATCGACCAAACTTTGTTTTTTGATTACAAAATCTATTATATAAAAGAAAGTCGTGTTAGTTACTCCACTTATAACTCAAGAACGGCTGAACCGATTTAGCTGAAAATTGTCAGAGAGGTAGTTTAGAGCCAGGAGAAGGACATAGGATACTTTTTATCCCGTTATTTATTGCCATTAAGGCGGAAAAAAGTTCGCCGGGTCAGCTAGTAGTGTAATAAACCAAACTTACTATGACATGTATACCTCTAAACTCAGTCTGAACTGAGTTACGATCATTAGAAGTTTGATGATTTTCATACTAGATTTGCTTTTTGCGCGCAAAGTTTTGTAAGAAATTGCAACAAAATAGTGAGGTTGTATGTGTAAATGTTACGGCTAAAGATAGGTGTGAACATAAACTTAAGATTAGCCGGCTAAACTTAAGTGTAACCGCAGGCCCTTGGCTAAAAATGTAGAAGGAAATGGAAAAGGATACAACGTAATAATGTTTACTATTTTGACACGAAAACTTTATTAAAAAATAATCACTTTCATTACACATACATTTCAACCGACTTCAAAAAAGGAGGAGGTTCTCAATTCGACCCGTATGTTTTTTTTTCTATGTTTGTTACGCGATAACTCCGCCAATTATGAACCGATTTGAACAAATCTTTTTTCGGCGTATAGGTAATACCTCAAGGGTGGTCCCATTTAAATTTAATAATAGAAAAAATAACCCCCAAGGGTGGAAAATTGGGGATGAACTTTTTTATACGCAATATCTCCGCCGATTATAAATCAATTTGACTGATTATTTTTTTGTTGAATAGGTATTATCAAAAGGGTGGTTTCATGCGAATTTGAAGAAAATATTTCACCCCCAAGGGTGGAAAATTGGGGATGAACTTTTTTATACGCAATATTTTTAATTTTTAGTTTTTTTTGTGTTCACGCATTTGAAGTCGGTTTTATTTTTTTAAAAAGTTAATTATATGCACCTATGTAGGTATTCAAAATTACAATTATTACAATAACAAAATATTAATTACTTAAAATAAAATCTACCTAATCATTAAAATAAAATAATAAGGAACCATTTGGTCATTAAAGGATCTTCTGTAGGTATTTAAAATCACAAAATGCGCGTTGTCTCCCCACCGCCCCCTCAAGCCCTCCGCCGGCCTGGCGCGCCCATAGAATACATTTTTAGCCGTTTCGTTTTGGCTAATGTGCACATTAGCCGGCTAAAGATTGAATATCACGACGCAAACTAACATGTTATCGAACTTTAGCTGCTTCTCGAAGATAAACTTAAGTTTAGCCGGCTAATCTTAAGTTTATGTTCACACCTATCTTTAACCGTAACATAAACAAACAATACCATCCATTAAAGGCTCCAGACATCAGTATGGAGCAGAATCAGCGGAATAAAAAATAGCGCAATATTTTGTTGCAATTTCTTACAAAACTTGCGCACATAAAACAAATCTAGTATGAAAATCATCAAACTTCTAATGCTCGTAACTCAGTTCAGACTGAGTTTAGAGGTATACATGCCATAGTAAGTTTGGTTTATTACACTATTTTGTAATCAAAAAACAAAGTTTGGTCGATGGCCGCGCGAAAAAAAAAAGACGCCACTTTCCATACAAAATCTGGCATTGCCATTTAATAACGTTATCTGGCAACCCAGAAGCGTTGTATGCTCTATGGCCCCTCTCTATGGTCTCTTTTTCCTACCATTCAAGTGTGTGCACATGGTTGTAAATTATCTTCTCAATAAATAGAATATCACTGAAGTTAAGTGTCTTTTGTACCTGCCGCATCACGTTCATGGTCCTTCGAGCCGGATATCGTTATTACATTTTTACCATACACCCGCCCCATTGAAATTACATTTCAATCTTCAAACAAAGAAGTTAAAGCTATTAACATTACAACTTACATTTTGCAATATAATAATGTTAATAACTTTAACTTCTTTGTTTGAAGATTGAAATGTAATTTCAATGGGGCGGGTGTATGGTAAAAATTTAATAACGTTATCTGGCAACCCAGAAGCGTTGTATGCTCTATGGCCCCTCTCTATGGTCTCTTTTTCCTACCATTCAAGTGTGTGCACATGGTTGTAAATTATCTTCTCAATAAATAGAATATCACTGAAGTTAAGTGTCTTTTGTACCTGCCGCATCACTCTGTTCATGGTCCTTCGAGCCGGATATCGTTATTACATTTTTACCATACACCCGCCCCATTGAAATTACATTTCAATCTTCAAACAAAGAAGTTAAAGCTATTAACATTTCAACTTACATTTTGCAATATAATAATGTTAATAACTTTAACTTCTTTGTTTGAAGATTGAAATGTAATTTCAATGGGGCGGGTGTATGGTAAAAATTTAATAACGTTATCTGGCAACCCAGAAGCGTTGTATGCTCTATGGCCCCTCTCTATGGTCTCTTTTTCCTACCATTCAAGTGTGTGCACATGGTTGTAAATTATCTTCTCAATAAATAGAATATCACTGAAGTGTCTTTTGTACCTGCCGCATCACTCTGTTCATACACGTTGACGTAGGGCACGAGCGGGTAGGGCGCGCGGTAGTCGAGCGCATAGTAGTCGTCAGGCCGCGCGCGCCGCTCGTAGGGCAGCCGCTGCATGTCTGGGTGCGAGCCGAAGCCGCGCGGCGGGCCCGGCGCGGCCAGGCGCTGCTGCTGGTGCTTCTGTTGCACGGCCGTCTCGTAGTCCGGCGCCGGCCGGTACGACGGCAGCAGCGCTCTGGAAGCGACGTTGTTGTCGGGTCAAAAACTGTAAATGCTTGGGCGGACCAAACGCGGGGCAATGCAGCGCAGTTTGAATGCGGGCCCGCGCAAGTTGTAATACAAGAAACACTTGGAAGTGCGTCACACCAAATGGCAATGCCAGATTTTGTATGGAAGGTGGCGTCTTTTTTTTTCGCGCGGCCATCGACCAAACATTGTTTTTGATTACAAAATAGTGTAATAAACCAAACTTACTATGGCATGTATACCTCTAAACTCAGTCTGAACTGAGTTACGAACATTAGAAGTTTGATGATTTTCATACTAGATTTGCTTTTTGCGCGCAAGTTTTGTAAGAAATTGCTACAAAATATTGCGCTATTTTTTTATTGCGCTTATTCTGCTACATACTGATGTCTGGAGCCTTTCAATGGATGGTATTGTTTGTTTACACATACAATGTCACTATTTTGTTGCAATTTCTTACAAAACTTGCACGCAAAAAGCAATTCTAGTATGTAAAATCATCAAACTTCTAATGCTCGTAACTCAGTTCAGACTTAGTTTAGAGGTATACATGTCATAGTAAGTTTGGTTTATTACTATTTTGTAATAAAAAAACAAGGTTTGGTCGATGGCCGCGCGAAAAAAAAAAGACGCCAATTTCCGGCATTGTCTTTTGAACGCGGGCCCGCGCTCCAACCGCGCCGCACTGCAACTGCCGAACGACAAACGAGGCGGCGCGGGAGTGGGACAGAAGCGGCGCGAACGCGGGCCCGCGCCGTTGTATTACTATGGCGGCCATATTAGCCTGACACACCGGACGCAAGGCGGTAGCAGCGCGTTGAAAGCGGTTTTCGAATATTTAAATTTTTGACAACCGCCCGCGTTGCAACTGCTTTGAAACTGCGCTGCATTCAGTGTGCCTCAGCCGCGCTGCAACTGACCCGCACTGCTTCTGACCCGCGTTTGGTCTGTGGAAGCCTTAAGATAAAGGGCACAGCTGCAAACTGCTGGAGCTGGTGAACTAATGGAAAGGTATGGAGAAACTCGATGCCTTTCTGCCACATTCAGTATCACCCGAGTAAATACAAATGAGTAGGTCATCTTCATAGAAACGCACCGAGCGCGATTTGTATGTGAGCGCGCCAACACGTATGCGGCGCGCACGCACACACTGACAAAAATTAGCGGGGAGCCAGTAGTGGTTGCGCCGAATTTTGTCAGTGTGTGCGTGCGCGCCGCATANAAATGAGTAGGTCATCTTCATAGAAACGCACCGAGCGCGATTTGTATGTGAGCGCGCCAACACGTATGCGGCGCGCACGCACACACTGACAAAAATTAGCGGGGAGCCAGTAGTGGTTGCGCCGAATTTTGTCAGTGTGTGCGTGCGCGCCGCATACGTGTTGGCGCGCTCACATACAAACCGCGCCCGTGCGTTTCTATGAAGATGACCTACTCATACAAACACGGTAACAGTGATGCATTGTTTTTATGTCAGCTAGCCATTTCGAATTGCTCCAACTGTCACCTTCAGAGAGCTGGGCAAGGTTGAAAAACAGCGCAGCCCGGGACTTGCTCTTGAGGCAGCTTGAGCTGAACCTCATGGTCTTTTGTTTCCTGTATTTAATTTACTCTAGTTTTAATTTTAATTGTAACTTTTAAATTTTGGTTGTGGGGAAACAATAAGTGATTTTTATTTATTTATTTACCTGTTTCTGTGCGCGAGCGGCGGGTGCGGCTCGGCCAGCTCGAGGCAGGATGTGGAGTGCGCACGGTGCGCGGCGGTCAGCGGCTGCAGACGCGCGCTGCCCAGCTCCGGCGGTGAGCGCACTTCCAGCTCCTCGCGGCTCTCCGAGAGACCATGTTCCTGGCATCAGACAGAGATATTCAAGGGCTGGGCAAATATAGACATTGTTCCGGAGGCTCTCGCACCTCCAGCTCCTCGCGGCTCTCGGAGAGACCGTGTTCCTGGCATCAGACAGAGATATTCAAAGGCTGGGCAAATATAGACATTGTTCCGGAGGCTCCCGCACCTCCAGCTCCTCGCGGCTCTCCGACAGACCATGTTCCTGGACACAGACGAATGTATTCAAGGACTGGGCAAATATAGACATTGTTCCGGAGGCTCTCGCACCTCCAGCTCCTCGCGGCTCTCCGACAGACCATGTTCCTGAACACAGACGAGATATTCAAGGGCTGGGCAAATATAGACATTGTTCCGGGGGCTCCCGCACCTCCAGCTCCTCGCGGCTCTCCGAGAGACCATGTTCCTGGACAAAGACAGAGATATTCAAAGGCTGGGCAAATATAGACATTGTTCCGGAGGCTCCCGCACCTCCAGCTCCTCGCGGCTCTCCGAGCGACCATGTTCTTGGACACAGACGAAGGTATTAAGCACTGTCTTACGTCACTATCTGCGTCTTCTAAAAGAAAACTGTAAGAACATCGCAGCAGTCACCGCCTGCAAGATAGAAGGGGCTGCGTGAATGTAGACATTTTGTTATAAAATACACACGCACAAGATACGGAGACTGTTCACTCTGTATGGTGTCAAGTGGAAACAACTGGACACCAAAAAGTGTCTACGTCTGCACAAGGAGAGGCTGATTTCCTGTTGATTATATTTATTTGAAAAAGAAAGAAAGATACATTTATTACAATGGACATCACACAATACAAACAATTACATAGACATGACAGTGGCACATAATAATGGAAGAAGAAAAAACATAAAAACAAGAGTAAACTGAGCAGTGCCATCCATTCACCAACAAGATGCCCACTGCAAACGGGACCCCACTCAGCATATGCCGTGGCCCACGGTGACGAAGGCCACGGCGTTGGTTTTCAGGGTGCCCCATGCCGAGAGTGAGGGTTACGGACCATGCATTGATTTAATGTTTAGTGCGAAAGTGTTGTTTTTTATGTGTGTGCGATCGATGCAGTCATTTGATCCGATGTCTCAGACTAAAGGCGCTATACCTGAATAATGATCCTGAACTTGGGTGATAACAAAAGGTACGTCTTGTGGTTCGTAAATGAAAAAAATGATGGGGAAAATTATAAAATGTAGAACACATTCTGAAGTAATAACTGCAACTCTTTCACACATTCTCTAGGACGCTTCACTTTTTCCTCTCCATTGAAATGAAACAACAAACAATTAACGTCAAATTTCAAATTATTGCAATTAATAAAGAAAGCATGTAGTGATTGTGACAAATAAGTTTTAGGTCACCTAGTTAGAATCAACATTCTCGACTCGAAAGGCAATAAAATTTAAATAATGATACAGTTTACAATCAAACATAACCGCCAATTAATAATTCATTATTAGTTTTACAAAGCAAATCACAATCCGTTGTTCAGATTAGGTTTTGCTCCATTTAAAACGAAGCCACTAACGGAAAATGGTTTAAAAATGGTTGGTGTAATTAGAGGAGTAGTTTTTTGCGATAGGAATGAAACATACGCTTTCGTATTTCAGGAAGCAACAACACACGACGACACGCATGGTGAGCGCTCCCTTCCCCGCCACTGATAAACACCATGTGCCTGACACTATCACACCGATTGCCGGTATTTTTTTCAATTGATTTAGAACCAAAACACATTTGGAGTGACCAATGAATAGTAAGTTAACTGCAGTTGCAAGACTTTCTTTGACAGTGTAGCAGAATGGTGATGGGGCTACAAACAATCGACAGAAGTTATGAATAAGTTTGTTTTTTATTTAATTTTGTTAATTTATTGTAATAAATAATACTGAGAATTCAGGTAAGTAGTATTTTTTTGTTTTATTTATTTATTTATTAGGTACACCAACAAAGTCACATACATAATACAGTTCATACATTTTAACATGGTTTAACACATGATACGTATATGACCTCAATTACAGGTATACACAGCATTTCTTTTTGCAATGTTTTAATTTTATTTATTTTAAATGTGCTTTGTAACTTTGACTCGTTGTTCATAAAGCTTGTGGGTGCTACAGGGTGTCCAAAAAACAATGGATAACCCTGCAACCATCGATAGGGTCAAAATTTGATGTTAGGGAAACCATGGCAAGGCCAATCGATGGTTACAGGGTTATCTATTGTTTTTGGGACATCCTGTATAAACCTATTTAAGGCAAGTAAATTATATTTTATTTTATTTGTCGTCATTTTATTTTACTGATCGTCACTTACCATCAGGTGAGATACAGGCCAAGAGCTTCCTCATTGTAGATATAAAAAGGTAGCGAAAAGGTACTAAATTATATTTCGGGCCAATAATATACTTTATTTTTTTATGCAAGACTAGGCAGGTATTTGACCGCAATCGCACCTGGTGTTAAGTAAGATGCAGTCTAGGATTATGATGATACTGATGGCTTAAGTTACCCAGGCTGACTAGTTTTTAAATTGAGAATCAAATAGTTTTAGAACGATGTCGATGGCGCGACTATCGACAGTTAGCCGCACTATCTGCGCGCGCCGGCCGCCTAGCGCGGAATCCGCGGTGCGATGTTGTTTTTCAGTTTCCGCTTTTTAATTAGTTCTGCTTCATTGAGGCATCGCGATCGCCCGCCGAGCGAGAGCAACGCTGGGTCAGTGCTGTTAACTTGTTGTGTTGCTAAGATTTTTTTAATTTAATTGGTACTTATTTACTATTTCTCAACAAATCAGGTTGGCTGAGTATTTTAGTGGCTTACTCTTGAGGCGCGTTCACGCTACAGATTCAAGACGTAAAAGGGACATTATAAATATAAATTATGGGGAATCATTTTTCTACTTTACTGAGTGTGCTACAAGAATAGTAATGCTCGTGTCAAAAACGTGATGAAAGCATTCTGAAAAGTTGTTATGGGAGATATATCACCTTTGTGAATATTACTTATAGAAAAATGTAGATATACACCGGTTCTAAATGTTCGGTAACTACAAAACCCCTGTAAGTTACATTACATGTCGAAGAGTGACGGCTAGCTGATAGTAGTGGTAGTCGCAAACCAGGTGTCTAGACCAGAGGTTTTGATAAGCCGCAAATCAAGTAACTATCCATTAATTAAAAATCTTCATACCACAAATTGTTTACCACTTAATTATTGATTTAAAATTCTAACAAGAGAATTCGCGCGGAATGTTTTCAGCGGGCTATATCATTACGTTATTACATTGCCTGCGAGCGTCTTGCGCACTTTCGTTGGGGCATAGCTGACTAATTATGTGCTAAAGATAAATTATCGCCACGCCAGTGTTTATCCGATATCATGGTGATACGTGACCGATGCAGCGGCAGAACCATTATTTACAATAGTGAACACGATAAAAACACGACAAAACAAAATTAAAAATGCTACATTCAAAATTTTTTACAGGTGTTGGAATGAAATGGTCTTTCAGAAGTGTTCCCAGTGAGTGTGCATTTTTAAATTAACTAATATCACAGAACAAATCTGCTCATAGTCTTCTGGCTGATCGCATGATATAATTAATTTAAAAAAAACTAATAACTAAAACTTTCACCTATGACACAAGTTGATCGATCAATCACATCAATAGATGTAGTAAATGGAACCAAGCGTGGTGCTAAAAAATAAGATTCTTTAATCCTACTAATATTATAAATGCGAAAGTTTGGATGTCTGGATGATTGTTACTCTTTCACGCAAAACTATTGAACGGATTTTGATGAAACTATTATTGTTTATAACCCAGAATAACATATAGGCTATAATTTATGACGATCTGTAACAAACGAAATTTCACGCGGGTGAAGCCGCGGGCAAAAGCTAGTACCAAAATAAATGAAAATGTATTACATTTTATTTCAATTGATATTAAATTTATAACTTAGCAAATTGACACAGTACTAAACTCTAACTCGGTTGCTTACATAGGTAGAAGTCAGAGCCACATACACATGGTGCTTCCATCTTTTTCTATTTGAATAGGTATGTGCATTGTGCATTTAATTCACGTATTAGTGCAAACTTATGCTGCATCACGTAAGATCTACGTTACAAGATTCTAAATTTCATATTAATTAACGACCTTCTCTCATTACTAAGACCAATCCAAGATGTAATTACTGAACTATGCAATCTTGGCAGGAGTGACTGTCACAACGTAACTGTCTGGGCCCGTTGCGCGGCCCGCGACGCATAGCAATGAGCCGGGAGCGCACGTGACCTGACCATATGCATACGGTCACCTCAGGCTTATATGGTGGCTGATTATTTTTTGAGTGACAAAGCTGTACTGGCTATTATGAGTCTGTAAAAATAAATATTATAGACTACTGTAGATCAAGTGGTAATAATTCGCTCATTCAATTAATTAGTTCGTTCAATAAACAATAATATGATTGCGGGCTTAGATTGAGATGCTGCAACAAAGGGCACTTTAAGTCTGCGCGTAGAAATTGAATTTTAATTCATGAGTAAACAGCGCTTGTATAAAGTAATTTAACTCAGAAGAAGTATTCATCATAAATGGGAGTGGCTGGGGCCTGATGACCTGTACAACAAGTATGCAAATATCTATCATGGATTCCAGTCTCACGCAAATTACAATTGTCACTTAATGTTATGTTACTGAACTAGAAATGTATTTATTTCTTAAACTATCAAATGATAAGTCGACAAATTGACACCTTCATTAAAAAATGAACTCTTACAAAGTGAATATTTTGAGTCGGACGATTGTCGTCCATTTGCAACCCTTATGGAAAATTTTATGACAACTGCATTGGAACAAGGCTTGGTTCAGACACGCGGGTTAACCGCGCGGTTTCAGAGTGATTCTCATTGGCAATGCATTGAGGCGGTAGCCGTGCAGATATGGTTTAATGTAAAATCTCGGTTAATGAGCGTCTCTGAACCAGGGCTGCCTGTGGGTCTGTGCGGTCTTTTCAAAGTACACGCTAGTGACGTCCGGCTCAAACCGTGTAATTTGAAAGAGCTGGCGCCGGCAGGGCTCGCGCCGCCGCCTGCGTCTGCTGAAGGAGCCTGACGTCACTGACCTGGAAGTTGCGCCTGCTGAAGGAGCCTGAAGTCACTGACCTGGAAGTTGCGCCTGCTGAAGGAGCCTGACGTCACTGACCTGGAAGTTGCGCCTGCTGAAGGAGCCTGACGTCACTGACCTGGAAGTTGCGCCTGCTGAAGGAGCCTGACGTCACTGACCTGGAAGTTGCGCCTGCTGAAGGAGCCTGACGTCACTGACCTGGAAGTTGCGCCTGCTGAAGGAGCCTGACGTCACTGACCTGGAAGTTGCGCCTGCTGAAGGAGCCTGACGTCACTGACCTGGAAGTTGCGCCTGCTGAAGGAGCCTGACGTCACTGACCTGGAAGTTGCGCCTGCTGAAGGAGCCTGACGTCACTGACCTGGAAGTTGCGCCTGCTGAAGGAGCCTGACGTCACTGACCTGGAAGTTGGGCCGGGGCTCGTCGTAGGGCTGCTCGCTGAGCGCGCGCTGGTGACGCATGTAGAAGGTGTGCTGGCGGATGCAGGCGCGCCACACGTACTTGCCGTCCTCGGGCGACGGCAACGCGAACGATGCCGACTCCGCCTTACAGCACTCGATGCTGAACGTGCGTTTGTGGTTGATCACGTTCGTTATGTCCATCCATCTGGAAGGAGGGTAAAGTTAATCTATCTGTTATGTTAGGGAGAAGCCACACGGTGCGCGTGCGGTGTGGTCACGGCGTGGCGCCGGAGCGATGTCGCTGCGGCGTATAAAAAACTTGCATATAAAAAACAATGATATGCCAGACAGTGCGTTCCGGCACCGCACCGCAGGCACACCGCACTTCGATTGAGCGAGACGGTGCCGTTGCGGCGCCGCATACCACCATGTGTACTACAGTGATGCGGCAAAATGGCGCCGCACCGCACCGTGTGGCATATTCTCTCTAGGAGACAACGAAATGTTTTTTGCCGAAGTAACCAGAAGAAGTATTAGGACTCCACAAACAAGACATCCGAGATAGAAAAGATGGCATGGTCTCTTAAAGTACCGTAAGACCGACGTTCGTGATCGGGCCGTATTGAGCGCATAAGGCGCCCAATCAGTGGCGAACACAACTAGAGGGTTTCCCACCGCCGCACCGACCAAAGTCCAGCCTACGGCGGGCTCACTCTAGTGGGCCCGATCGAGGGGAATACGGACGCGGCCTGAGGGCGCCACGGTAGGCTCGGCCCTCGGCTCAAGCCGTGTCCGGGGGACGGGTTTGGGGTTACATAACCCATGAAACACACTCACCTATAGAAGGTGGGCGCGTCGCTGGCCTCGGTGAGCACCCGAATGCCGGTGAGCGAGATGGCGATGGTGGCATCGGTCTGGTCGCGCTGGTTGCGCGCCGCGAACATCTCCTGCCCGTATCCGCGCAGCTGCTGGCATGCTGTGATGAAGCCTTCTTCGGCTTGAGCCTACGACGGAAAAGTATAAAATAAATTGGTGAAGTGGTTGGTCATTGTAGAAATCCGTGGGAGAGACCTTTGTCCAGCAATGGACGGAAAGAACAAGCTAATATTAATATGCTTGTGTCAGGAGGAGTGAGTACACCACTATAGTTCAGCGACGTCAGAACTACGACCCTCCAATCGGCTATCACACACTAACACCGTTGGGCTATTGTCGCTTTAAATTACAAAGGCGGGTGTCGTCGACATTGCGAGGCGTAGTGTGTCTCGAGGTGCTCAAATGAGAAAATTCGCAAGCAGCCTCGCAATATCGATACACGCCTCAACATTGTCACACACAATCACATAACACACGTCACAAGAAAAAATCACGTTATGAGGAGAAATAGTAAATTGAGCAGTGCTAACCTGTCGCAATTGCAATGTCCATTGCAATGGGAGCCCTCATTATACACATTTCGTGACGCGCGGTGACGAAGACCGCGATGCTAGTTTTAGTTTTGACGTATGATTCCAGGTTTTCTTCTTTTTCGATAAAATGCAGCACATTACATGCACCATGATCACTGAATAACTAAATGCGGGTGAGTGAATATCACCAGACAAATCTGTCTACCCTCTTTCGAAACCTTCTATACTTTCCACATTTATGCACTGTTCACTAACTCACTTTCCACTCGCAAGTTGAATTTGAGAAAAAGGAACAGTCGACGGTACACCAAACTATGCATATTTATTGAAATATAGCACCTATAAGTATTAGAAGTATGTAAGATACTACCAATTTTCTGCTTGATCTTCCGTCACTTATTTGAAGGTAAAATTGTTAATAATAATAATAACAGACTTCCCTTTGCTGGATGAAACTCCGATATTTCGGCGCAGTTGCGTGCGCCATGATGATCACGGACGAAATGAACGAAATGCGGGTGGGCGTTTATTGCTAAGAAAAAATTTCTACCCACTTTTTTTCGATATTGGTAGCACTTATGACTAACTCACTTCTAACTCGAACTAGGAATCGAAAACTGCTTGGATAGAATTTTTGACCTAAATATTTATTGTTATGTGAAGTAATTTATCTATAGATGACGAGATGTATGATAAATAGGTGATTTTTTTTGTGTGACGGCCGAAATGATGGCGTATTGACGTTTATAGAGCATTTTCACATCAGCATCAGTAGAGAATAGATTCGATTCTTGGCCTTTACAAAAATAATTTGTCCTAGCTTCTAAATGCTTTGCGAGATAATCCCGTCAAAAACTTAATAATATAGCAAAAACGTATCTTTTTTACTTTATAGTCATCAAAATTGGAGTATTGTCTGATGCATAAGATTTTCCTGCGCAAAAGAGTGGCGGCAACATTTGCTTCGTTAGGTTTTACAACAATGCTCTTGCCGCGATATTATTCCTACAACAGTCGGACATAAACCTCCGTCATGACGCGGAAATCATAATTTAAAGGTCACACTTTTTTTTGTTATTAAAACTAGTTATTAATCGTAAACAATCTATGATGGCGGACTCGCCGACCGCCAAAGGCTTAAAAAAGTATTTTGCAAAGACTACTAAAAAGTAACTTAGTCTGCATTATCAGTCTATATTAGTAGTACGTATAATCATTAACAAGCAGTCTGGGCAATAATCATATCTTTATCAACGCCATCTCATTATAAGGTGGTTTCACATTCTCCAACAGTATTGCAGCTGAACGTTATCTGTGTGAAACTAGCGTAATGATTACTTAGCAGATAAAGCGGACTTCTAATGATAATACAGAACGATTCATTGTTCCCACGGCTGTCTACTTTTGTTAAGAAACAGATTATTATCATGTTTAATATAATATTGTCAAGGGAAAGTAAATGACATAAAGTTTAGATGAGAAGTACTATGTAATAGAATGAGAAATTCCCAAGGTTTATTTTAGTATTATCTTATTATTAAAGTATTACATACTATATTCTCAGGTTGTAAATTTAGTTTATGATGAAAATCTTTTGAGGTAAGTAGGTAATACAATTTTATTATGAAAGTTTCTTTGAAGGACTCAATATTTCCATATTTTAAATTATTTATTTATTATTTAACACTTAGCTGTAAGTTTTCCAAAAAATTGTAAAATAAATATATAAATTAGTACATAATATTGCCAATAATATTTAGTTGTAGCACATAAGCACATTATTTTTTTATAACTAATTCCAATTCCAATAAATTAATTTTAATCACTGTTGTTCATAATGTTTATAATTTTTTCATGTAAAAAATAATTAAAGTTCTAATTGACCGAACAAAAGTCATAATAATTAAGCTTTCTATTCATAATTACTAATTGCATATAATTATTTAAACACAACCCAAACAAATGAACTGTGTTTGCATTATTTCTACATCAAACTATTAGAAATTTATTACCAGTTTGGAACCGGGGTAATGCAAATATTATAAAAGAAAAAAATAATAAGAGAAAAGATTGAAACATTGGGTTGATGGAAAGCACATCTACTGTGCTTTGAAATTTATGTTAACAAATTACAAAATAACTATTATTATCCCTACATACATAATCATTATTATTTCATTGACCTTTTTAAGGGTCATACCCTTGTAATGCAATCTATTTTCTTATGTTGACACTAACTATTCCAGAAGCAAGTAAGGGTAATTTGCTACACTGCCTTTAGGACTTGCCAATGCCAAGATATTTAAATTAGCTTTATTTAATTGCGATTGCCCCTTCAACCCAATGTTTCAATCTTGATATTTGTACAGTTACCTGAGACATGTTGTGGAGTGCCATATGGTGCTGTATCACGGCTGCGGTGAGGTACTCCAGCTTTCCTGTCTCTGCCAGGGTGCTGCTGTCAATGATCTGCCCGCCATCTAGTATCTGCTTAGGAAATGTCAGCAAATTCTTCAAGTACTCCACTGTGTGCCTCTCTCGGTCGTGATTCCCATACTCAGCCTGCCTGCTGTACGAGGCTAGCACCACAGCTTGCTGGCAATCACAGATTATACGACCTTCCACTAAATCGTTCTTCAACTGCAAGAAGTAGTGGTATCTGGTCACCTCATCTGTGATCAGGCTCGTGCCGGATATGACGTAGTACATCACACGCAGATACAGTTGGTGGGAAGACGCATATTTGTCCAATTGGCGCTTGAGAGGTCTCTCCAGCTGCACCCATCGCGGCTGCTGGCTGCGGTCGATGTAGCGCAGCCCGAAGAACTCCGGCTGGTTTATGGCCTGCCTCTGGCACACATTGTCGAGACACTCCTGCCCTGAACTGTCCACGGACAGCGTACAATCCGCGACACCTCCATCCAGCAGCTCCACACTTATCACGAACAAACTCTTCGAAGCCACATTGTATTGCCGCGTTTTCTTCAGCTTCAACTTGAAAGGCATCTTCCTGGGTTACCCGGCGCCGATTTGCAATAACATCACACAGGAAACAAACGTTACGTTACATTTATGGTGTAAGAATGTAGGAAACGATGCCTCCGTTACGCGCGTCACATAACTTGTCACATTTCTAATAAGAAATTGTGTTTATGATTTTTTCGCTATCTCGTTTATGTCTGGCGAGGACAATGACGTATAAAGAAAGGCGAAAAGCAATAAAAAAATGCCAAGTAAACAATAAAATACAAAAACCACACATTCACAACACGGCCATCGCAATGACAAATGATTGACAGTGCGGTAAAGTGTTGCTATCACAGAAAAATAAAATGGGTACAAGTTTTTTTAATATTGTGTTTCACTCACGGCTTTGGGTGCAAGCCCTTTTCAGCCAGTTGTTCGTTGAGTATGAACTTTTGAATTTGATTTTTTGTAACAAAAACTTCTCATGGTGAGGTTTTTTATTTTACTGGATAACTTAAAAATGAACTAAATTAATTTGTGCGAATCATAAATATTGGAGTAATCGATTGAACATAGCTAGTAAATATTCTAAATAATAAATTGTATATCATTTTGTTCGAATCGGGTAACAACAATTATAGCCTGACCAGGAACATAAAAACCCTCGCCATGTTGCGGAAAACTAATGGTACTAATTTCTTTTAATGGCAACAGTAACTGAAAACTTCATTGACATGTCACCTTGCATGTCAGTCTATTGCTGTCAAAGTGTAAACAAACTTTATTTTAAATGTGCGCAATTGGTTTTATGAATTAAATTGCTAAAATATTTTTATAGTCGTGAAAGAAAAGTGGTTCACAATGTGTTAAAGTATTTGTCGAAGAGAAATACTAAGGGTTCGGACAATATTTTCATTGAATAATGTTTCCGACAAAGGTTGTCAAATTGACTGACATGTTTATCGTATAGTACAGTCCACTATGAAAATTAGCTGTGGTTTGTTTCAACTACCTATTTGAAAAATTTTGTCACTTTCTAAGTGTTGAATTTTATGGGATTGGGAAAGAAGTACCGAGTTTGAAGCGTTCATGAGCAGACATTGCAGTTGAATATTCAAGTTCTGAATTTGATTATTGATGAATAATAAAATAAATCCTACTAGCTCGATTGATGGTTTCATTTAATTTATTTAAACCAGGTTACCTATAATAATATTTTTTCGTTAATTTATGAAAATATCAAATTAGCCCGTAATCCTGAATCCTGATACATAAAGTTAGCCTATTAATTTAACACAGGTACGACTGTACTCAGTGTTGCACTATCAAATGCAATTGACGCGCCTCTATGCCAGGGTTTTTATGTTCCTGGTCAGGCTATAGCATTATTTTATTTTTAAATAATAAAGAAAGTTTTTAGAATAAAACAAGATTGATTTATGTATTCTCAACTTTATAAAAATATAATTTACAATAAACTACGATTTCAGTATAAATACAATTCGATTTTATAAAAAGTCTCTTCACAATACTTCATAATTATTTGTGACCATCCCCAAATAAGTACCTACATATTTTTAATTTCAGGCAGCAGACTTCCGTGACGTTTCATTTTCCAGTTTAATCCAATCTCGGGGCTCCTTTAAAACTTTCATTAGTTTTTCTTCAGGAGAATTTGCTTTTGGTTCGTGCATGTATTCCCATTTCTGCAAAAAAAAAAAAACAAATGTTGCCATTTAAATAAATAACTACTAACACAGTAATTAAAAAAAAATGTTTAATAATGGTACCACGATTTTGAAACATCAAGTGGCAAAAACTAAACCCAGTAATGTCTTATTATGTGGTTGTTGTCCAATAGCGATCCGGTGGGACAGTTCAGTGTAGGACATCTTTAAAAGCTCCACAAACTACTGAAGCGCGTTCCAAAAACAAATAAAAAACGGTCACACACAGTTGACAGTACTTACAGCATTAAGCGGCAGCGACATGAGTATCGACTCGTATCGCGCCTGCGGCGTGTGCAGCCCGAACTTGGTGCCGCGGTCGTAGATCAGGTTGAACTCCACGTAGCGCCCGCGCCGCAACAGCTGCCACTGCCGCTCGTGGTAGCCGTACGCGTCGTCTTTGCGCTTCTGGACTGTTGACACGAATAAAAACTATCATAGCTGTTAACTAAAGCTGGGTTTTCGGCGCGTGTTTTGCCTTACACAATCAACAAAAACATGTCAACATTCAACATTTTTTGTTGATTGTGTAGGGCAAAACGCGCTGAAAACCGGCTTAACACAAACAAATAACATTATTGTATTCGGCCAGTTGCATTGGGTGTTATTTGTTTTGATCTTGAAGTTTTAGTAGTCCGTTTGCAGGAACCGCTCACCGAAAAAATAATGACAACTGCGTCGAAATTAAAATGACAATAATCCACAACGGTGTGGTCTTGCAAACGCACGATTGTGACATCTTGTTCAACACGTGTAATTTGAAAGAGTCATATATTGCTATTAGTATTGCTATGGTATGTTGTCTATTAGTATGGCTCACTGATGGGCAGGTAGCTTGGGATGACGGCCTCGGCGCAGCTGGTGACGAAGTTGAAGGCGGCATACTTATACGGACCTCATAAGATACCACTCTGTTAAGCTCGATCTACCGTTGTTATGATAGGTAAAGCCCGGTCCGTAAGCACGTAGAATTTTTTCCAATGACCCCTAGCTACCCATCCTTATCGCTCGCGTGTAATTATATTGCTGTCGCGACTGTGCGACTGGCACCCGCAGTGAGTGTGCGAGCGCGATAGCAACATAATTTAGCGCGAGCGATAAGGATGGGTAGCTAGGGGTCATTGGACAAAATTCTACGTGCTCACGGACCAGACTATATCTGTAATCTGTATGGCTCACCGATGGGCAGGTAGCTCGGGATGACGGCTTCGGCGCAGCTGGTGACGAAGTTGAAGGCGGCGTACTGGCTGGGCGTGTCCAGGTCGTCAAAGAAGATGCCGCCGACGCCGCGCCGTTCGCCGCGGTGCGGGATATGGAAATAGTCGTCGCACCATTTCTTGAATCTAAAGTCAATGTTCTAAAATAAACTTTATGGCCAAAGGTTTTAAAGTAGAGAGCTGACTGACATTAATTTAAATTCACTTTTTTTCTATTACTTAAGTATCGAAAACCCAGATTCGTTTTCCACTAAGCTACAGCGCACACTGGCACGCGACACTGACAGCTCGGTGACTTGACGCCTCTTCTTGTCAATTTCATCATCATCTTCTTCTGTCGCTGTCGCGTGTCGCCCAGTGTGCGCTGTCGCTAAATCAAATTATTTTATTCCGTTCAAGTTACAGAAGAGAAGCATATGATACACATCCAAATTATACTCTAGTCTTTTCAGTGATTTAAATGTACTCACTTGGCATAATAGGTCTCGTCATGTGCGTCACACGCATGTTTTAGCGTGAGGTGAAAGTGTGCTGCATCCTCCTCATTCAAGTAGTATGGCGTTAGATCTGTGCCTCCGCCAAACCACCAATGGACACCTATGAATAATAATGAATAGTATAGCCTGACCAGGAACATAAAAACCCTCGCCATGTTGCGGAAAACTAATGGTACTAATTTCTTTTAATGGCAACAGTAACTGAAAACTTCATTGTCATGTCACCTTGCATGTCAGTCTATTGCTGTCAAAGTGTAAACAAACTTTATTTTAAATGTACGCAACTGATTTTGTGAATTAAATTGCTAAAATCTTTTTATAGTCGTGAAAGAAAAGTGGTTCACAATGTGTTAAAGTATTTGACGAAGAGAAATACTAAGGGTTTGGACAATATTTTCATTGAATAATGTTTCCGACAAAGGTTGTCAAATTGACTGACATGTGTATCGTATAGTACAGTCCACTATGAAAATTAGCTGTGGTTTGTTTCAACTACCTATTTTAAAATTTTTTGTCACTTTCTAAGTGTTGAATTTTATGGAATTGGGAAAGAAGTACCGAGTTTGAAGCGTTCATGAGCAGACATTGCAGTTGAATATTCAAGTTCTGAATTTGATTATTGATGAATAATAAAATAAATCCTACTAGCTCGATTGATGGTTTCTTATAATATTTTTATACCAGGTTACCTATAATAATATGTTTTCGTTAATTCATTAAAACCCGTAATTCTGAATCCTGATACATAGTTAGCCTATTAATTTAACACAGGTACGACTGTACTCAGTGTTGCACTATCAAATGCAATTGACGCGCCACTATGCCAGGGTTTTTATGTTCCTGGTCAGGCTATATAAAATATTCAAATAAATATTGCTCGAAGAAAATGTAAAAAAAAAAACATCTATTAATACATTCAAACCAATAATGCCAAAAAAACTAAAAGCACACATTTCATGGCCCCACCGGAGTTTGACACTAAACTGTTGGTGTTGCCAGTAATAAGTTTTTCTTATTCTTTTTTGTTGTTGGCAATACTCATAAAGGCCGACTAAAGCCTGGTCTGTGACTTCTGTGAGCACATAGAATTTTGTCCAATGACCCCAAGCTACCCATCCTTATCGCTCGCGCGTAATTATGTTGCTATCTCGCTCGCACACTCACTGCGGGCGCTTGTCGCACAGGCGATAAGGATGGGTAGCTTGGGGTCATTAGACAAAATTCTACGTGCTCACAGACCAGGCTTTAGACAGTAATAATAGGTTATTGCACACTACAAAATTTTAAGGTCGTTGTACACCTTACCGTCTTTGTCTTGAACTTCGAAGTAGCGATAGTTGAAGTGTATCGTCGGCACCATGGGGTTCCGAGGGTGGATGACTGCGCTGACTCCCGCCGCGAAGAACGGCAGGTCGGTGTTCTGAAGGTTTTTACCCCTGAACAGATTTAAAGAAGTTAGGTTTAATGCTCTAGTTCTAGTATAGCAAGACGAATGTTCAAACTTCAAATCACATTATTATGATATTTGTTAAATCTGATTAGACAAAATTATCTTAAGATAGGATTAAAATTATCTTAAGCCCCCCTAGTACTAAGTCTCCTCGCCTTTTTCTCAGTCATTACGTTCTTGACAGAGTGGTCATGGTCGCCATGAGTGTGATTTGTTATGGGCGGATGTTGCTTGTCTCGTCATCTTTCCCTTGATACGGGACTATTCCCACCTCTCGTTCCCACCACTGCAACTCCTGTGTAGCCAGGATCTACAGCTTGACCGCCACAAAAACCGGGGGAAAGTTAAACTGTCATTGGACCCGCAAGGAAATTAATCAGAAGAACATAGGAGTTCGAAATTAAGGTTCGACTTCCCTCCATTGCA